CGCGCGTACGTCAGCTACCTCCAGGATGACTGGGTCGACTACCTCTTCTTGGCCGAATTCGCTGGCAACAACCAGGTCTCCGACACGACTACCCTGTCCCCATTCTTCGCTAACCTAGGATACCACCCACGGTGTGACTTTGAGCTGGATATCCGTGTCGACACCAAGGAGGAACATCAAGCTCAGAGTGCAGCGGAACGGTTGCATCAAATCCACGACGTCGCCCGCAGCCAAATGCGGTATGCCCAGGCACGGCAACAGGACGACTCAGACCGACACCGAACCCTTGCACCAGCGTTCCAACCAGGCGACATGGTATGGGTGGATGGTCGGAACTGGCGCACCGAGAGACCCAGTCGCAAGCTGGAAAACAAACACCATGGTCCCTACCGTGTGATTCGGACAATCGGAACCCACGCCTACGAATTGGACATCCCGGACACCGTTCAGAAGCACCGAACATTTCGTGTATCCCTCCTTCATGCCTACGCTGACGATCCCTTCCCTGGACAAATTCCACCGCCACCACTTCCGGTAATCGTGGACGACCAAGAAGAATGGGAGGTTGAAGAGGTCCTCGACAGCCGGAACCTCAGGGGCAAACTCCAGTACCTGGTGAAATGGAGAGGCTACGCGGCACCAACATGGCAACCAGAGGAGAACCTTACCGAAGTACAAGCTGTGGACGACTTCCATCGACGATACTCCATGCAGCCTGGACCAGTCGAACTTGCTCTCGTGGAAACTCGAGCCTTAGGAGGGACTACTGTCACGGCTCGCGATGGAATGACGAAGGGAGGGTCGGCACAAGGATCGGGAGAGTTGGGGGGCAGTGCAGAGGCAGTGCACCGGCAGTGCAAGGATGAGTCGCAGAGGATTTGGGGCTGTGTGCAGGGAGCAGGGATAGCGCAGCAATGAGTCGCAGGAGATTGGGGCTGTGTGCAGGAAGCAGGGGTAGTGCGGCTGAGCAGGGTATGAGTCACGGAAGTGGGGTACTGGCAAGGTGGATTTCTCAGAGTCTGGCACACGCCCACGGTCATTGTCAGGTTGCGGGAAGAAGTCGAGGATTTTCTATATAAACGGGCCGTTGCCCCTCTGTACTTAGTTCTTCACGCAACAACTTGTTAATTCAATCACTGTTACCTCTGTCCTTGCCTCGGCTGCCGTCTGCGCCGTAGTCCTTGTCCCTGCCTCTGTTCTCAGTTGCCGTCTGCACTGAGTCCTGCCTCACCTTGTCCCCGAACCCGTCTTGCCTCTACCGAACCCAGAACCCGGTCCCCAGCCCGACTTCGCTACCTGGAGCCTTGCCCGACCGTGCCGTTACACATAGTGTCGGACCGAGACTCACGGTTTACCTGGAGTACATGGAAAGAATTCATCCAACTGCCAGGGATTAAGCCCCGGGTGTCAACAGCGTTCCACCCACAGACGGATGGACAAACGGAACGCCTCAACCAGACGATCGAAGCCGACCTCCGCTCCTTCGTCAACTACGAGCAGAACAATTGGGTGAATCTCCTACCGATGGCTGAGTTTGCCTACAACAACTCGGTTACATCGGCAACCGGAATGTCGCCCTTCCATGCTAATTTCGGCTACCATCCCTCGGCAACAATCCCTGCTGCGGAAAATTTGTCACGGCTCGCGACGGAATGATGAAGGGAGGGTCGGCGCAAGGATCCGGAGTGTTAGGAGGCAGTGCACAGGCCGTGCACCGGCAGTGCAAGGGTGAGCCGCAGAGGATTGGGGCTGTGTGCAGGGAGCAGGGATAGTGCAGTAATGTGCGGCAGCGGGATTGAGGCTGTGTGGAGGAAGCAGGGGTAGTGCGGCTGCGCAGGGTATGAGTCACGGAAGCGGGGTACTGGCAAGGTGGATTTCTCAGGGTCTGGCAAACGCCCACGGTCAGTGTCAGGTTGCGGGAAGAAGTGGAGGATTTCCTATATAAACGGGCCGTTGCCCCTCTGTACTTAGTTCTTCACGCAACAACTTGTTAACTCAATCACTGTTACCTCTGTCCTTGCCTCGGCTGCTGTCTGCGCCGTAGTCCTTGTCCCTGCCCCCGTTCTCAGTTGCCGTCTGCACTGAGCTCTGCCTTGCCTTCTCCCCTGAACCCGTCTTGCCTCTGCCGAGCCCAGTACCCGATCCCCAGCCCAACTTCGCTACCTGAAGCCTTGCACGAACGTGCTGTTACAAGGAGTTCCCCACAAAAGAGTTTTCCGATCACGTGCTTAGTTGTACGCGTAGACTATACAGTCAGTCGAATATCGTCACAAAAAAATCTCAACATCAGCACAACAAGAACACCGAACGCTACCGGCGATACCCGTTAACATGATTCCGCTTTGAATTATCGAAATCCCTGACTTTTATTCTATACTTGATATCTATCAAAGACTCTGACGTCCTGAAACCGTTCCAGTCTCACAGCAATCGACTGCAGTCGACTGCTGTCTAATGCCAGGAAATGGAGATTTTTTTTTCCTTCAGTAATTGCAAAATCATGGCGAACTAAGGCGGAAAGGAAGCGATTGAAGTGTCACTTGATGGAAAGATTTCGCATTAAGATGTTAAGTCATAGGAAAGAAATTTTTCTGCCTTACTTTGGTGTAATCTCGCGATTTCGAGAAGACAATTATTTTGTTCAATTTTTGGCATCCGACTGCAGTCGACCGCAGTCCCCTCCAGTCCTCGGGATCCATAGACGGGACGCACTAGTTTTCGGCGGCCTGTCCAAAGGGCCGGACCGGAACAGATCTTAGCAGACCGTCGAGTCCGCACTGCAGTCCCGACCGGACGATGTAGAAAACTGGTCTCATCACTGCATTCGCTCACAGAGCTTCACCCCTACATTCGCTCCCAGGTCTTCACCGCTGCATTTTCTCGCTGAGCTCTGTACTGGATTCGCTCCCTGACCTCACCGCTCCATTAGCTCCCAGGACCTCTCTTCTGTATCCGCTGACATGGCTCTGTACTAGATTCGCTGTCTGTCATGGAGGCTGTAGTGAACCCGCTGCCAGGGCCTCTCTACTAGATTTGCTGCCATGGCTGTGCACCAGATCCCCTGCTGGAACCTCTCTTTTGAATTCGCTGCCATGACTCTCTACTGGATTTGATGCAAGCGCCTCTCTTCTATATTCGCTGCCATGGCTATGTACTAGATTCGCTTTCATGGTCTTAGTACGGCCTTCGCTGTTATGGGCTTTATGATGAGTGGTTACGTGACGTATGTCAATTTGTTTTTTGGTTGTCATCAGAAAATATTGATGTGTCGTGAAAAAAAGGTTTTTTTGGATAAGGACTTAATCAACACTTAAGACTGGAGTTTTGACTGGCGCCGAGGTACAAGCTGCAAGTTATTTACGACAGGAATAAGTCTGGAGCGAGACAACTTGAATATGTGTCCCAGCTGGCTAGGCTGATTGTATCAACGGCAGACGTCTAAAATGCCATGGTTTGGTTCCACGTTTCATCCCCACCACCACTTAAACCAACCACCACTCAAACTCACCACCACTCAAACTCACCACCACTCAAACTCACCGCCACTCAAACTCACCACCACCACCCACCAGGCAACCCGACTGCGGCCAGCGGTGGAGAGGCTGTCGGCGAGAAGAGGGAGCGAGTGGACAGAGCCAGAGGACCTGTCGGTGAGAGGAAGCGGATGTGGTTAGTACTTAGTGAGCATCAACGTTGGCGGGGCCAGCGAGTCGCCTGCCATCTCCATCGTCTGTTCTCCTTCTTCTTGTTTCTCTCTCATCGTCTACAGAATACAAGATCAGCATCTACATCCTCCCTCCCCTTGTGTGTTATCCGTCTGCCGACCCGCCTTCCGGTCTAGAGAGGCATTGGCAAGTAGACGGGTGTTTTAGTGGTGGTGGCTTTTCGAGGACTCTCTGCCAACTCCAGGCCAACAGCCGTGGGAGGTGGAAGGGAGCACACACAGAGGAGAGTGTGGAGATGGATGGTTTCCCGTTTCTTCAGTACATGGCACTGATCCGGAGAGAATAAGAAGAAAAAAAACCCCCAATCCACCCAGCGTATGTCCCCTCCTCGCTCAGTAATTGATGCTGTCATGTATACCTACTTACCAACGTTGATGCCCACGACAAATCAAACTCAGTTTCTCCCGCCGACAGGAGTCCTCTTTCACTTTCTCCTTTCGCCGACAGCTCTTCCATTGCTTGCCATAGTGGGTTTGCGTGGTGGCGGGTGGTGGTGGGCTTGAGTGGCGGTTGAATTAAGTAGTGGTGGGGTTGAAACGTCGAAGAAAACTACGGCATTATAGACGTTTCCGTTGTTTCTTATTTGTTTAATCAATCATTACTTGCGACCTCAGTAAATCATGGCAATATACATCTGAGTTCAGTTTCCCTTTCTTCCTGCTCCCCGCGCCCCCACTAGGAAACCTCACTCTCTGTATCTTCCCCAGCGGCATCAGGCATCCGTCTGCCCAAGTGGGGTAGCGGTCGGCAGTGGGGGTCATTTTTCGTCCGTCGCTTGTCCGTTAAAGTGTCGGGCGTGTACACTCCTACATAACCGCTCCCAAGTCGATCCTTCTGATTGAACACATTGCCGGCTGTTATAAGCGACACGCACTATGAGATATATCTGCAACCGGGGGCGGTGATATATCTTGGCAGCGAGAGCACTAATATTTAAAGGGGAGGCAACTAGATCAATCTGCGGTTTGGACTGTCTATTAGATGCAAACACTTCCACGGTCAAACTGCGCTTCGGATGACCGGTACTTGATTAGGTCGCCCGTAGGCAGCCACAAGACTCGGCAGTTCACGCAGGGTGGATTGTTGCCGTGGTTGTGGAGAATTTATATAGTGATCGGTTGTCTTGGTATACATGTAGCCATCTCTATTTTCCTCGCGTGACGTAGCGCGGATGCGGGAAGGGTAGGAAGATGGGAATCTCGGACAGTTTACATCCGATCAGTATATGGGCCGAGTTGCCGTGCGATGGCTTGTGAATTCTACGATCGCTGTTGATCGATGCCTGGCGAATATAAAGTCATCGATGGCAGCAGTGGAAGGAGGATCACGAAGTGGTCTGCAGAGATTGAACCAACATGAACGGCGACAACTGCGACAACGGCGAATACAAAGTCGATTTCGACAAGCCCATTCACACGCCAACGCGGAAGTTGAAAGTTATCTGTATCGGCGCGGGAGCTTCTGGGCTGCTGATTGCTTACAAGCTTCAGCGGCATTTCGATGATTTTGAGCTGAACGTCTACGAAGTGCGTACACACCCCGACGGAACACCTTCAACGATGATTACTGACAGCCGACAGAAAAACAAAGATGTGTCGGGAACCTGGTACGAGAATCGATACCCAGGATGCGCCTGCGACGTTCCCTCCCACTGCTACACGTGGTCCTTCGAGCCGAAGACGGACTGGTCGTCAACATATGCCTCCGCGAAGGAGATCCATCAGTACTTCGCCGGGTTCGCGAAAAAATACCAACTCGGGCGTTACATCAAGCTCGAACACGAAGTCATCGGCGCGACATGGGACGAGGCGGCCGCGCAGTGGCATGTGAAGATTCGGCAAGGAACGACCGAGATTCTTGTAGAGGACAGTTGCCATGTGCTGTTGAACGCCGGCGGAATATTAAATGCATGGAAATGGCCGGCGATTCCCGGCTTGGAAAACTACAAGGGGACGCTTGTGCACTCCGCTGCATGGCCGGAGGACTTGGATTTGACAGGGAAGGTGGTGGGCCTAATCGGCAATGGGTATGTTTTACCTCTGCATTGTTCCTCGGTGCCTAACAACCTCCCCCCAGATCGTCCGGAGTCCAGATCCTCCCTGCGATCCAGGCCGAGGTGAAGGAACTTACCACGTTCATCCGCGAGCCAACATGGATCGCCCCACCTCTCGGCGAAGCATACCAAGTCTTCACCGATGCCGACAAAGCCTCCTTCGCTGCGGATCCCGAGAAGCACCTCGTGCTCCGCCGCGGCATCGAATCCGGCATCAACAGCGCGTTCGCAATGTTCACCCTTGCAGACGGGCGGCAAAAGGAAATCCGCACTGCCTTCGAAGACCGCATGAGACAACAGCTCTCGGATCCACGGACAGCTCATTTCCAGAACGCCCTCATTCCAACCTGGTCTGTTGGGTGCCGGCGCCTCTCCCCGGGAATCGACTACCTGAAATCTCTCTCCGCTCCCAATGTCTCTGTCGTCTTCGGCAACATCACCCATGTTACCTCCGCTGGCTGCGTCATGTCTTCCGGCGAAGAGTACCCCACTGACGTGCTAATCTGCGCCACGGGCTTCGACACCTCACTGCGACCGCGCTTCCCGGTGATCGGTCGCGCCGGTGTCGACCTCCGCGAGAAGTGGAAAGACGAGCCGCGAGCGTACCTCGGGTTTGCAGCGGCGGGGTTTCCGAACTATCTGATGACGCTCGGCCCCAACTGTCCGATCGGCAATGGCGCCGTGCTCGCCGGAATCGAAGCTCAGGTCGAGTACTTTGTCAAGCTGCTGAGCAAGTTCCAGAAAGAAATGCTCACGACGTTCGATGTGCGAGAGGAGGCTGTGGACGATTTCGTCGAGCATAAAGACGAGTTCATGAAAAACACTGGTATGTACCAACATGCCGTATCTCCTCCCTGCCCCGCGGCGACTATGCTGACACCACACAGTTTGGACCGAAGACTGTCGCTCGTGGTACAAAGGCGACAACATCCACGGCAAAGTTACCGCGCTGTGGCCAGGGTCGTCGCTGCACTATATCGAGGCCGTGCGTGAAGTCAGATACGAGGACTGGGCGCTGACGCGGGAAAAGCGTAACCGATTTCAATTTTTGGGAAACGGACATAGTACTGCGGAGAAGAGGACAGGCGAAATGGCGTATTACATCAGGAACTCGGATGACAGTTGGATCGATCCGGTTTTGAAGGCAAAGCTGTAGCCGAGGCTGGTGATATGGTCCATATTGCTTGCGTGTCTTGAAGGGAAATTTAATCTGCTGCTTTTTCTACACCGATGCGCAATTGTTTAAAGTCATTGGACTAGGTGGTCAGGTGATCCTCCCCGAACCGCGTCTCAGCCTTGTTTCAAGGGAGCCCGGAACTTCGCGGTCACGTGGTGAGGTTTTGGTGACAACATGGACTACGGAAAGTACATACGGGGTTACGGCTGTGGCGTGCGATGACCATAGCTATTACCGAGGGAGGTGTCGCGATACCCCCAAGTAGCAACCGATTCGTCAACACTCCAGTTCCATCTTTCACCCACAAGTCGACTTGACTCCTATATCTGTAGCATCGATGATGACACTTTGCTGGACGTGTAGAAACGCAACTGATAAGCGTCCATAAAACTTGATACCCATTATGAGGGCATTTCTTTCCCAGAGACAGCGATCACCAGTTTGCTTTTGTGCACGTTCTCCGTCAACAATGGTGACTGGTCTTTCCAAGGGGAAGTAAACAACACGGAGAGGTCACCCTCAGTAAACCCGATTACAAGCTTTTCCTCTACACGGTGCTGACGAAACCCAGACTCTCCACTCCGAGAACACGGCCGACAACTGCGTTGCGTGCAACTGCCACATCCCCCCACCATCACGAAAGTAAATTGAGCGAGATCATCAAGTCGCTTCGCAAGCAGCCTTAATAGGCTATGGCGAACAAATCTCGCACACCACTTGTCGAACTATTTCATAAACCATTTCTCCAATTTCGCGAGTGACGACTGGTGAATCATCAGTCGGATCCTGGCCAATGCGGTTGCCATCACATGGTCGTAGGCACACCCTGAATATGAATCACACCTAGAAGACCGTCGTTATGCGCGAGATTAATCGCGTGTAGTGCGTATGTAGGATATCATGACCGCTTTTACGGATGAGCCGAACTGCAGTGGCCGCCGCCCAGAGCCGGCAGGTTCGAGACACCGGCTCGCAATTGCTTGCAGATTTCTGATGCGAAAGGATCATTACACCGGGCCTTCCTCGCTGATTCTACATCTTGTCGCCTCCACTGTCTCCCCTTCCAGTCTTTCCGCTTCTTCGGCCGTCTTCGCAAGCCATTGTTCGCGCTCTCCATTCGTCCATTTCGGGCCTCGCTGCCTACTTCCCCTTCGTCTACTACCGCCACTAGTGGGTCTGTTGTCTTGTCGACAATGGTTGCCGTGACGATATCCAGGACTACAGGACTGCATCCCTCGTCCACAAGTAGTACGGCAGTCTTCGTCCGGTGCCTCGTCCGAGCTGTCTGGGTGCTTCCTGCGCTTCTCCGGGGCCTTGTTCAGAGCATCGTCTGCAGGCTGTTCCACCTTGGGCAGTTATTGAACGAGTGATAGCCACTCAATGGTCACATGGGTAGTAGTGAAGCTCTGTCGCCATCCCAGCACGTAAAGTCCGCAGACACGAATCGGACGAAAAAATGCATTTATCTCCAGCCCACCTGTCGTGATTCACCGTCGAGGCGAACAACCAACCCTCGCGCAGTATCCCCGGAGATCGCCGGAACTTCGAGGATCGCACGGCTCAGGCACAAAAAACTTTGCGGAACACCTAAGCTAAGTTCTCGAATTATTCTCGTGCCTGATCAGACGATCGCATTGTTTACATTATAGCTATGGCTCGGACGAATGTTCACTGCTGGCGGGTAGCCATCGCTGCCGACAAGGTCGTTGTGAAGTATTCATGTGGGGTTGGATGGTGTCGGGTTCCGTTCCTGCGATGAGATTGCTGGTGACGTATCAGGAGAGAATGTTCCACCGCTGTCTCGTGGTGACGTCCCACCGACTGCACTTCTGTACTGACTGGAGTGACGCGACGTGCCTCATTGGGCGGTGGCTGGGTTCGATTCGTTCAAAGACCACGGCATTGGCTAGTGAGGAGCGTGAGTCGGTTCGGGTTGCGCCTCCTCTACAGACGCGAGTTTTCGGGTTCCTGGGAGTCAGGCTCATTATAGCTCCAGTTGAAGCAATAGGCGCGGGTTAAGACTCGAGCTTTGTCGGTCTTGACTCTCATCATCAGCTAAAAGTGCTGATCTCTGGGAGGTCAAATACTTTAGCGGAAAAGAGTAAACTTCGGTCATAGTCAAACAGCTCGCGCAGTGCGGTCAGATGGTGGGCGATACTGCCATGCGTTTCCGCGACGCAAATCCAACGAATCGGAAGCCAACACGACCGCGTTTCGTCTTGACGGACATATCCACGATCGCCCCCGCAGCCAGATCGCCCCCGCAGCCAATACACCAAAACTTGTCCCAGACCCCCACCGCGATCTCTGATTTACGCTCGTACCCGACACCCTCTGCGATCTTTGCTTTACTCTCTAAACCATACACTACCGCTTGACGTTTGAGTTCGACTTGATTTATCGACCTCCAGCCTATCTTAGGCCGATGGATCCTCCGAGACGACTGAGAAGGAAGAACGAGTCCGCGCGCTGGCAACCGTATGAGCGGAAGAACTTTCAGGAAGGTAGCAGATCGAGTGGCACAGTTAGCATTACCTTCCCGAACCCTGGATAGTCGCTAAAGGTGATCTACACAGCCAACAGAAGAGCGAGATAACTCCAACATCGAGACAGGTGTCTTGGGAGGTCCCTCGCATACCCGGAGCGTCAGTCATACCTCCGACAGCTACGAAATATCTGCCCATGACTCCACGACCCTGCGTGGGAATACGACGACAAACAGCCACAACACCACCGATAACTCCCGTACCTACATCGGCTCTGATCACTTTGATTTCCTGAACCCAACTTTCTTTGCTCCCGTGAATTTTGGTTCGTGAACCTGTTCTGTACCGCGATGGGACAAAACTCTGTCTCATACTCACCGACTGAAACATCTTATCCTGAAACCGCTTTCTCAATCATCTGGGCTGCAGTCGTTGGTTCTGGTTATTGATGCGCTTGATGAGTGCGACGACGAAGACGATACCGAACTGATTATCCAACTGCTTTCTCAGTCAAATACTCTGACCCCCGTGCGGTTACGCGTGTTTATAACAAGCAGACCGGAAACCCCAATTCGCTATTGTTTCGGCACCATCGGTAAATCTTATCGGGACTTCATCCTTCATGAAATCCCCAACTCGATAGTCGATGTCGACATAACCGATTTCTCTCACAACAAGTTCGACACGATCCGCAAACGGCACCACTACCTACCTACGGAGTGGCCTGATAAACCGATCCGGGACCGTCTCGTTCAGAAGGCAGACGGACTATTCATCTATGCTGCAACAGTATGCCGATTCATTGGTCACGTGGACTGTCACCCGCCGGAGCGCCTCACGTTCGTACTGGAAGGCAGCATGGAGGACGGATCGCCAACAATACAACTTGACTTGATGTACACGAAGCTTTTACAAACGCCGTAGTAAAAGATCGCGATCCGAAAAGAACAGAGAGGCTGTTGCAACGGTTCAGGCGGATTGTCCGGTCCATTGTGGTTCTCTTCGATGCCCTACCTGCTAGCGCACTCAACCAACTCTTACATACCAAACCGGGGGAGGTTGAGCGAAAATTGGATTCTCTGAGTTCTGTGTTGGATTATTCCGACAGCCAAGACATCCCCATCGAAATCTTGCACCCATCTTTCCGCGACTATCTCCTGGACAGCGGTAGATGCAATGACCTCCGGTTCAGCATAGCAAAGGAAGACGTCCATAAAGATCTTGCCGAGAGCTGTCTCAAGCTCATGTCAACATCGCTGAAGGAGGATATCTGTTCACTGAAGCTCCCGGGTAGCCTTGCAATCGAATTGGATAGTGGTGCAGTACTGGGTTGCCTGCCCCTGGAGGCTCAGTACGCTTGCCGGTATTGGATTGACCATCTTCAGCGAACCAACGCCAAATTATGTGACGGCGAACCACTGCATGACCGAGTCCATGCTTTCCTCAACAAACACTTGCTCCATTGGTTCGAGGCTCTCAGCCTGATGGGGAAGATTCATGACGGTGTTGTCATGTTAAAGGAATTTGACTCAATGTTGAGTACGGTAAGAAATCCGAACCGGATTCCGTGTTTCCAATTTTACCCTCAACCACATCCCGTTGCGTAGAATGCAGCAAGATTTTCCGACCGCACGATTGTCTACAATAACATTCAATACGTGATACCCTGTACATTTAAGGCCGATGGTTTGCACCTTAAACTAAGAATCATGCTGACAATGAGTTGCAGTCTGATGCCAGTCATCCTTTACGTACGATGGTTCATGACGCAGTGCGATTCATACTCACCTTTCGATCGATCACCGAGATTGCACCCTTCAAGTTCATTTTTCCGCTCTACCATTGAGCCCCATGAGAAGCAGAGTCAGGGAACAATTTTGGGAGAGTATCCCGCGCTGGATCAAGAGCACACCAGCAGTGCCAAGGGATTGGGATACGAAGTTGCAGGTACTTGAGGGCCATTCCGGCGAGGTCACAGCAGTCGCATTCTCGCCCGATGGCAAGACTCTTGCATCGGCATCAAGTGACAGTACCGTCCGGCTCTGGGATGCAACGACAGGAAAATTTCGTGTCACTCTGAGGGCCATTCCGGCGAGGTCAGAGCAGTCGCATTCTCGCCTGATGGCAAGACTCTTGCATCGGCATCAAGTGACAGTACCGTCCGGCTCTGGGATGCAACGACAGGAAAATTTCGTGTCACTCTGAGGGCCATTCCGGCGAGGTCAGAGCAGTCGCATTCTCGCCTGATGGCAAGACTCTTGCATCGGCATCATGTGGCGGTATCGTCCGGCTCTGGGATGTAACGACAGGAAAATTTCGTGTCACTTTTGAGGGCCATTCCAGCGTGGTCAGAGCAGTCGCATTCCCGCCTGATAGCAAGATCCTTGAATGTGAATATTTCCTCGGACGTTTTTCGTTTTTGGATGTTGAGGTGGGAAATATAAAGTTATCGGACACAACGGATGCCTTCCAGTTTTCCTATACGGCAAATACAGGAATCCCGCAGAGCAGACATCCCGTTGGCCCAAACCACCAAACCTTCACTAGCTTGCCGTTGATGCTTCACGTAAGTGATAATTGGATATACTTCGGAGGGCAAAGGTTTTTTTTGCTTCCGCACGATTATCGGGCCGCAATCTTCTCTGTCCAAAGCAACACTGTTGCTCTTGCATCTAACTCTGGTCGGGTTTGTTTTTTTCAATTTCATCTCGATTTGATTCCATGCTGAGGTGAACTCCCTACAAGCGAATCGACTGAAAATATCTGACTGGGCTTAGGGGGATGGGGTGCAATCGGAACAGATGGGGTTGGATGGCGTGCATTCGGGTTGCCGGATCGCATGGATTGTTGCCCGTCCGGCGCTTGGGAAGAACATGCATGGGTACCGAGGCCGCGATGTAGGTTACTTAACGGAGGACTCGACGAGGCATTGGGGGTGGGAACGGAGTGAGAGATACGGCGGCGGCGGTGGTGCAGGGAGATATTGGAATGTGTTGCTGTGGGGAGAGATGGTTCGACAAGACCACCGCCGCCTTACGGTACCACGGCAGGGGCTGAGCTTGATCCTCTCGTCAGCTACGGCGCGATATCAGATGGAAGCAAGCTAGGCGGCGAAGTGGCGATTGGGAGTAATCTGGTGTTATTTTCATGTCTGAATGCAATGTTCGTGACAAGCAGAGAGATTGGTCTATATACGGCGATGCTAGACAAGATCCCAGTATCCCCCTACGAACCGGCATCGGTCATCCATATATGGTTTCTCGCCAGTATTCACGTCGATGTGATTTACATAGTTGGCTATATGTGCGGTATATCCTATTTATTGCGCATATTTTTGGCCGGTTTCTCCGTCGGCTATGTTGGGAAACTACATAACGAACAACCCGAAACCCGGGGCGGTGCAGGGTTGCGGCTTGGGTCGTGCCGAGCCGTGTGCCACTACGATAGTTTACCCCGCCCCGCAGACCGCACCCTACCGCCAAGCAACATCATCGCGCCGCCGCCGCAGACATCAACCCCACTAACTTCACCAACACAAGCTCTCTCCACCGAGCTCCGAGCGTCGAACGTCGAAACGACCAAAGCCTGCTTTTCGCAGCCACAACCCCCGCCGGCGCCGCGAGCCGGAGCGCGGGCAACCGACACCGAATCACCACATGCACGGGTACCGGAGAGCACATGTTTCGCAACGCGTCGATGGAATTCTTGCCGATACCTACTGTACAGCGCCCGCAGGACGGCGAGTCCGCGACGTCATGGTGGGGAGGATTGCGCCTGCGCATCCTCCGAGCGTGCCTACCCGGATGCGCTACTACGCCGAAGAGAACCGATAGCGGAAGCTTGAACCGCTGAGCCGTGCGGCAATCGCTTATCCCCGAGGCGACGGGCGGTGCGGTCTCGGCGTGGGAATCTCCGCAGGTCCCGGTACTGGTATGCTTGCGCGGGTGGTGTTGGCAGTGTCCCAGACCTCGGTATGCCCTCGGAGGCGGTCGTACGCCGATAGCTGGTTGTTGAGCTTTCTTGCTGTTAGCTGGTAGTACATCATTTACTTACATGTTATTCCGTCGTCATTCCACCGGGAGTACGTCTCGTATCGGATACTCAATTATCGTCACGGCAGGCAAGGCTGAGGACGTAGCCGAGATACGGGTTCGTGAAAGGGCCAAGGCAGGAGCACAAATAAAGGTAGGCGTGAGCATCAGGCTGGTAGATTGGATCTGTTTCTGTTCTGTTCTGTCTTTCCGTCTTGCTTTCTTCTGTTCATCATCATCATAGACCTCACTTTCAATTGATCACGCTTTTTGTCTCATCCCGTCTTTGTGTTTTCCACTAGGTACGTACGGGTACGCGTCCCAAAAAAAACGCGACAAGAGGTCACCGTTCACGCTCCTCGCAGTTAATCTACTCAATCGCGTCCGTCGATCAAGAAATACCGGTCGGTAGCACGCGCTCGACCAGCACGGGGTTCGTTGTCGGCGCCGGTTTGCTACCATGTCGGTCCGCCGCCCGAAAACGGAACATTGCATTGCGCCCGTGAATCGCTGACGGCGAGATATTTCGGCCGCGTCGTGTTTCCGATAGATTGCGGTCTCTCTCTATCTCTCTCTCGCGAGAGTTCAGTCGACGGTGATGGTGTTGGGTGGTGGTGGTGGCGACCCCGCGATAATTGCGATGGGTGGGGAAAAAAAGAGGCTAGTGGGTGCAGCGTCCTTTGGCTTCGTTGGCCTGTTCACCCTTTTCGCTACCCGGACCAGTTATCGAGTTGGCCTGGACCGCATCGGATGTCCCATTCGCGGATCGAAGCGCCGTACGAACGACGGAATAGGCACCTACTTGCTAGGCATCTCGATGATATATGCTCTGTGTGCTGTCACGATCCAATCGTGACTGTTCTGTGGGCTGTTAGAGCTGGATGCTGCCGGATCAGCAGCGCCCGAGAATGCGATGTTGCACCGTTGGCTGGTCGTAGGTCGAGGCAACTTACGTGGTTCTGCCACTGCAGATAGGTATTTCAATGGGCCCTTTTCTGCGGAGTCGTCAGCTAACTGCATTAGATCCTGTCGAGAAATGAAAAATAATAATTCCATTTCACCAACCCCATGAATTAATCGATAACGACAACTCGTAAGTGCATACTAGTACGGAGCCGTTCTCGATTCGCGAGAAAAGAAAAGGAGCAAAGCAGGATGGTGTGGACTGACTGGTGGTGTTGGTGGTCGTTATCGAGATGAAGCAAACAGAGAGGAGGTCACGCATAAGTGCGCGCTGGGCAGGTTGGCCTAATTACTAGCAGACGACGCTGGTTCCAATGGTTGAATGGAGTTCGCCAGCTTTCCTTCCCGCCTGGGCTGGTGCCAACTAATTAACGATTTCTTCCCCGCATCCCCACCACGTGGCGAGTGATCGCTAGCTGCACTTCGTGGCTCAGCGGGGTTGCTGAGCTGCGGCAGGGGTGTCTTAGTGTCGCCGCCGGACAACAGGCAATCGCGTCACCCCGTCCCCGCATTCCGCTTTTACGACTATGGCGGGTGGCCGTCGATGACTTCCCGCTGTCGTTGAGCAACAAATATCACCGACAACGTATCCTTCGAGCAGCGAAGTCGACACCCGTATCGATAGCCACCCACCGCCCACCGAAGCACACGAACGAGCAAGCAACATCACCGAATTGCACTCGACCTCGTCCCCTCCGCCACGAGCAAAGACACCCGTCAACAATACGTATCGCAACATGCCGTCCTCAGACACTCCCAATTTCTGCAGCGTTTGCGGAGAGCCGTATCACTATTCGTGCCCATCGCTACAAGAAGACCCAGGACAGGCGGAGAAGCAGCAATCCCACAAGGAACTGGTCGACACGCAGGACACGAAGGAATCAGAGCAGTCGCTGGTAAGCTTGAGGCCGGAGGATCAGCAGACGATGGTGACCTTCCGGCCGGAAGACCAGCAGGCGATGGTTAGCTACCGGCCGGAAGACCAGCAGGCGATGGTTAGCTACCGGCCGGAAGAACAGCCGTCGGAGGAGTGGGCGGTTGTGCGCGTGGATCCGGACCGCCAGCAGTCACCGGATCGCGACATGGAGATCGTGCAATCGGACTTCCAGCAAAATCAGGAGGCTGCGGACGGAGGCGTCAAGCTGCACCCCCAGCTGCAGCAGCCGCATCACCAGAAGCAAACGCAAATGTGGGCTGGGAAAACCGCGGAACGGGATTACCCCAGGTCGCCGGATCATTCGGCAGAGGGGAGCGTGGACCACGAATACCAAAGGCCACCGCAGCGACGGGGGGCTCCGCATTGGGCCGTGGATGGCGTCGACCCGGATTACCCAAGACCACCGCAGCGACGAGCGGCACCGAATTGGCCAATGGGTGGCGTTGACTCGGATTACCAAGGGCCACCGCAGCGACGGCCGAACTGGGCAGTGGGGAGCATGGAACCGGAGTGCCTAATGCCACCAATGCCACCACAGCGACGAGAAGCACCGCATTGTGGGATGGGAGGCATGGAACCGGATTACCCAATGCCACCGCAGCGACAAGACGCACCGAATTGGGCAATGGGGGGCGTCGACCCGGATTACCCAATGCGGCAGCAGCGACGAGGAGGACCGCATTGGGCAGTAGGAGGCATGGAACCGGATTATCGTATGTCACCGGAGCGACATCCCGCAGCGAATTATATGCCAGCTATGGTGAGCATTGAGACCGATTCCCCGTTTCGATGAAAGTGTATACTAACGCTCTCAAGGCGAACCCATTCTTTCAGGCGATGGTCAGTTCAGGCGTTGACGGTATGTCGAGATAGCATGCTGACGATGGTTTAGGCAAGTCCGATGGCGTCCGTTTATAATACACTTTCGCATTGGATGCCGGCTTGGATGCCGGCTTGGACACCGGTCTGGACGCCGGCGTGGATGCCAGGTTGGAAGCAGACATGGGCCCCGGCGTGGATGGTGATGTGGACACCATGGCGTTCATACTAGTGTCGTAACGTGAGTTCCATCTTCCTTCGAGCGGTTACGGTTTTACTTTTGCAGTCGGTGATGCGATCTTACTTGATTGCTATTTTCTAACGGAGTCTGATATTTCCATAGGGGTTGACCAGTCGATAGTTGTCTGAGTTGAGTCTGAGAAGGAAGAAACAACGAGTCGCCGGTGAGATGGCGGTATTGATATAACGAGGCGATTTTTTTGGAGTTTGGAGTTTGCATAGTAGAAGGGGAACGTATGAGAAGACCGGCGGGACGAGTGGATATGGAGGTGTATCAAAGAGAACATACTATCGCTCTCATTCAAATTGAATCTTGGTAAAATCTGAATCGTGGTGAGATATCACTCCTCGCTATCGTAGTATCTGCGGGAACTACATACCATGTAGCTTTCTGTGACGTAACGCAAGGTTGCGCTGACCGAAACAGCCTGGTTCGTGGGGTTGGCCCGATTGCCATCAGCCTCGTCACATGCTCCATCAGCCTTAGCCCGTACCAGTCATCCTTGAGCGATCGTACATATCATACACCGTCCACCGCTCCTCTTCGCCCGGACACGCAATCCCAACACCGCAGCACCGTTCGTCCATTCTTGCTTTGGAATCCGCTTCCCATCGCCGAATGCCATCACCGGCCACATCGCCTGAGCCCGCATATATCGCCCTCGTCGTTTGCCAGAATCTCGGCTCGGCGTCCAGCTGGAACCTGATGTGGAGCGAGCAGTTTTTTAAACACCTTCCGCACGCAAGTCCCCCTACAGATTCACGAAATCTTCCATACCTGACTTCTGTAGGGACGCGGCACAGTAACGCCCTCGAGATTGCGGCGGCGGTGGAGGTGCCTACAGGTGGTGACCCCCACATGCGAGTGGCCGCAGGTCCGAAAGTTACCGCATGTGAGCACCGCCCATGCCAATTCATCCGCCGAACCGACGCTGCCCGCGGATGATGAAGGTTATTGTGTCGAGCGCTGGTTTCTCCAGTCGGTGGATCGCTACAGCTTAATTCCTGCAGATACAAGTGGCCCAACTGCCTGTCCGGCCGATTGAAGCTTGGTATTTTCACGGTTTCCAACTTGGTAATGTCTGCTTGGCGTCGCAACAACCCGGCATGGATTATGTGTGCTCCAGCACGTGCGAAATCTGACCTGATAGCAGGAGTGGATGCCTGTGTGGAGTGAAACGTTGTCGCGATGCCTGCGGAAGAGGGATTAGCCAGGGTTATTAACCGTTCGGGAAGCCACGTACTCGCTGGTCAATCTACCTATGAGCCTTTAAGGAGCGGCCACCGCACGACCATCCAGAGACTGAATACCCCGCTGAGCCTGTTTCCCCCGCGCGTCCCTGGGATCTGCAGATGTCGTTCGTGGCGGCAGTTGCAACGATGCACCCACTGCATTAGCTCAGGGCCGGCAACGGGCCGCACGGGCGGAACACCTGTTGATATACATACACCTCTCGTGCCTGCCGCGTCGGTATGTGGCGTTTGCAAACATGAGCGCATATGGAAGCGAGCCTCTGCGCCTGTACAAGCGAGCTTCTGCGCCCGATACTAGCCGGCTTAAGTGAAGCAGTTGCGTGTCTACCCGAGTCCTGCAGGGGAGAAGGGGCCAGGAAGCGCTTACGGCTCCTATAAATACGATGTTACCGCCGCGTGGTGGGATTCAGTCCATAAATCTCTGTCGATATCACCCCCGAAAGCCGTCGACCTACGGATCTTTCCTCCCAGATTGCAGTTCGACCAGCGGGAAACATGAAACCATCAGCCGTGATGACCGACGAACCGGTTGTAAGTTCCCGTGGCCAGTACGATCGTACTTTACCGTCCGGTGGGCTCACAGATTGCAGTTGGAAGTCGACTCGGAAACGAATTTGTCTACATCGGACTACTCCTCTACACTGTACGTGCACATCCTACCATAGGCCCATGCGCGACGACTGACGGTACCGCAGGGAAGGTTCCACCGACAGCATAACCTCGTCGATAGTCGACTACGTCTACGAGAATGGTCGACGGTATCACCGGTTTCGGGAGGGCAAGTACCTTTTGCCAAACGACGAGAAGGAGCAAGACCGGTTAGTAGTACCTACCTCGAGTGTGTCGAAGCCGTGTGTGGCACAGCTGATTTTTTCCGGTGAACAGCCTCGATATGTACCACCATCTCCAGCTACTCCTGCTCAAGGGTGCGCTCCACGTCGCCCCTATCGCCGAGAAGCCACAGCACATTCTCGACTGCGGTACCGGAACCGGCATCTGGGCGCTGGATGCCGGAGAGCTGTACCCGTCCGCCGAAGTCGTCGGCGTGGATCTGAGTCCGATACAACCCAACTGGGTCGTGCCAAACGTGCGATTCGAGGTCGACGATCTCGAGATGGACTGGACATTCAGCAAGGTATGTACCATACGCATCCACTGCATGCCCGTGATCGCCCAACCACCGCCGACCACCGACTGACTGACTCGGATAGGATTACTTCGACTTGATCCACTCGCGCAACATCGCGCAGAGCATTCGTGACTGGCCGAATTACCTGCGACAGATGTACCGGTTCGTCGCCGCTTGCTTCCCCCCACCACCACCGCCTCTCGGCTGACCACGTACTAGCCACACCAAGCCCGGCGGCTACATCGAGCTAGCAGAAGCCGAGGCGGCGCTGCACTGCGACGATGACACGTTCGAAGGCTCCGCGCTGCAAACCTACTTCGTAACGTTTATCAAAGCGACGTCGGGGGTGCACATCGTCAACCCCACGGGGGCGCTACTAAAGTCGATGGTCGAATCCGCCGGATTCGTCGATGTCACGGTATGCCCACTTACACTGGTCCCGTTTCTTCGCGAACTATCCAATGACGCGGGAAAACAACCCAGACCCACCCAGGAAAGCAGCCGTGGGGCGGCTGGCCAAAGAACCCACAGCTGAAGCGCGCGGGGTATATCGCCACACTGAACAGCGCGTCAGGCCTGGAGGCCTACGCTATGGCCCCCATGACTAGATACCTCAGCATGAGCTCAGAAGAGGTCATTAATATGTGCAGGGCTGCGCACGCGGATGTCGACAGCAAGAGGGTGCACGCTTATCAATTGATGTATGTGTTTACCATCCGGATGATGCCCGATCGGTTACTGATGTGCGGTGTAGGTGGCACGTTGTCGGCCGGAAACCGGAGGAATAAGGAACGGGGACTCGGGAGTGGGAGTGAGAGAGCGGGAGAGCGGGATCCGGTTTAGTACATATTACAGTGCCAGAGATAGCTTATCTTTTTCTTTGTGAAGCGAAGCGAAAGTATCGAATTCACCGAGTCTTCATCCAATATCGGTAGCGATTGATCCATCGAGCGCATGGTGTTGTTGAGCCCCTCGCAGCAATACCGTGTGATGAAGCCCATGTTGTGGATAGGATTCAATCGTGTGATCTACTATGATTCCGTAGCTACCCTCGAAGCGCTTCTATCATGATTGCCTCAGGAGGATGGGTTGCAAGCATGGAACATCACGCGGCGTGATTTCACGGATTGACCTGGTCATTCCCTAGGGTACAAGTAATGAGGCAAACCGGCATTTTATGGTCAATGGGTCGCAAGAAACACCACCCTAAAATGAGGTCACTCAATTAGTGAATGGAATGAGGTCCAAGATGTCGCATTAACGGAGATGTCACTCAATGCAGCATAATGATGAATGCGACAAGACGTAGAATGCACTGGGTTTTGAGATGGTTTTGTTGCAAAATGCGATATTTTGGGTAATTTGCAGTGTTATCAAATGCGTTACATTCATATGTGGTACTATACGGCTTGTCCTCCTAGACAGTCCTCCAGTTGCACCGCAGCGTACCGCCCTCTCCGACCGCGGTTAGCACACTCTCCTCCGCGATGCCCCCGCTGTCCTTACTGTCGTGCACTGGCGGTCAGCCCTCGGTCCTCCCACAGTCTGTGCGCCGCAGATACCAGAGGTTTATCACCGCAGATACTACATTGTCGTCGCCACGGATACCACATTGTTGTTGCTGTCCTGCACTGGCGGTCAGCGCCTGGTCTTCCCCACTCTCTCCGCTACGGACAGCACGCCCGCCTCTCTGTCTTTGCCTTGTCCTTTCATGATAGCCTCGCTGTAGGCTGTCGGTGCCATCTCCCACTATGCAGTCCTACACTCGAGTCAGCTCAGTTTTCCCGCAGATGTCACCGCCATCTCGCCGCGGATACCACACTCTTGTGGAAGTGGTGGAGCAGCTGTCTGTGGGTGGGGGGGGGGGGGGGGGGGGGGGGGGGGGGGAGGAGGAGGAGCTGTTAGCGAGTAAAGGAAATAGAGAAATTGGTTGAAGGAGGGAAGGAGCTGTCGGCGAGATGATGAAATTGCGGACGTAGCGGAGAGCTGTCAGAGAGACGAGGAGCTGTCAGCGAGATGATGAAGTGGAGGGCGTAGCGGAGGAGCCGTCAGCGAGACGAGGAGCTGTCAGCGAAATGAGGAAGTGAAGGAGGAGCTGCCAGTAAGATGAATCATGAGGAGCTGTCGGTGAGATGAGGAAGTGAAGGAGGAGCTGTCGGCGGGGGGTCGGGGGCAAAGTAATGTGATTATTAGTGAGCATCAACGTTGGTGGGCATGGCGGGGTCGGTCGAATGAGGAGGGGGACTTAAGCTCGCACCCACGACTTTTCTTCTTCTTTCTCGATCATCATCTATTGAGTAAACGGTCAAACCTTCATCTCCGCTCTCTCCTCTTTGTACGCTCCCTTCCTCGTCACGTGTGCTGGGGAGGCATTGGCAAAGAGCCCTCGCAAGCATGTCCTCGCCGTGGATATTATGCTCGCGTTGCAGTGGATACTAGGGGGGGAGAGGAGGAAGAGGTTGAGCGTCTACTTATTCTGTAGATGACGATGAGAGAGAATGAGGGGAGGTAAAGGTTGGTCGTCAATTCTTTAGACAACGATGAGAGAGATGGTGTGGCCCGGCAAAGGGGACGGTGAAATGAAGAATGATGGAGAAGTTAAGGCTCGATTCAACTACTCCACCAGCGCCAAGCTGGAATTCCTTGCTTCCACTGATGTGGGGAGATAGATACCTGAGACCGCTAAAGAAGATACAGAGAGCGAGGTCTCCGAATGGGAGCTCAGGGAGCGGGAAGAAAGGGGTGCGGAACTGAGGCGACAGGAGGAGGGGGGGTGCTGAAGTTGAGGAGCCGGGCTCTAGCCCGCTGTTCCTCCCCCCACCTTCCTTCATGGCATCCCTTTTGGAAGAGGCAGGAAGCGGTGACGACTAGGGACCTGCGGTGAAGCAGGGAAGAGTTGAGGAAGTGGAAGTTGTCTTTTCTTAGTGTCATTTCTTTGGTGCGCTCATACATCGATGGGAAAGGCCACGGGGGGGGGCAGGGAAAGCCACATCGGGCCACCTGATGAAAGCTGGGTTGGACAGTGGCGGGGAAACGGGGGGTGAACGGGTAGATATTTCCATGATCTAGATAGGTCGCATGCAATCAATGAATGAACAAAACAAAAAGTCACTGCGCGTGGTGATGATGCGGACGGTGATGCGGACGGTGATGCGGACGGTGATGCCGACGGTGATGCCGACGGTGATGCGGACGGTGATGCCGACGGTGATGCCGACGGTGATGCCGACGGTGATGCCGATGGTGCGTGGCACGGTGACGGTGACGGCTACACACGAGGTGCGAAACCGGTGAACCGCTCTCGCGTGATCGGCGAGAGAGGATACGATGGCGTGGCCGGATGTTGGACATCGCGGGTTCCTATATAGATGGTCGTCGATGAGGCGGCGAGTAGAGTAAAAGATCGTCGGTAGAACTGCTGATCGTCGACGATGTTGAAGCTGCTTGCGCGATGAGGTGGTGAGGGAGCAGCAGCCGACTTTGGGGAGAGGCGTCGTAGTCAGGGGCGAGGAACGTGCATCACCAGTCGTGACACAGAAGAAAGGATCAGGTGAGAGAGTAACAACGAGTCAAGCGACCGAATATCAAAAGAAGCACACTCGAGCAAAGCAAAGAGGAACTACCGAGACTGAAGAAAGCAAAGCAAGCAGCGATGAAATCAAGCGATGAACGAACAGCCCGAAGAATAGTGATGATGGATGATAGCGATGATCGAGGATGAACGACACACGGCCTTCAGAGAAGTGCGGCCCTCTCCGACCTCGGAATCGAGAAAACAGAGCGGCCAACCTTGGCCCCCGCCGCATCGTCGTACCGCCGTTGAGAACAACAGAAACGATCAAAACAAACCGGAACCGGCGAGCAAAACAAAACAGGTCCCCCTGCACAGGCCTGCAGCCCCAGGTACGACAGCCAGTCCGAACGTCTCCACAGAAAATCTGCGCAAGGTCCGCAGCCCAGGGTCAAAAAATGCTGCCACGACGACCGTTCCAGCTGCGTCCCACAGTGGGTGTCTATAGGAGCGTTGCGCGATGTGACTTCACGTGGATACGGCCAGACATGGGCCGTCTCTCGGCGTCTAGACTTCACGTAGTGTTGATATTATGCGTCTTATCACCTGTTCCGGTGTCACTGCTACTTTCCACTGTCCTTTACTACTTTCCACTATCCTTGCATACAGCCCTCATTTCCTTCGTAGCTGCTTAGCATTGTCTGTGGCTTCTCATTTGAATCGGCCTCGTCAGCTGAAACCCTTCAAGCCACCAGCCCAGTCTGGCGAAGAGTATCCGGCGCTGAGTACCGTCGCATCCTCTGTCTGAGGCTCGGCCTTCTCCTCGTCTACACGAGCTCGTTCCCCTCGATACGTAGTCCTCTTTCTCTCCATTCTCATGTTTCTCGTATCAATACATCAAGTCAAGTTCTTCTCCCAATTCCAACAAGTAGCCATGTCTAAACATGCGATCTCACTCGGCCTCTAGCCTGTGGTTGGAATCGACTATCTTCAGCCTCCTCGATTACCATCTAGGTACACCGACGCACAAGCCGCCATTAGGAGAATAACGCGCAATGCATCAGGCCCCGGCTAGAAGTACACACTCCAGGTACGGAAGCAGATCACCACTCTCCGCCAGCGGCCAAAGGGAACCTGAAAGCAGCACTGAGATCAGATGGATGCTGCCGGCCCGGCCCACCAATATGTCCGTGGGAACGGGAAGGCGGACGAATGGTCCCAACTGGCAGCCGACAACCGTACTGCTCGCAGAGGAGTGGAGGGCCCTCACCACAAGTACCGCCATGGCTCCAGTCAGCCACCACCTGCAGTGCATCACTGGCATTGCTGAGACGAGGCGTCACGGAAAGGAAGTTGAAGGAAGCCGAGGCTTGGGCGGACAGAAAACCCACTCACAAGAGGTATCGGTATGTACACACAGCCGGAAGTCTGGCCAGAGACGTGACCCAATCCAGAGACGGCCCGGCCCGCAAGCGCCTAGTCGCGAGATTCTAACAACTGCAGACAGGACACAGCCTCACTGGCCAGTATCTCCGATGCCCAAATAACGGTCACAATGGCCGCAGGCCGCAACGGCTAGTGCCGGTACAGAACTCAGACCTGGGAAGAGAGAGCGGAGCTAAGGCCACTCGACGAGGAGCAGGAGGAGGAGGAGGACGGTGCGGAATTTGAGGAGTCGAGCGATTTGGAATAGCGGACCACTGCAGAGACGTGCGGCGGAGGTGGGAAGACTCCAGGGCGCGGGCGGGTGCGGGTGCGGGGGGGCGAGTGCGGGGCGAACGGTGGAGAAGGACGTGGCGAGGCGAGAGGGAACGATTGTTGCCTATTCCTGTTCGTAGCTCTGTCTCTGCTTTAATTGGTGAGCTCATATACTTTCGGGAAAGGCCGGGGCGGAGAGGGCAGGGAAAGTCACCTCGGGCCGCTCAGTGAAAGCTGGGTTGGACAGTGGGGTGAACGGGGCGATACCGCCATAATCTTGATAGGTCGTATGAAATTAGTGATTAAACAAAAAACAAAACAAAGCGGATAGTGCGTGGGGCGGTGCATGGTACGACGGTGATGATGCTGTCGATGATGAGTGCTGTGCTAGGGACGGTGACGGTGACGGTGACGGGTACATACGATGTGTGAAACTAGTGATCAGGAGAAGGTGGTGATCGGTGAGAGCGGAGAAGATGCCGGGAGCGGATGGTGGACATCCCGAGTTCCTGGATGGACGTTGAAGAGGCCAAGAGTAGAGTAAAAGATCTGCGGTAGAGCGTTTATTTGTCGGCAGAGAAGAGCGGAGGAAAGGGTGAACTCAAGGTGGAGATCCGAGGCACACGGCCAGAACCACGACAACCACGAAGCGACGAAAACAACAACGCCGAAAACACGGAAGGGTTATCAACCATCAAACGAATTTCTTTACACAACTGAGCACGGAGATGGGGAGGACGGCGGCCGGCGGCCGTGTGGAGGATTGGTTGTTGTTTTTCCTATTCATACCAGCTATAGCCTTAGGGCCCTAAGCCGTATGAAGAATGAATAAATAAATAAATGTGACTTCACGTGGATAGTACTAAACACTGCTTGTCACTCGGCATATAGCCCTTAGGCTTGGAAACAACGCCGCCTCGAGCAGCTGGTGACCTTTAGCGATAAACACCGCTTCACCTCACCTCCCACCTCTCCTCTTTCTCTCTTCCCACTATCTCTCTTCCCATCCACTACATCCACCACAACCCCCCAACTCCTGCTTCCACCACCACACATCTTCTGAAACCACCACACATCTTTCTCACCACTGCACGCTTCAGTTACTGATAGCAAACCACGAGAACAATGGATAAAGCACGCAGCGTGCAGATGAGTAAACGCGGTGCAGACAACGGCGAGAACACCAGCGAGAAACAACCCAAAGCTGCTACGCGTTCCCCACTGGCGTCAGTAACTAACAACGTCGTCCCACCGAAGACCAATCCCGCTGCCATTCCCTTGCCGAGATATCGTATGGGATCTGGATCGGGATCTGACACCCTTCGGTTGAAGAAACGGAGATGCGGCACCTCCGACGCGAAGAACATAGACACAAACACAAACACTCCATCTCCTGAAGGCCCGAGTAGTCGAAGGGTGCGATTGACGGATGATACCCCAATCACTCCTGCCCCAATCACTCCTGCCCAGCCATCGAGATGAATGTTTCGACGGAGTTGAAGCAGACCAAGGATTCCAAGGAGTCAAATGAATCTAACGAGGAGAACAATTCCAACGAGACGAAGGAGTCGACCGAGAAGAAGTCGACCGAGACGACCGACTTGAAGGAGCTGAAGGAGAGGATATCACGGCTATCGGAGAAGCTGATGGCACGGGGATGCAGCCCTAGCACGGGCGCATTGAAAGAGGATTTCAACATTCCGATTGAAACACAGAGGCGGCGGTGGTCCGGGGGGATGGTGGGACGCGAAGGGAACAACCGTGACATGGACTGGTTCAAGACGAGGCTCGGTGCCTTCAGGGAGAGGCTCGACGAGCGGTTTGATAAGCAGGGGTGGCGAAAGTCCGAGAAGGTAAACGATCCACCCCCACTTAGTCCATCCACAGCCACTGATCTGAATATAACGACAAAGTCGAAGGAATCGAAAGATTCGAAGGAGACAGAGGAGAAGAGCGAGCCGGAGGAGAAGATCCAGCCGAAGGAGGTGAAGCCCGTGCGAGAGTCGATAAGACGGGTATCCGAGAAGCTTCTGGTACGTGAACGCAACCCTGGCACGGATGTATTTCAGCTAAAATTCGATAAGAATATTGCAACTCGGAGGCAGTGCCGCTCGGAGGAGCTGGTGACAGTTGGACACAGACATAGCATGGATTCATATAAGACGGGACTCAATGCTTTCAGGGCCAGACTCAACGAGAAGGTTCAGAATCAGAAGAAGCGTTCCGAGGAGATAGTGGGAGCTCAACGCCGGCGGAGCTTGAATTTGTATAAGACGAGACTCAATGTTTTTCGAGAGGGGCTCAATGCGAAGGTTGAGGAGCAGAGGCGGAGGCGATTCGAGAGGAGGAAGGATGCTGCAAGGAAGAGCGCCCAGGAAAAATTGGAATGGGTGATAACGAAGGACAAGGAAGGAAGATTGGGCCTAGAGAGGAAGAAGGTGGTGTCTCCCAGCACGAGACAGGTGGATGCAGCGGAGACCGAAACCGGCGACGACTGCAGAAGAGGAAAGAGAGTTATACCTTTCCCGCCGCTAGCTTTCAATGGAGTCGTCGCATTGAAAGCAATGCCCGCTATCCTCCCACCGAGATTGGGCTTGGCGTCCGCCGATTTCAGTCCGTCGAGGAAACGGCGACGGAGCAGCTCCGACTCCATGGGCTCTCTAGTAGAGCCGGATAATCGACGAGTACGATTTACGTACGATGACGATTCGAAGTTCCAGCGAAAGGAGAAGCTGGTGGCACAGCAGGGCGGCCCTGGCATGGATGTCTTCAAGGAGAGGCTGAATGCAACGAGACAGAGGTCCGAGATGCCGCCGTCACCCGCACCCGCACCCGCTCGGCGCCCGAAGCCCACACCCTTGTACACGCGGATGGTGACTTCCCGCACCTACCTCCCACCGCCAGCCCACGCCCAGCCAGCGAAAGGTCTCCTCTGGGCTCCGGCAGTCTTCGACTCCGCGCCGGATACCCGTACCTCTCCGAATTGATTTCAGCGTGCGGATGCGAGATCCCCGCTGCTTACCCTCACAAGCGAGGATAATCGCAGGATCAGGAAGCTGCAGGAGCTGAAGGCGGATTTTGACCTGGAGAGGGCCAGAGCCAGGTGGATTGTCCATCAGGCGGACGTGATAATGGAGGGTTTCTCCCCGAGGTTGAGGGAGGAGATCGAGAGCATGGGGGTCGGGCCGGGTCCGACGCAGAACCTAGTTTCCAACGACGAGGACAGCGAGGACAGCGAGGACGAGGATGCATAGCATGTAGTAATTGAGGAGCTTAACTTTCACGGGGGGGACGAGGATGATTCATTATTTTTATGGGGGACGAGGATAGTCCACATTAAGCCCAGCAGTGTCAGTACATAATACAAGAGAGAGAACATCAATTGATTGTCGTCTGCAGCATTACTGGACCATACAACCCAGGACTCCCCCAAGAGTAACAATGCCTATGAATGCGCCTTTCTGCACGTAGAGGCATAATGGCCTATGCCTTTGCATGTTGAGAATCGGGGTGGGGCACGATCTGGGATATATTCCTGTTTGGTGACTAGAGTCAATCCTACAATGAATTAACCGTGTGCGCTTCATGCCTGATGTAATGCTTCCGTGATGTTGCTATTACCTGGATAGCCTAAGGTCAACTGCATCTGTACTGATATGTATTTCCGGGTGCATGAGGTGGGTATGTTGCCAGCTCGCTGAGTGTAATACCTAGTGTCATTGTGATTCCATACTCCCCAATATTCATCCGACCATAATTTCCAATCGTTAGGCTTTCAATATCGCATATGCCACCGTGGGCGGTCCCGATCGCGGGAAACCCTGCGCGAGGTCGGAAACCCCGCCTCCTCTACTTTTGTAGATTTACATCAACTAACTTGGCGAGAACCAACGTACGGTATCCAAGCTGTCCTAACTACCCACTGCACCCTGGTTTTTGGCCAGCTCTTCACACAGCAACACTCGGCGTGCGAGTGATATCCTATGCCTTGGCCGCTGCAAAAAGCATCAATAACGACTCTCAACAGCGATTCAGTTTCAAGTATCTCGTGAGAGTGTTCCTCGCCAGATCTGGAAATCTTGGCCTTCCTCGCAGAACTGGCCCTCAGTTTCGCGATCGAAGATGACGACAACGCTGCGGCCGCCGGCACCCCCGCCGACGTGGATGTGAAAGCCGACAAGAACAACATGGGAGGCGAACAGAGGAAGGAGCTGGTGGAAGACTAGGAGGAGAACGAGAAGAACAAGGAGAAGATCCATGAAGGAGAAAATTGACGAGATGGATATGTAAGATAAGCAAGAGGGCGATGACGAGGAGGTTGCTCAGAGCTCAGGGAGCCGTTATTTTGTTTTATTCTTTCAAATAGTATCGGAAATAACTGCATCCTCAATGGCTGTGTATCCTTTCGAGCTCGTCACGCTGGCCGCCGGCTGCGACACTTATGTACCAGATGGTTGTCGCAGGCTCGCAGCCAGCTCCGCTATAGTGACCATGGACTTGGCGGCTGGGGGCTCGAGGCAGCGAAATATATGCCACATCCGTTTCTCTGGAAATACCACCCACGGTCTCTCTGTACGTACCAGAGCTAGTGTTCAGCAAGCAAGCTGTCGCAACTATCCGCTTCTCCGTGATTGTCGGGCAGCCCTCCACTAAGCATCACTTGGTTCACAAGTGACATCGCATGCCTCGAACGCCGCGACACGCTTGAATAACAACTCTCAACAGCGATTCAGATCCAAGCACCTCATCGGGGTTCTTCTCCCACACATCTATCTCTTTCACTTGCTTCTTCCAACCACCTTGTTCCTCCCACACCACCAATCTGACAGTAACGTCTCACCGAGAACGAAAATAACAGCGAAAACCCTCACACGTTCCCACCCTCTACAACCACAATCTCAACGACGGCGGCTATTGCCACAACTGCCACTACCGCCTCTCTCCACGCGGCCACCACCGACAATAATGCCACCCTCGAGGCCATGAGTAGCTTCCTCGACATATTGGCCTTCTTGGCTGAGCAGGGCCATGTACCGAGCAGTAGATATAAGCTACGGCCCATAGTTACGGGCAGAATCTTCCAGGGCAGTCACCAGTGCGGTATTAACCACCGATACCATAGCCGGTACCGAGCGCACTCTGCTAGTAGTAGTTAGTAGTAGCTGGTGCCGTGACTGGCGCGGTGGTTGGTGGCAGCGGAACCGCTTCCTGCCAATCAATACTGTTTAGGACCGGTAACTTGCAATTAACTTTTGTTTCTTACTACCGGTACTTTAAGGCCGGTACTGCCAAATCGCTTTCGAATATTAGCTTTCAAGTGGGTATGTACTTATCTGTGTATGTGTGTACCGTTTAGCACAGTCGAGTAACTAGGGCGGCCGGCGGCCGGTCGACCTCGAGATCAGATGACCGGCATTTCCAGGAGCCCACATCCTTACGTCATACATTCTACTTTACACACTCCGCAGAGAAGAGAAGAAAACGAAACCCAAAATCACCGCGAAATCACCCCAAAATCATACACAAAATAAGGAAAAAAGGACTTTTGAAATACTACAAAAAGCCCGGCAACAAGAAAAAATGACCGGCAAGAAAATGCCGGCCAACAAGAAAAAATGCCCGGCAAAACACAGGCAACAACAAAAACCAAGAAAAAATCGAGGGGAAAACCCAGCCGAAAAAAAGAAAAAGAAAAGAAAAGAAAAGAAACCGCCGGAAAAAACCGCCCCCCCTCCCAGGCCACCCCCGTGTTCAGTACCCCGCCCTCATCCTCCTCTCCTCCATCTCAGCCTCCAGCATCGTCGCCGGCCCGTGACCGTACCAAAAGGGCACCATCGCATGAAACGGGTTTGCGAGAATGCTGCTAGAGCCTTTGCGGTAGCTTGAGCCCGAGCGGGGGAATCAGACTGAGCTGGAGCGAATGAACCAGACTCAGCTGGAGGGGAGGAACCAGACTGAGCTGGAGAAAAGCTGGTTAGTTTTGTGGGAATGTTGGAGAGATCGAGCAGAGAAGACAAAACTGAGAGTCGTGGGAATGTTCGAAAGATCGCGCAGCGAAGAGGAGGAAAGTTGTGGAAACGTTTCTGAGATTGAGTAAAGAAGGCAGCAGGAGATTTGTGGAACCAGGGTTGTGATGTGGAAAGGAGAAGAGGTTTTGTGGAGGAAATTCTCGCGCGTTGTATGGGTGACGTCGACCACTAGTCGTTGCCCTAATTTTGGTTTTTTTTTGACGCCCAACTCACAGCGAATTCCGCTAGATCACTCGGTTGTGGTTGCTACTGTCGCTGGAATCCACTATCAGATCGTACTTATCAGATCACTAATCTACCCCGTCCCACCACCAATCTAGCGCCTAGAGTGACACTTCGGCGGCGAAGAAGCCATCCGATAAGCAATTTTACGTAGGGATCGCAGTAACTACACCGTAGCAAACATGATTGCCACCTACTAGTAGGTCACGGGAAGGATATGGAAGACCAAGTGAAGGGCGATGACGAGGAGGTTGCTTAGAGTTGAGGGAGCCCTTATAGTCTGTTTTTATTTCAAATATTATCGCAAATAACTGAATCCTCAATGACGTTTTGTCATTTCAAGCTCGTCGCGCCGGCCATCTCGTAGCCAGCTCAACTATACCATTGACATTTTCGCTGGGGCTCTAGGCAGCAGTATATACGCGATATGCGTTCCTATCAAAGTGTAATATATGGTTTCTCAGTAAATATTGGAGCCTATTTACCGAATGCAAGCGGTCGTGACTACCGGCTGCTCCGTGTTTCAACTTTCAAACGAAAATCTTCACCGATGGTCACTCGCTTAGCGAGTGACATTACATGTCTCTGCAGCAGCGACAAGTCTGAATAACGACTGACGATTTTTGAAGAAGCCGAGAGCGGGGAATGTCTTTCGCGGGCTGGCATTGTAGGACTGGCAGTTGCGTGCTGAATTAAGATAATGATTATTATAACTGGGACCGAAGTAGTTACCGTAAAAGATGTATCCGACACGTGTTAGTTCCGGGAAAACCGGGTGGCAGGAATGGCTGTATCTCGAGGATCAATGTTGAAGGAACGCTGTACGGCTGCTTTCTGGATCGAAGTTCGTTGGAACTAGAGGAGGTATCGTGCACGGAGTTGTGTAGTATGGGCGATGTGGAATAGGTACTACTATGCAGGAGAACGACAGCCACAAGCTCAATCCGTAGACGGCGAAAACGAATGCAGCCCACTGGGGGGGAGCAGGGAGTTGGGGGAAGAGTTGGTAACAGAGTAGTAGCAAGGATTTGTTCGCCGTCAAGTTGAGGAACGCCAGCTGGTATTTAGAGATGATAGTGAGGCGGTGGTAGGTGTAGTTCAGTTGTGTAGCCTGCATCCTGGAACAAGGAGAATTGTCTCGCTGTTGGCCACTATTTGGCACTTCTTCTCAAGGACGCTATGCAACACCGCCGCCACCGTCCACGACTCTCACTTTCGGGCTCCCTACAGGGGACACGGACGTCATTCCGATAATAGCACCTAGTGTAGTTACCCCCGTTACTGTTTATCAACCATTATCTCGGAGTACGGTAATGTGGGTGCAGTTTGTCAGAGATAGCCACCGCAAGTCATGTCATTGTCCCCGCAGCAAATAATCTCTGGGGACACTGCTGTGTAGTAGTATTGTACAAAAGACGCGAGGATAAGAAACGCAAGAGTCAAGAGAGGATTAAACGGGGAATGAAGTATATTAAAATGAAAATAATTAAAATAGGATGGGGAGGAAGAAGAAAAATAGATGCAAACGAAAATCAAAAGAGAATAAAGGAAACGACAAGTAAAGGTGAAATGGTAGGGAGAAGAAAGGCATATAAAAATAGTAAGAATGAGAAGAAAAACAGGAGGGAGAAGAAATGCATATGGAAAAGATAAGAATGAAAAGAAGAAGGGAAACACCGAAGCAAGCCAAACACAAGAAAAAAACAGAAACACCTAAGCAAGCCAAACACCAGAAAATGCAGAAACAAATCAGTTCGGGAGAACATATGGCGCGTCATTGTTGTCGAGCATAGCTGTTCGGATGCTCTCAAGTAGGCGCTCCGCGGCAGCATACCCATACATAGAAAACCATTCGTCCTCGCTTTCGGACTCAGTGGTGGGTCCGCATGTGTTGACTGGCTTGGAGAGCGGAGAATCATCATCTGCCCGCTATTAGACATTATTATCGAATGGTAGAGCAGAAGAAAATACCTGGTGTCGTGATCTGTCCCAACTGTGGCTCAGCGGACTGCATCGCGGTATTGGCTGCCATTGGACCACCGGGAATCGGAATCGGTCTGGTAGCTGGAAGATGTTAGTTACTTCCATAATGTATCGTGTGGAAACTTACGGGTTTGACCACTGGTGCCAGAGGTGATTGAATCACCATCATCCTCGCTGTCGCTGACGAGGAGGACACCCCCCTCCTCCTCGTCATCATCGTCGACCATTTCCCAAGCATCTGTCAATGTATGAGATCAGCACCCAATGTCAATATTCATCACTGCAGAGGTGAGATACCCCTGCTGGGAGACGGCCCAACGTCGGACCTGTTGTCGGCCTGCTTTCCGCCGACGACCACCGAAATATCTTTTGCGACACCATATCAGTCATTGTTTTTAAGATTTAGGTTGCAACTAGTTATATACCTCCGTCGCCGTCCTTGCGGCGCTCGGCCACGAGGACCGCCACCATCCTACGCTTCCCCGCCGTAGTGGCGGAAGCGGTGCGGGAGCTTTCTAAATCAGGTCAGCATCAACTTCTAAGACGATCGAAACTAGCATAGATGACGTACTGCTCCAACGAGTAACACCGCGCTCGTCGGCGGCCTCATCATCCTCGTGAGGATTTTCGACTACAATAGCCCATCTATGCCAGTCTCCCTTTTGCCTGTTGACACGATGCTTCACCTCGGGCCGTTTAGCAATGGTGGCCAGCCTGGAGGCTGGAATGGCACCTCTGCGTTGCACTGCGAGGATGATTAGTATGAGACGCTTGCTATAGAGGAACTGGTGCCGAACCATTAGCAACGGCCCTATTCTCGGTGCTTGACTGGCCGTCCTCTGGGGTGTCCACGTGGGGGAGGCGAGGGGTGGACATGTTGGAGATGGATTCCTAACGAGGTGTAAGCCTTTGAGAATCCATTGGGCGTTGGAGAATTTGTAACAGACGATCAAATTATGAGAGCAGCTAGATTGGAGATACCACAGACTAGAGTCGAGCGGAGTGGAGAGGAGTGATGTGGAAAGAGGAGGAGTGGTGTGGAAAGCAGAGGAGTTGAAGGAAGTGGAGTGGAGAAGAGAGGAATGAAGGAAGGAAGGAAGGAAGCGAGAGAAGGCTTTCCTGGCACACCAGTCCGTCCGCGAAAACTTCGTGGAGCTGCAGGAGTCCTAGAATGGAAATTCACCGCCGAGAAAGGGATCGCCCCGCTCCTAGCACGGAATGCCCTCCTCTAGAATGAAGGAATGGTCAAACTCGACGATGACCGCTGTATCTTTCGACTATCGTAGCCACAAAATCCACAGAACCGGACGAAATACCCATCCCGTTTTTCTCTATACGGGAAGTGATATTTGTTGGACTTGGACTGTCGATTCGCATGTGTAGGAGCAAAAATCGATCAACTGATGATGGTGCAAAGTTCATCCGGGGCAGAGCTCTGAACTTCCACTCGAAGCTTCTACAATCACCTACTTCCATGGATACATTTCTACACTAACTACCGCCGTTTTACGTGCGAATTACTGGTTTTATTCTTCCTCTAAACGCCCTTACAACTACACCACGATCTATTCCACCCTCCCATTAGCCTCGCCATCTCGACCCTGCCTCTTTCAACCACAAACCCGAAGGCCTACGTCAAAACCGAGTAAGTATCTCCAACTGAGGTCAAATACAGGTGATGCCGCTCACAACATAAACGAAGCATCAGACCGGTTTTAGAAAGCTGACATTCGCCTGATCAGTCCATCTACCATGGCACGCTTTACCCACCGTGTCGACCGACGGGTGCGACATCGCCCAGCAAAGCCCGAAAAGAGGCATGCGACCTCCCATGGTATGTAGCCTGCAAACATTGAGTTTTGCTATCAAACATCGCAGATACTGACTGTAGTAGCCACAGCTCGAGCTCCCCGTCCGATACCGAGTGCATCGCCGTCTGCCACGCCAGCTACACACACTGTGCAGGAAGAAGCTCCGATTCCGCCAGCTACCCCTCGTGCAGCAATCGTCAGCACTACTGTCTCTCGGCCGCCCTCCATCCCCCCAAAGTCCACCCTGCATACCCGTCGCCCTGCATCTGCTCCACGGAAGAAGAAACCTGCGAAGGCTACCGCTGCAAAGCCGAAGAAGAGCAAACAGGTAGCTCCAGAGCAAGACGAACCACGAAGAAGTACTCGCCGAAAGATCGTGATTTCATATACGGTGCAGGACGTGGACGACTATGACGACTCAGACGCTGATCCCGACTATCGGGGAGACGGATCTCGGTCACGAAAAGCGAAAGTTACGCACACCGCCGCTGATGAGAGAGCTGCCGACATGTTGGATTTGGTTGGCAGCCACAAAGATCGAAATGAGCCCACGGCTCCGGGAGTCACTAGCCGTCAGAAGCAAGACGTGTTAAAGGATCACGCCGATGGTGAAGGTTGCTGTGAGAAAGACGAAGGAGCAGAGAGGACGGAGGTTGGCTATGGGGTTATTGATGAAGAGAATGTGGCACTGTGCAAAGATTACAACAAGCGAAAGACTGCGGCTTCAAACTATCTCGTCCCCTCGCCAGCCACGAACAGGAAGGGACAGGCCAGCAATCCCCCAGGAAACGTCTGCCTTCGTGACACAAGCATTGTTGGCAACCACGAAGGAGCTCATGAAGTGGACCGTCTCGATTACTCTGAAATGAAAAAGTGTGTCGAAGACTTAACAGCCTTCGAGCGACGGCGGGTGCGTCTGAACCACCGCGGGGTCCGCGATGACAGTCTGGACGACGCTGACAGCGGTGGGCGGCGGACGGTCGCCAAACAGGAAGCCTTATTCGTCCCAAATACCCCAGATGGGCCAAAATATTCCGTTCCCCTGGGAGATATCGGTGGCTGTTCGGCCAACGACGGGACTGCCGCGACGCTTCACGGCATGGGCGGCGATTCGAATGGGACACCGCACGACGACCATACGGGCATAGAAGAAATCTACACTCATGGAACCCCGTCGGCGGATGTCCGCTACAGAGGAACACGGACCCATGCCATTGCTGCCGGTAATCCAACTACCTCCAACAGCATACAGCCCCGTACGGCTACCACGGTTACCGAAAAAGCCGTGGCCCATGAGGGCGAACACAGCCCAAGCGAGAACATACCCGACTGCGCTACGTCAGCTGGCCACACCTCGCTAATCAACGACTTCGGCGTCTACACCAGCGACGGTCTCGCGAGACTTCCCCCGCCTATGAAGTCCCCGAAACACAGATTTCCGAACCTCAACGAACTTCCCGCGCCAAAGCGAGTTAAACGGGATTGATTCCCGGGAGACCGCTCTGCGAGCTAATCACAGAGTCGAGGTAAGATTCTTTCTCCTAATGCCGGTAATGTTCTGCTAACTTTCTGCGACTAAGCTGCGGTTCACATCATTTCTGTTGGGCATCGCCTTTGACATTATCCGAGTCCTTTTTTTCTTCTTCACAATAGTGAATTACGCTTTCATGCAAACTTTTTCCGTTCCCTGCACCGATCCCCAGTCACTCTTTTGGCATTTCATTTCATGGTATTATTTTTTCCCGACATGTACTTGTGCGTGCTTTCTGTCTTTCGGTTTTCTTTTTGGGGGATGGGACTTCACTATGCGCAAAGAATGACATTCTGATTCGCTGTCGTGAAGCCCACGTTGCCTGTCGTCTCAATCAGATCTCATTTTTGTTCCATCTGCAATCCCCATAGTTCTTTCCTGTCCAGAGGTCATACACAGTTTGTCGAATATAATCATTTCCGATACACTTGAAGTTAATAAATGGTATTCTCGCACCTCGCACAAACCGTACTGCATTGCTTTCGTCATGCACTTCAGTGGAATTGATGAGCTGAGGTTGCCGGCGGTGATGTTTTCCGGGAAGCTCGGCAAAGGCTACGGCTGTGAGAATAGTATCTATCCTTGCGTCCTTGCTTTATGCCGTTGAGAGGAGGGAGCTCAAATTGTAGTATCGGCACGTGATGGACAAATAAAAGGCATGACGGAAGACTGGAGAAGCAGGTGAGCTGCACGGGATATGCGAGTGATAGACAAGCGATAGACGAGTGATGTGTCAGGTAACGGAAGCCGACCGAGGGACCAGTGCCTTTCTTGATAGTGTAGCTGGACTGCATGACGTCACTGGAGCTTGTTACGGTCTGTTACGACCGTTTGTTAGACAGTGAAGGAGTGCGGGGTTCCAGGCGACTCAGTGTTGCTGTTACGGGGGTGCGACTAGGATCATACCCGATGCGGAGGGTCAACGTTGAGTTGTATTCCATTGTTCCTATGATGGTCTGACTCTTCATCTTGTTCGTCCTAGTCATTCTCTGCAACATCACGCATATCGTCATTGACAACCCACACAATTCATCACCGTTTTCGTCCCATCATTTTTGGGTCTCCTTGTCTTGGGTCTCCGCTTTCGCATCACAGTTCCTTGAGTCCGGCCGTGCCGTCCATCAGTCCTCCGTCTTCCTACAACACCTCAACGGGTGTCTGTGGCAACCATCGTCACATCGGCAAACATCGGGGACAATCTCGTAGGGTTTGTGACGGATAAAGATGGAGCCTGAAGAATATTGAGGTCATGTGAGCAGTGACATCCCTCCTTTGTTAGTACGTCACCCAGACTGCTTTTACACATATATCGGCAACTGACAGCCTGTCCCGCAGTCTGTTTCTCTCCCGTGGCAGCCAACACCGCATCGTTACCCCCGAATCACAACGCCGGTTTCGTCGGATAAAGGGCTGCCAACCGTCCGTCCCGTCCCGGGCAGGCTTTCCAGAGGACTGATCCATTCCGTCCGGAGGACGAAAAGCCCCGATACCCGCCAGGTACCTATAGCATTAGCGTGCTATGCTGACTACTAGTTTGCGGAGTAGCGCGGTAACTACCAACAGAATTTTCAGCCTTGAGCATAATTTTCAGAGTCGTCAAACGCTCAGGTGATAGACAATGCTGGAAGTAGGAACGCGGATGGTGTAAAAGTTCTATACCGTGAGAGACACTGCGAGATAGAGGTGCACAGCCACACATCTGCACACCAGCGCCACTGTGTGGCGCCACGCTGCTAGCAGTGTCCTAGTGTCCCAGTAAATTCTAAGCCCTGTAGGGTATCCGTCCTCAGCTCACCAGCCCGGAAGACTGCAGTCCTTGGTCTCCTCAGCCCGACTAACTCCGTCCCGGGCCGGGCAACCTCAAAGACGGACGGGACGGACGGTTGACAGCCCTGGTCGGATATACACAAACTTCAGTGCAACGGACCCGCGAGTGCAACCTCATACACAAAGTCATGCGTCGGAGGTCGCGAAATTGGCGTCGAGGCGTGTCCGATCCGCCCAGCTGAAGCCTGACGATCTATCACGAACGCTCGGATGCCCGACACAACGAAATTGCACACAGCCGGCTCGTATCATGACGTCAACTCTTTCAGCACGAATGTTACTGTCAATGTCAGCAAAAATAGAGTTAGCGAACAATCCCACGTTGCCGGAAGCGAGTGTATGGCCCTGTCTCGACGAAGACGTTCTCCTCGGTTGTTTACACTCTATCGCCATACTATCGAGTATGTGGCTACCGTGAACGCAATTCCCACGTTTTATGGGGAGGGAACGTTGGATCTGCGGGAGAAAAGCTGATCGATGTGAATTCTTTATCAGAATTCCCGGCTAGTAGTACTACGTTTTGGCGTGGCGGTCTGGGTTGGAACGATGTGGAGGACGGCGAAGAGTCGAAGCATGCGCTGAGAGCAAGCCAATATAGGTAGGAAAAAACGTACGAGCAAAGTTCCCCCTCCACGAGATCGACTTAAACTGATCCACATGAAACAGCTCACGTCATGGTCGCTCGTGGTGTTCGCGTCGCATGCCGTTGAAACACAGGTCTGAGAGTGACAGCCTGTCTTTAACGGGCACCGACTCCTCTCAACCTGCTCCCTCGGCGAACCGTACATATACATCTGCCGCCCTGTCTATGCCACCTACTCACCACCGGCTTAGAGAACGACGAACAAGCGATCGAAAATTACGCATGCCAGGACTCTGGATGTGCGGACGCTGTTGGACAGAGAACCCGGACAGCACTCGCGTCTGCCATGTATGTGGGCAGAGGTGCTGTTTTGATCCCAAAAGCCGCACCAGAAGCCTCAGTGAATGGTTTTATTTCCTCTTTTTTGGCTGTTGGATCCCATGCTGGGACAGCAGTGTGAACAGGTGTACAGAAGGTTGCGCTGCTCGTGGCCGACCTTGATATGCGCGCTGGGGCGTGGATCAGGGCAACGTTAGTACTCGGCGTCCTTTAGGCGTATCTGTACTCTTTAATCGGGAAAGGTGGTTTCTCCTGGCATGCTGCGTGATGTCTTGAAATTAGGCAGCATTCACCGCGTAATAGAGTGGTGCCGAGGTGCAACCTCCCCGGTGGGCAATGCGGAAAGGGTGGGCTCCTTGTTTTGTATGGACAGTTACTGCTGAAGCCATCCTTTTCGTTCAATGATGCCCCTGTTAGGGCACCGGCGCTACAGCGTGGCGTCAGGGTTAGACACCGACACGTGAGCCTGGCTGTCTTCGCGGTACCACTGAAGGTTGGATCTTCGAACTAATATACACCCACCGTGTCTGTGCCCTTCTGGGAGGAATTTCTACATCCTGTGCACGTTGACACTGGGCAGCCCAAAATGCAAGCTACCAGTTCTTTGGTATTCAACAGCAGGTTATCAAGTTCCCAAAACGCAAGATGGCAGATTTGTCTACATCCTCCTGTGATTGCGCAACGTGACCCGCCGATGTCACTTGGTATACAACCTTCGTACCACGGTCGGCCTGGCATGCGTATTCAGCCGCCTGATATTTGGCTATTATGAAATCCAGAACGAAGGCTATAGCTGGATACATCTCAATACGAATGAGATGTCGTGAAGGAGCCTTGTTTTTCCCGTCAAATTTGGAACTGCTTCGTAGGAAGAGGCAACAGAACATCTGTGTGATTAGATCAATGCGAAGCTGCTTGCTCTTTGTTCAGTCATTGATTGCATGCGACATATCTAGATCATGGCAATATCATCTACACGTGCCCCCCCCCTCCCCCCACCCCCCCACATTTCCACGCCACTGTTCAACCTAGCTTTCGTCAGGCGGCCCCAATGTGGCTCTCCCTGCCCTCCGCTCTGGCCTTTCCCGAAAGTATATCTCTCTACCATTCGTACTCGTCCCGCCCCCGCCCCCGCACTCGTCCCCGCGCCCTCGCACTCGCCCCGCGCCCTCCAGTCGTCCGCTACGAAACTGCTTGCGATGTAATTGCATAGCTGGAACAATCTCGATACGAATGATATCTAGTGAAGATTCACATCTCGTGAAGCTGCCAAAAAAGCCTGACAGAATTGTAGGGCACGATTGTGTGCTGGGAACAGCCTCAGGTGAGCAACAGCTTAGCGACTGCTATCACTTTGCGGAAACTGAACTTTGCGGGGTTGTAGTGCTCTAGATTTTTAAGCCGCAGTACCCAACTAATCGGAGCCCTACTCACAATTGCCTAGGCCAAGTTCGCACGCTTTTCGATCCGGCGCATAAAACTACGCCACTATAGCCACGTGGTCACGCCGTCATATAACCTGGCACGGCTGTTCTAATGCTTTCGCTTCCTTCCTACTCGGTCTTCGCCCCGTTGTCCTTCCAACCACTTCTACCACAAACCCACAGCCAACGATCTCTCACCAATTCCTACTGATATAGTCACGCACGCATACCCTCCTCTCCGAAGAGCAAATTCGGTTGGCTCCCATCAACCACCACGAAGATGTCGTCTTTGTACCCTCCCCTAGTCGTTGAGCAGGACACCGGAAGAGCTCCAATCCTGTTGGCAGAGTACTACAATAACGGTCGCTTCCCAGGCGACAGGTTGTATGGAGCTTATACACCTTCGAAATCCTGGGCCACCGGCTGGCAGGGGTATGAAGGAATCCCGGTGAACTTCGTTCCGAAGAGACCTCCCCAAGTTCAGATTTATCTGGACGTTCTCAAGCAAGTATGTTAACCTGTTTTTGTTTGGGCTGCATTTACCGGTGCTGATAACGTTGATCAGCTCGGATTAAATCTCATCGAGGCCGGAGTCCGTCAAACCCTGGAAGGAATGGGTAAGGGCGAACTCAAACAAATTTACCAGAATTTGTTTGAGAGGGTGAGCCATTATTGACTTCTATTGCGCCTTTCTGGACGGTACTAACATACTATCAGCACCCACACGCGGGTGCCTACGGGGATTTTCAGGTCTCAAAGCTCATCGGCGACCACCTAGATACCGTCTCATATCGCGGCTTTGAGGAACTCGACCATTCGAATGGCGTTCCAGCTGGGGATGCCATTATGAATTTTGATGCTGAAACACAGCTGTCTGAGATGTTGGAAAGGGCTCAGGAGGAGCATTACCAAGCAATGGGTAACGCGAGCCTGCAACAACACAACCACCACGCGGCCCCTGGGAATGACCGCCATATCGCCCAAAAGAAGATCATCCAGGACAACGTCGCCCAGAATGACGTCACACCAAAATACACAATGGAAGTCGGATATAGAGAAACACATGGAAGCTGCGTTTTCGGGCACGCGTCGATGATGAAGGTGGTTGGGACCAAGTATATCTTTGAAGCTCCCTTCGGCGACTTCTTCCAGCAGCCCCCGCACGAGGAGCACTACGTGTGCGCTCCTAGCTGCAGCTTTGAGCCCAGTATAGAACGTGTACGTTTTCGGTACTCACATCTGATTTCGCGGATGCTAAGATGTCTCGTCCCGCAGGACACGCCCAACTACGTATCATGCCAGTCTGAAGCTACCATCAGTCACCAGGAGATAGTGTCAGCGGAGGCGGACCTCACGAAGGAGCAGAGATACCTATTCAAGCACTGGATGCATCTGGATTATATCGACCGGCAACCTCGTGATTACGCCACACAGTACACGGCCCCGTGGGAACTTGACGTCCCCCCCGTTACCGTCACGGAGGAGGGCACTCCCTACAGGATGAACTTTGTGTCCGGGATTCCGCTCTCGATCCGCCAGGAATTCTCGGACCACTCCGACAGTGATGATACCGAGACAAATGAGATGAAACCACCTCCCAAGCGGCGCCGACGTGCAGGTCTCGCTAAACCTCGGGTTCTAGGACGCCACAAGACAACCAACAAAGGCCAAGTCTTAGACGAGTACGATAATAACGTTGCCGAGACGAATGATTTCAAGCAAACCCGCAAGCCGTACCGCCGTGCAGGTCCCGCTAAATCACGGCTTTCAGGACGCCGCAAGATGACCGACAGAGGCCAAGTCTCGGACGAGTCTGACGATGACGTTACCAAGGCCGATGACATGAAGCCGCCCCCCAAGCCGTACCGCTGTGGAGGTCCCGCTAAACCTCGAGTGTCAAAGCGCCCCAAGAAGACCTACTGGATCTACCAGGAAGTCTCGAATGAGTCTGATGGTGACGTTACCGAGACCAATGATATGAAGCCGCCCCCAAAGCCGTACCGCCGTGCATGTCACGCTAAACCTCGGGTTTCAGGACGCCGCAATGTGACTGACGAAGGCCAAGTCACGGACGAGTCTGATGGTGATGCTACCGAGACGAATGACACCAAGCCGACTCCCAAACCGCGCCGCCGTGCAGGTCCCGCTAAACCTCGGGTTTCGAAGCCCCTAAAGAAGTCCGATAAAGGCCCAACCGATACTAATGGAGACCCCGTCGAGTTAAATGATGGAGGCCTTCCTGAGGAACAGGGAGGAGTTGCAATGAAAACGAAACGCGCCACAAGGAAGAGGAAGGCTGCAGGCAGTGACACGAACACTACAGGTCTCGACGAGTTGAACAACGGAGGCCCCACCGATACAGGTGAAGAACCCAAGGAGAAAAAGCCACGGGTCACAAGGAAAAAGAACGAAGGCCCCACTCTCGCCAATAACGACGGAGGCCTTCAGGAGATAGTGGGAGTCCCGACTAACACAATGAAACCCTCATCCGAAAAGAAGACCCCAGGCTCCTCCGGGGAACCATCGGATGGAAGTGATCGTGATTACTGAGTTCAGGCCCTCGGACAGTCAGTTTGGTGGGATCTGGAACTATTTTTTTGGATTTTCACCTCCTTTTGAAGCTCCAGTCCCATGATCGTTAGAAATAATGAATCGTTGACTGCCATTCGCGTGCTTTTTGTCCACATGTCTTGTAAAGTGATCTCCGCCGTGAATGGTGTGAAGAGTGATTGTTCCTGTGCACTTCGCTAGACATCTTGATTTCGTCTCGTTCTTCATTCTACCAGTAGCGGGGACCACCCCGAGCCTTGGACAGACTTCAGGAATAGATGCGTAAATCTTTGAAGATACACATGGTTGTTTTGTCATCAGGCAGGAGATGATCGCTAAATCCGTGCTCACAACTAGATGCGGGATCCGCTACTATTATACAGACACTCTAGTATCACTGTAGCCTTCAAAGCACGACTTCCGCTGCGTGTCACGTTGACAAAGTCAAGCCAACGGACGAAATGTGAATGATCAGAAAGATGCTGTATTTGCCAGCGAAGGACGAAGAATATAAACTGTGCCTGTGTGAGACAGCGATCCGTGTGCAACACGAGTGACACAGCGAGTGAGCAACAGTGAGTTCCAAAGCAAACGAGTGACAGCGGTTGCAATCGTACGAGTGACAGCTGATGCACTTGCGTCGTACCTAAAGGGTGACACTGTGGGTCTTATCGTGGTGCTTCCCCTCCACCCAAAAGTCGGCAAACAGCGGCAATGTGTAAAGGCAAGTAGCATGCTGGACCGGTGCCTCCTGAATCTTCTCGTTGCTCGTAGGGCCACCGCCCGCCAGGCCTGAGAATAGTCCGTCCGAGCGGAAGACTATTGGGGCCCGGCGGCGCCGTCCCATCTGGGGCGAGGATTTAGCCGGACGAGTCGGGCTCCGTCCCACGTCCAAAAAGCCCGGGGCCCGAAAATGTTTAGTGCGGAAGCGGCTGGCTACTAAGTGTACGGTGCCGGCTGTCCGGAATATTTTGGCCGGTGAGAATTTTGCATCCCATCGCATACGGGAGTACCCATTGTCAACTCCTTAATTCTCGCCGTGCTGCCACGCCCTTAGCTGTCTGCTCATCGCCGTGCTGCCAACTCTTTAGCTTCATTCCTGCCTGCTATGCCACTGCGTCACTACGCCACCGCCCAAGGCTAGTATTAGCGCTAAAATATCCGGGCCCGAATGGGGCCCCAGTCGTCCTCCGGCTTGCCCGGAGCCCTATAGTCCTTGATATTCCGGGCCCGACAAATTCCGTCTCGTCCGGGGCACAGCCTCGGACGGACGGGACGGACGATTCCCAGGCCTGCCACCCGCTTCTGCCGTTTTTTCCGTGCTTTCGAGGTATCGATTCGACATTGCCGTTGAAAAGTACTAGCGACGTTTCGTAGTCCGTACTCGATAGGTTTGGCAGTTAGGGAGTTAACGGAAACCTTATCCTCGGGTTAGAAGGAGAGGATATCGACTCTGGGTCTGTAGGTGTCCGCAACGCTATCGAGGAGGTGGTAAATCAGGAAGTTATCGGATATTTCGTCCGGGTTTCAGGCTCAGTGAAAAGGGGAGAACTTAGCGCATCGCCGAAGCTTTTCCAGTGACTTTCTTGGAACTCTAACGGGGCGTTTGCAGCTGGTTCTCCCTCGGCTCCGCGTACGATTCCGATTGCGTTTCCTCGATAGTAATGGCGCTCTCCCGAGAGTAGTGACTACTGGAGTTTAGGAGATCAATGCTTCCGGGCTCGTAGAAAAATGTTGGCTACCACCACGATGAGAGGTGCCCTTGGTATGTAGCATAGAGGGGTGGAATGAGATCATAGCGATCGATTCGATAAGATAAGGATGGTGGCTGGCCGGATCGGGTTCTTCGGAATGCGGGAGAGTCCGACAGAGTCGACACTAGGCATCTCCGGGTTAGTCTAAAGCAGCAGAAAAGGGCCATATAAGATTTCACCTCGAGGTTGAATATGGCCTCAAAAGTCTTCATCTTGCTTCATTTCACCGTTCCGTTGCTGGGCTACGCCAACAAACATTGTGGCGTCCATGGTGCTTTTTGAGGTACGAGGTTCGATGAAGCTTGTTGAGGCTGGGAGACCTGTCTCGCAGGGTTTAATACTGAGCTACGCGAGTTGAAGCGAAGATCGACAGGGACTGTCAGTGCCAATGACTTCGGGGATTGATCGCGGATAAACCAGGGGCCAGGGCTCGATACGTATTAGAAAAAGTGAAGAAAAGGCTGACGATATTGTTGTGTATTCCGATGCTGCGTGTTGGTCTAGAGCACATCTCTACATAACTTACGTGCTACCAATCACACGCCCAGCGATGGATATATCTGGCGTTGAAGGGTACCGCGGTGACGAGCTTTTTCAGTTCTAAGCTCAAATTGCACGCAGTTCTGCACATTGGTTCTGGAAGAAGTGCGCGGGGTTTTCAGGTTGTATATACTGGGCGTTCTTCCTTCATTTCACGCATAAACCGCCGTTGCAAGATTACTAGCATACCAGCTATTCGAGTCGCGTGAAATGCTTCCGTTGGAAATGGCTTGGTTGGTGGTCGGTCTGTAAAGCCAAGGCTATGGTGAGTATGGTGCGAATAGCAGGTTCTTGACCATGCGACTGAAGCACAGCAATCATTCGGCTGTCGATATGTTATTCAGGAATGGTCAAGTGAAGTGTAAATCTCACTGCCGCGTCCCTTGCTCCGTCCCGTAAACTAGCATAACCCAATCGTCATGGACATAGTATCATTCCTCCTCGAAGCAGAACATTGAAATATCAAGCATCAACAACAGGTCCATCATCGTTTACACGCATCTTCTTCGAAAGTCAAAGTAGATCCGACGGCGCCGTTTCTGCGGGGGTGTCAGGCAAGGCAGACGAGCTTCCGAATACGCGTCTTGCAAGACGTCGATGCTGTCAGCTTGCGAAGTCTATGCTTGAGGAATCTAGTCACAACATAGCTGTCAGTTCGGAAACAGGAAGGTAGGTTGTAAGGTGGAGGCAGAAGAAAGTGACCCCTTGAAGCCCGACTCATCGTTTTTCTTGACCTCCTGCTCCTCCATCACCTCGGGTTCCGGCAACGGGGCCATTTCCAAAGCAATCTGAGTTGTGACAACGATTATCAGACGATCACCGGTCAATAAACTAGCAGTGGGCCCAATGGAAACGGTCGACCACGCGGTGCTTGAACTCACGGGTAGAGCAGTGTAGAGAACACCGTTCCTGGGACGCCACGGCATGGTTTGTGATGGCATTTGAGGTAGCTGGATGCGGTAGAGAAAGTATTTGATAGGAGCTGGAGATCGGGAAAAAGATGGTGAATGGTATGGGGGAATGGTAGGAATGGAGGAATGGAGGAATGTAAGAATGCCGGAGCAATATAGAACTAGCCGGGGAGGGTGTATAGACTGGCTTGACATTGCACGCATCTGCTTTGAGGTGGCCATGGCAGGCAATGAGGGAGTTTGAGATCGGATTCTCTGCCTTGATCGAATCCCAAAGATCCCGGTACTTCCCCAGTTTCCCGCAACGCATCGCGTGAAGACCTGCGGCTCAAGTCATAGTATGGGTTGGCCGCTAGTCCGGAGAGGTAAGCCAGGCGAACGCTACCGTGAAATTGAATTGATAGCGGGCACTTTCCACCCCACACTTTCTATAAAACCTCTCTAGCTTTCTCGCTCCGTTTCACTCCATCCTCTTCCCTTCACCATCAACGATCTTCATCAAACCCATATCCCCTTTTTGAACAACCTCACACTTACCCCCCACAATCTACACCATCTTTTCCAATAACCTCACACTTACCCCCACCATCTATTTTAAAATGAAGTACTTCAAGAACCTCTTCCTAGCCCTTATCAGTCTCGCTTTTGTGGCTACCACCATCGCCCTCCCTGTTGAAGATGGCGAAGCCTCCGAGCCGTTCGACGAAGCGAAGTTCAACGAAGTTGCTCTCAAGGCTTACAACGAGATGGTTCCCTTTGAGGGAATGTATGACGCTCTTATGCTCCCCGAGGGTTTCGACTACAAGCCGTTCGAATTGCAGGACGAGGAGAGCATCGAACTCCGCAAGCACTTCCCCAACGCTTCCATCCCCATCGTCGACCCCGGCGAGCACGTCGGAATCCGGTACACCCCCTCGGTGGAGCCCGACGCCAAATCCGGTAGGGCCGACAAAATCGTCGAGTGGCACGTCTGCGAGACTTCCGATGCCTCCCCGTGGTGGCAGGGCATCCAGAAGAACATCGAGTACCTCAACAGCATCAAGAACAACTGGTGTTGTCTGGAGTGGCCCTCGCCAAACGGATGCCAGCTGCTACATCGCACCTGGCGTGATGCTACCGATATCTGCACCACGTTGCATTCATGTGTCCGCTGCGGATGGGCTGCACAGGCCAATCTGGATATCATGATCAACTGTCGTAAGGGCAGCGTGGCCGGTGGCTACAAGAGGTACTGTCCTCCCCCTCCCTATCTACCGAGTTCGTTACTAATACACTGTATAACAGGCGGGTCGTCAAGTGGGCGAGCGGGTCTGAATCCCAGGTCGAAGTCAACGTCTGGCAGATGAAGACCTTCTTCAACAAGCACTGATCGGAACTCTCACGAAAGACCGGGTGGAAATGGGGCTGCAGACCCTGTTGGCATTGATTGTTGCATCGATTCTTGTCTTCTTCACCTGTTTGCTTTGCCTGTTTGTTCTTACTAGGGTCGAATTTTGATTTGCGCTGGGAGCCTTTTGCGGAGTTATTTTTTGGATTTTCTGTTGATCTGGTACCGGTTTTTATTGGGTTGCCGAAGATGAGGTGGTTTTGTCGCCGGAGCAGGTCTGCGGATGACCTTTCGGCCAGACAGTGGAGCTATAATACGAGCATTTGCATATGTCGAGTTGACATCAGCGAGTTTGTTTGACGATATTCACAGCATATGAAGAAGACGGATAGAATTCTATTTCACCCCTAATGGTAAGGATGAATTGAAGAGAGCCAGTTCAGAAAAGGCAGCCCTACAGCTCTTAGACATGAGCGGCGGGGTTCAAGGCGTAAGCCTAGAAAACTAACGGCCATTGCGCACCAACTGCGTGACAGGATCCACCTTCTCTCCGCCATCTCCCGCCTCGAGCGCAGGCATCCTCGTCTTACCACCAGTCTTCTCTGCCATCTCGGCACGCCGCGCTTCCTTCTCCGCCTCCCTGTCAGCAGCAAACGACAACTCCAGCATGCGAGCGCGCAGCCCCTCATCCAGGTTATCGTCAAGCGAGATAACACGACGCATCAATACCGCGAGCGATTTCGGCGTCGATTCAGCAGGCCGGTTAGCAGCGAGCGCCTGCTTCATCTTGGCAGCTTTCTCCGCTGCCGAGCCGGTCGCACCGCTAGCCCTCCTCCTGCGCCTCTCAGCACTGCTGCTGCCAGCTCCATTTTTGATCGCGTTCTTCACCGGCGTCGTGGTGGAAGTTGGAGTTGCAACATCATTGCGCTGCTGGACCCCGGCGTCACCGTCGATCACGGACTTGACGCTGCTGCCCGCTCCGTTCTTGGTCTCGTTCGTCGCCTTGATGGGAGTTTGAGTTGGAATTGCACCGTCACTGCGCTGGTAAACCCCGGCGTCACCGTCGATCACCGATTTAAACCCCACAACCTCCGGCTCGGGAAAGTCGACCTCGTTCTTACCGTCGACGATGAGGGGCTTGAAGGCGATCTCCTCGGGGAGCGGAAGTGCCGCGAGGAAGCCATCTGTTCACATGGTGATAAACATCAACTTCTGTGGCCGCCGGTATGAATCAAAAACTGGGAATCACGTACCTAGATCACGCATGAGCTCAGAGGTGGACTGCAAATCTTCCGCGTTCAGGGAGGGCTGCTGTTCTTTGGCCCTAGAGTTAATTTCAGATGTCAGTGGCTATTATTGATTCGCTGCAAATGGTAGCCGTACGGTGCAATCTCGCTGGTGGGCACCGACATCTCGGTCGCCGGATGGGTTTCTTTCGCAGTCATAGTGGAGGAGTAGTGATTAATCGACAGACGCTGAGTGGGGGAAGACAGTAAAGATAGGGGATAGTAAGGACAAAGTAAAGTGAGTTGGAAGCAACTGAACTCGAGAGCAAGTAGTAGAGTCGGTGAAGAAAACACCAAAAAACCTCGGCACCGTGATGTCCTCACATATATCCGAGTGATACCGCGTGTTCTCGGGACCGCACTGACAGAGCGTTTCTGATACCGTCCGTATGTACCTCAACTAGCCGCAGATCTTGCTATCTTCCGAGCGGAAGCTGAAGATAAGGCTTGCCTAGATCTCTATATCTACGAGTGAATGAACATGATCATAAAATATTTTTGTACTGAACGATTCTGATAACGTCTCCATGTACCTCGAACGGCTGAAGACATTGCTATCTCCTGAGCGAAAGCGGTAGGTGGGCCATGCCTAGATCTATGGTTATAAACCAGTGATAGAACATGCTCCTAAACATGTTTAACACCGAACAATTCTGATATGGTCTCCAAGAACTGCAAACCGCCGGAGACTTTGCTACCTTCCGAGCGGAAGCGGTAGTTGAGGCGCACGATCGTATTGCTAGTCATTTAGGCCCTCTCGGATGATCCCCCCTTTCCCATCCATCACGTACCGACGGTTCACCCCACATAGGTGGGAATGCACACCCTTCGATTGTTTGTGATAGCAGCAGCAAAGCAGCAAAGCAAAAACCTCGTCCACTCGCGCAGCGGCGAGGAAGACGATGTTTTTTAAGAGGAAAACCTGAAGGTAAAAAACCTCACCACGTAACCAGTGGCCATGGAATGTCGCTTCACTCAGCGCCGATGGTCCACCCCATCTGTCCCAAGATCGAATCCACCGTGGTCGTCCCCTCTGCCACCAACACCAGCTTCTCCTTCGCCGCGTGCGTCTTCGTATCCGCAGCTTCCCAGAGCGGCTGAAGAAAAGTACGACCTTTCCTCTGCCGTCTTCTACTCCGTACTGCTAAGAGAGCACGAAGTGGGCTGGTCTCATACACGTCGACCGATTGGGTGACGTCTGGACCTTCGGAGATTCTGGGTGCGGGGCCTGTGCGATCGATTGGCGACTCGCTAGGCATTCCGACCCACGGCTTCATGAGCGCGACTTCAGGCTTCCGCTTGACGGGCTCATAGATGCACAGTGTACCTAACACCATCAGCGAGGGAAGAGGTAGGTATGTGCAGGGGCAAGCAACTTACATCCATGAGCATGCCGTCGGTCGTGGTTTTCCTGACGCCGCAGGCTCGTCAATACGTTGTAGGCCGTGCGCAGCTATAGCTGCAGCGTCAGTCTGGGTTATCATCATCGTGGTCAATATTGCGTGAAAGTACAGTCTTGACGCTTATCCCGTTGGAATCCGCCTCCTCGAAGGCCAGCTCGATAGCTGCCTGTATTTCTTCGGTTGTTGCGTCGTGTGCAACACCGATCAGCGCATAGTAGCAGCTGACTCTCACCGTGAATGCTTTTTGGTAACAGCGAAAGGGTTGGCGAAAAGGAAGAAAGTAGTGGCGATCGTTGCTATCTGGGTTATGATAGGAACCGGAGAGATGAGGAGGAAAGGAAGAAAGGTTGTCATCGAACAATTTATACGGAGTGCGTACCCTCGGCGAGTCGCCGGAACTTCAATACCACTTGGTAGTGAAGGGTGGTTTGCGCAGGCTTCATTCACCCTCAACACGCCCGTCGGCTAGTACATCACGTGACAATATGGGGTCGAATGCGCCCCAGCACTGAGGCTTACCGCGGCTACTGTCCATACGGCGGCAAGGTGTTCGACAATACGTGGTTGGTGAAGGAGTCGAGCGACCTGAACAACGCCTACTAGTGACGGAGAAAAGACGAGCCAACTGGGGACACTGCGTCACGAACATGTCCGGGACTGCTGAAACCTGAACCGCCTACAATCCGGTTTTTTTAGTTCACGCATTGATTTCATACGGCCTATGTAGATCATGGCAATATCCGCGGCATCAGTGGTGGACAGGAAATCTAAAAAGTCCTGGCTGCATCGCTCGCCTCCGAAGAGGCCCAGGATTTTGAAGCGGTCTTTGTCCCTTGCCCACGGGTTCAGCTCGGAACGTACACCAGTCTCCGGCTATGTGAGATACATGGAGACGATATCACAATCGTTCGATAAAAACGTTTTCAAGATCATGATCTAGAGTCAGGCGTCAATATGAAGAGATCTAGGTAAGGGGTGGTGCCGCTACAAGACACAGACCCGGGAGCACCTCTACAAATGCTGCGCTGAATGGAAGATTCAGCCGCAATTCTGTGAGCACAGGTCCGGAAGAACACAGGGAGGCTTACCTAGATCCATGGTGCCGAACTTTTAGGATCACTTGCACCAACCACAGTGAGCGCTTCGTCAGGTGGCTGGCCGTGCGGGGCACTTCAATTTCGTGCCTGTTGAATGTGCGCTTCCCCTCCAGGATAGTTAGTCTAGCTCTTGAATGGTGCACAAGGAAAGACAGAGAGATCTTTAGTTTCTTTCGCTGCAGCCTATGTGCAACGGCACACAAGGAATCTACTAGGGACGCAGATCGAGAGAGTTTGGGACGAGTGATATTAGATGTCGCACCCAGGCCTTCCACCACGTCAACCCGATCCTTCGGCCTGATGCCGATCTCTGTAGTGCTTTAGCTCCGATTACCGATTTGTTGGGAGTGTTATGCATTGAACGGGTGCATGCAAGTAGCCGCACAGGTAACCGTTTCTTGAAAACACCAGCCCAGGACTGCTGCAGCTGCACAAGTTCGCAGTTTTACCTATCTCATCTCGGTGTGAAGTACGTCATACTGTACCTGTAACGGTTACTCACGGCCGTTCAATTGCATTCGGTGAAGCAGCATGAGAAGCTGCGGAACATCAATCTGCTTTCATGCAGGAATGTGTACTCACAGTCGGCGTGAGTGACTCCCTCGGTTTAGCCTCTGGATGTTGCATCCTCCGCCGAGACTGAGTTTAATTTTCTGCCTAGTACATACAGCGAGTTAGGGAGGTTTGAAGGGCCGTAAACCGGGACGCGCAAGGCTGTGGAGCACACTTCAGAATCACTAGCTCCAAGGCTGCAGATACCACAAAACCCCACCTTCACCCTCTCCCCTCCTTCTTCCTTTCTTTTCTCCCCACGCTTCTGGTTCACATACGGCTCTGTGACAACTTCGAACTTCTGTCTTGCCCACTCTTTGAGCTTTTGCGAACAACCTTAGCGACACGATACGAGTCATCCGACCTTGGCTACCTCTTCCCCAGTCTCGACTTCTTCCACCCTCACCTTTCCCCCACTTTTCTCCCCTTACATTTCTCTACTCATTTGAATCACACGATGGCTCGATTAACCCACAAAATCAACAAGCGACCGCCGCGCGTTGGCAAGAAGAAGTTGGCAGCACAGCAGAAAGCCGCCGCTGACCGAGCTGCGAAGTTGGCTGCGTTTAAAGCCGCACAGCTACGAGGCGATTTCGATGATGATGATGATGATGACGAAGCGGAGGACGATCAAGATGAAGACGTCGAAATGTCTGATGCTCCAGATTACGACGGTAGCAGTGATCATGACGAAGATGACGAAGAGCTCGGTCCGCGAGATCCCGCAAGTCAACGAGACGACCAGCAAGATGACAACCCACCTCAAGACAACAATTCTGAGACTACCCATGGTTTAGACGACGAAGAGCTCGATCAGAAAGATCCTGCAAGTCAAGGAGACGACCAGCAGGATGACAACCCCCCTCAAGATAACGATAATACCAATGGATCCTATTCTGAAGAAGCGAATCAGACCATTGATCTCTCAAATTCCGGTAATCAGACTACGGTCATGAATGATGCCGAAGAGGTACGTATCAATCGTTCTTTCTCGTGTTGGGCTTGAGCTGACTTTGTATAGGATGAGGACGATGATGATACTCTTAGCGTTACTGAAGAGGAAGATGAATTTTATGCCGAAGACGTACGTATCAACCTTTCTTTCTCGTGTTGCGCTGGAGCTGACTTTTTATAGGCTGAGGAGGATGATAATATCAGCACTGCTGAAGAGAATGATAAATCAGATGACGAAGAGCTCGATCCGAGAGATCCTGCAAGTCAAGAGGATTACCAGAATGATAACAACCCCCCTCAAGACAACAATTCTACCGATGGATACGTTCCCGGGGAAGCAAATAAGACGATTGCTATCCCATTTTCCAGTAACCCGACTACGGTCGCGAGTGATACCGAAGACGTACGTATCAATCGTTCTTTCTCGTGTTGCGCTGGAGCTGACATTTTATAGGCTGAGGAGGATGATGATAATCTCAGCGTTGCTGAGGAGGAAGATGAATCAGAGGCCGAAGAGCCTGATCAAAGAGATCCTGCAGGTCAAGGAGATGTTCCAAGCTCTCCACGCCGAAGTGCGTCTCCCAAGAATCCGTCTGTCTCGAGTTCCCTCGCGCGCGAGGCATCTCTAGAGCATTCGTTTTTCTTTCCGAGCACACCCCCGAGCGCATCCTCCGAGTTCGCCGCGGCTCCAGCCGAATATTCCGATGATTTCTCAGACGAGGAACAATCTGGGATCCCGACTCCTGTCACCCCCACGGACATCCGTTCCCCGGTCGGGCGTTCATTTCAGGCGGAGAGAGAGATCTCAGCCGACAGCCAGGCGGAAGCTGATGCAGAGTACGAGCAATCTTACATCTGGTATTGGCTTCCGCCTGTCGCCCGTGCAGATTCCCCCCGAGGAAAGAAGTGGGATAGCCCAGAGCGACAGCTCCGGAAGAGGCGGGGGGATTCCATGGACAATGTGGGAAGGGCGAGGAAGTCGTACCGGAAGACTCCGGCTCCAAGAGCCACGCGGCCCGCCACGGCGGCAGCTCCCAGTGACGAAGTCCTGGATGCTGAGGCCGAGGCGCAGTCCGCTGCCGGTGGGGAGCAGATGGACTGTGACCTCGGGGAAGCCGCGGAGGAGGTTGACGAGGGACGGGTAGACTGCAGGGCCGACGAAGCTGCAGTACACGACGACAAGATGGTGCCTGACGTCACCATGAGTGACCCTGCAGTGGAGGCCGTCCTGGAGATCCTAGGCCGTACTGGGGAGGTCGATGTGGCGGAGGGTTACTTCGTTCCAGCAGATGTGCTGGCAAGCCCCTGTGATGCCACTCCCGACCGTTCCCAGTACGCCCGGACTTCCATGTCCCCGGCTCGTTGGATCTCCCGGAGTCCGACTCCCATGTCCGCGGTGTCCCCATCATTCAGATGGGCACCCTACTCCAGACATCCCAGCTGGACTACGTACGATCGTAGCCACGGGTATGACAAGGATGGGCTTCTGCGGGGTCTCAACCCCTGGCATATCGGCGACTTTATTGCGTCGAGACGGGAGGGACCCGTGTTGCCCAGCCTCGCACAGGCCAGCACTCCCGAGTCGATGTCGGATACGTCTAACGACGAGCCCGACACTCGCGGAGCTGCTGCTGTTGGAGTAGGGTGCGCGGTGCAGGAGGAACCCCTAGGGGAGCAAGGGGCGCAGGAGGCTGAGCCACCGTTGGACGCTCACCGTCCTGCGTCTCCTGCCCCTTCGTCAGGGAAGGCTCCTCGCGAACATGGGAAGGGTCGCACTGCGGCGAAGGGGGGCAAGCTGGCCAAGGCAAGGGTTGGGGGGACCCGAGCCAGTATCAGGCTTGCGGGGAAGCGGGGCGACAGCGCGCAGAGGTAGGCGTACCGTCGTGGGGGTGGGGGCGGCCGAGCAGCGTTTGATTTTGCTTGGGGGCCGGGGCCGGGGCGGTGGTTTTTTTTCTTTTTCTTTTTCGATTTTTCAAGGCGGTTCAATTTCACTTTTACATTGCCATCTGTTTTTCGTTGCTTTTTTCTTCCACAATTTGCGTGGTTTCTAGGATTGAGGAGATATATTTGCAGTCGGTGGTGATACATCATGAAGAGACCGGTAAGTTGAAACCCATGAAGGTGGGTCAGCTGGAAGAAGCTATAACATGGTAGATTTAGAAGGATGTGCGGTGCAATAGTTCAATTTGGCGTTCGCGCGGCTGTTTCTGCGGAATGGGGGATATTGGCGGCTGGAGGGGATGGCGAGTGACGGTTTCTGACTGCGGGAAGGAAAGGTAGAACGGGGTTTTACGTGGAGCATTTGATCACTGTCTTTTTTCTCTATGTGCCTATGATGAAGCGATTTTGTCAGAACCACCATAGATTGTGGCGCATCTCATAGCTTGTATGAAAGTCGTTACGGCCGGGTTCGCGATGCCTAGCGCATCGGTTCTCAATACAAGCTTACCGTCAAAAGAATGATATCTGAAGTACCGGCCGGGAAGTATTAAGCAGTAGCTTGATCATTCTGGGGGATTAATTTTCCAAAAGCGCGAGAATAAATCGATGGGACTGATGAGCTCAATTTCGAGGTGTCGAGTGATAGGTTAAATATCTAGTACGAGCGCCAACAGATTTCGTCGCCCTGTCTCATCTCGCAGCGACCGTGTTTCCAGATGACACAGGACAGATATGCACTATCGCGTCCAGTTTTCTATCCACATGATATTCCTGTCGTACCGCCCACGTTATTCCACGTATCGGCAGGACCGCAGCATAACCCACAGGCAAGTAGGTACCAAACACAAAAGTCCCACGTATAGTACCAGGTCAATATACGTGTCAAATATAGAAGTGTAAAGTCTTGATAATATTGTCCACTTCTTCTGCAGCGGTAGATGTTCTTAAATATACAGGTGGCATGTAAATCGCCTCCAGGCTCGCCCTGTCGGTGGGCTGTTCGTGCACCCCAGCACGCTCAGGGCACCACACAGGACTTTGGACGCCTACGGTCCGGACGTGTTCGAGTTGAGAGAATAACTTGACTTGATTGATGTATTGTTACGAGAAAGAAGAGAAAGAAGACTACTTATGAAGGGAATCGAGCTCGTGTGGACGAGGAGAAGACCGGGCGCCAGACTGAGGGTGCGACGATACTCGTCGCCGGACTCGGCTGGCGCAGGGGGTTCAAGGCTTTCAGCTGACGAGGCTGATTGTACTATACTGAGAAGCCACAGTCAATGGTAAGTACATAAGCCACGAAGGAAACGAGGGGAGTATGCACAGGGATAGTGGAACATGGTAAAGGAAAGTGGAAAGTAGGAGTGATACCGGAACAGGTAATAAGACGCATGATGGCAACAGGTCGCTAGGCGTCCGGCACCAGATATGACTCGGACGCCTACGCTCCGGCGAGATCTCCACCAGCGCCAGGCTGGAATTCCTCGCTTCTACTGATGATGGCAGACGGATTCCCGAGACCGCTGAGGAAGATACAGAGAGCGAGGTCACCGAGTGGGAGCTTAGGGAGCGGGAAGAAAGGGTGCGGAACTGGGGCGAGAGGAGGAGGGGGGGTGCTGAAGTTGAGGAGCCGGGCTCTAGTCCGCTGTTGCTCCCCACACCTTCTTTCATGGCATCGATTTTGAGAGCGGTAGGAGGCGGTGATGACTAGGGACTTGCGGTGAGGGAGGGACGAGTCGAGGGAGTGGAATTTCTCTTTTTCTAGTGTCATCCAGGCCTGGGAATCGTCCGTCCAGTCCGTCCTGGGTTATACGCCGGACATAAAGGAATTTGTCGGGCACGGAATAGCAAGGACTATCCCCTTGGATGGCAAGCCAGAGGAGAACTGAAGCCCCATTGGGGCCTTGAAATGATGCTGCTAGTGGTACTAGTCGTGGCGTAGTGGCGCAGCAGGTTGCCACCGGGAGAATGTGGAAATGTTCGGCGAACTAAAGGATGAATTTTCGGTTTCCCAGTTAGCCCGGCACCGCACCAGAGGTTTCCGGGCCCCAGTCTTTTTGGACCTGAGACTGAGCCCGACTAGTCCGGCCAAATCTTCGCCCCAGACGGGACGGCATCGCCGGGCCCCAATAGTCTTCTGTCCGGACGGACTATTCACAGGCCTGATACCAGCAGGAGCATGATTGAGGGTTACCAGGTATGCTAGATCGTGCTCCACCCCGCTGCTCAACATGCAAAGGCATAGGCCATTATGCTTCTACGTGCAGAAAGGAGCATACATTAGGTAGGCACTGTTGGTCTCCGCCAGTATTCTACATAGACCAGCCCCGACCATATTTGGGTATGGTCTGGTCGGGATATATCCCGACCAAAAAAAAACTTGGTCTGGTCGGTCGGGTTATATCCCGAGCATAAATTTTCATGTCGGCTCGGGATATATCCCCATCAACCAGGCATAGGCGGAATAGGTCGGAGTAAGAAACAAAATTTGAAGCCGGAAATGCTCTAAGAACCGCTAGAAACTACGAAATTTTTTGCGGCTGGTAGAATTGGCAGTTAACCCGACGTCGGCCGACCTAGGCCGACCGGTCTGGTCTATGTAGAACACTGGTATCCGCGGAAGTCGTACGTTGTATAGTCTAATATTAATGCAAACGACGATCAATTGATGATCTTTCTCTTGTATTATTTACTGATACTGCTGCGCTTAATGTGGATCAACCCGTCCATACAAAAAAAAAACTGGATCAACGTCCCCGTAAAGGTTAAGCTCCCCAATTACCAGCTATGCTTCGCCATAACCCTCTTTCCGGCTATTAATACTCTTCGTCGTCACTGTTCTCCTATTCGTCCTCGTCGTCCTCATTCTCCCCGTTGTCCTCCTCGTCGAAGCCCAGGCCCTGCGTCGGATCCGGCCCGACCCCCATGCTCTCGATCTTCCCCCTCAACCTCGGGGAGAAATCGTCCATAATCACATCCGCCTGATGAACGATCGACCTGGCTCTGGCCCTAGTCAGATCAAACTCCGCCTTCAACTCCTGCAGCTTCCTGATCCTGCACTTATCCTCCCTCGTGAGGGTAAGAAGCGGGGATTCCGCATCCGGACGCTGAAATCGGTTCGGAGAGCTACGGGTGTCCGGCGCGAAGTCGAAGACTGCCGGGGCTCGGAGGAGACCTTTCGCTGGCCAGGTGTTTGCGGGCGGCGGGACGTAACTGCGCGAGGTCACCATTTGCGTGTATGATGGCGTGGGCTTCGGACGCCGAGCGGGTGCGGGTGCATCATCATCGTTCGTAAATCGTACTCGTCGATTATCCGGCTCTACTAGAGAGCCTGTGGAATCGGAGCTGCTCCGTCGCCGTTTCCTCGACAGACTGAAGTCGGACCCGGACCCAAAGCCCAATCTCGGTGGGAGGATAGCGGGCGTTGCTCTCACTACCACGACTCCATTGGATGCTAGCGCGAGCGGGGAAGATGTAACTCTCTGTCCTGTTCTGCGGTCCTCGACGGATTTGGTCTCCGCTGCATCCACGAATCTGGCATGCGAGCTCAAGCTCTGTCTCGTGCAAGGAGACACGTTCTTCCTCTCTAGGCCCAATCTTCCTTCCTTGTCTTTCGTTATCACCCATCCCAGTTGAGCTTTTTCCTGGGCGTTCTTCGTTGCAGCATTCTTCATCCTCTCGAATCGCTGCCGCCTCATACCCTCAACCTTCGAATTCAGTCTCTCCCGAAAGACAACGTGTCCCGTCTTATAGGAATCCAAGTTCCGCCTGTGTTGAGCTCGCACCAGCTCCTCGGTTCGCTTCTTCTGCTTCTCAACCTTCTCGTTGAGACTGGCCCTGAAATCATTGAGTCCCGTCTTATACGAATCCATGCCATGCCTGCGTGCAACTGCCACCAGCTCCTCCGAGCCGCACCGCATCTGAGTTTCAATATTCTTATCGAATGACAGCTGAAATACATCCGTGCCAAGGTCGCCTTCACGTACCAGAAGCTTCTCGGATAGCCGTGCTATCGACTCCCTCACGGGCTTCACGTCCTTCTGCTCGTTCTTCTTCTTTGGCTCGCTCTTCTCCTCCGTCTCGCTCATCTCCACCGGCTCGCTCTTCGCCTCTGTCTCCTTCGAATCTTTCGATTCCTTCGACTGTGTCACGACATTCAGATCAGTGGCTGTGGATGGACTAAGTGGGGAATCGCTCACCTTCTCGGATTTTCGCCACCCCTGCTTATCAAACGGCTCGTCGAGCTTCTCCCTGAAGGTATCGAGACTGGTCTTAAAACCGTTCATTTCACGGTTCCCTTCCCCTCCCACCGTCTCCCCGGACCACCACTGCCTCTGTGTTTCAATCGGCATATTGAAACCCGCCTTCACTGCACTCGTGCTAGGGCTGCGTCCTCGTGCCATCAAATTCTCGGATAGCCGTGATATCCTCTCCTTCAGCTCCTTCAAGTCGGTCGTCTCGGTCGACTTCTTCTCGGTCGACTCCTTCTTCTCAGTGAAATCATTCTTCTCTTTGGACTCCTTCGTCATCTTCGAATCTTTGGATTCATTCGTTTCATTCGACTCCTTGGAGTCCTTCGTCTTCTTCGTCTGGTTCAACTCCGTCGAAACATTCATCTCGGTGGCTGGGGCAGCAGCAGGTGTGAGTGGGCTATCGTCCGTCAATCGCACCCTTCGACTACTCGGTCCTTCAGGAGATGGAGTGTTTGTGTTTGTGTCTATGTTCTTCGGGTCGGAGGTGCCGCATCTCCGTTTCTTCAACCGAAGGGTGTCAGATCCCGATCCAGATCCCATACGATATCTCGGCAAGGGAATGGCAGCGGGATTGGTCTTCGGTGGGACGACGTTGTTAGTTACTGACGCCAGTGGGGAACGCGTAGCAGCTTTGGGTTGTTTCTCGCTGGTGTTCTCGCCGTTTTCTGCACCGCGTTTACTCATCTGCACGCTGCGTGCTTTATCCATTGTTCTCGTGGTTTGCTATCAGTAACTGAAGCGTGCAGTGGTGAGAAAGATGTGTGGTGGTTTCAGAAGATGTGTGGTGGTGGAAGCAGGAGTTGGGGGGTTGTGGTGGATGGGAGGAGAGATGGAGGGAAAAGAGGAAGAAGAGAGGTGGGAGGAGAAGTGAAGCGGTGTTTATCGCTAAAGGTCATCAGCTGCTCGAGGCGGCGTTGTTTCCAAGCCTAAGGGCTAGAGGCCGAATGACAGCCAGTGTTTAGCCGTTTCCACGTGAAGTCACATTTATTTATTTATCTATTCTTCATACAGCCTAGAGCCGGAGTTCGCTCTTTCCTCCCCCCTTCCCCGCCGACAAATAAACATATACCCCCTCCTCTCTCCATCCTCCGCCTCCCCTTCTCACGAGAAGTCACATCGCTCAACGCTAGACATCACCTCATCGCCCAAGCAACTTCAAGACATCTAGGAAGTCACGATGTCCATCATCCGCTCACGCGAGCGTATCCGCATCACCACTGTCTCCCGATCACTGGTTTCACACATCGTATGTACCCGTCACCGTCACCGTCGCTGGCACAATACTCATCACCGATAGTATCATCGCCGCCCTATGCACCGCCACACGCACTATCCGCTTTGTTTTTGTTGTTTAATCAGTAATTACATGCGACCTATCTAGACAGCTTTCACTGAGCGGCCCGAGGTGAGTTTCCCTGCCGTCTTCGCCCTGGCCTTTCCCCGAAAGTATATGAGATCACCAAGCAGAGACGGAGCTACGAATGAGCAACAATCGTTCCCTCTCGCCACGTCCATCTCCACCGTTCGCCCCGTATCCGCGCCCCCCGTACACTTGCCCCCGCGCCTCGAGTCTTCCCACCTGCGTCCCACATCTCACGTCCGCTATTCTACATCGCCTGCCGCCTGACCCCTCAAATTCCGCACCGTCCTCCACCTCCTCCTGGTCGAGTCGCGTCAGCTCCGCTCTCTCCGCTCTCTCTTCCCGCTCCCTCAGCTCCCACTCCATTCTCCGACACCTCACTTGCTATATCTTCCTCATCAGTCCGAAGTCTTTAGAATCCGCCTATCCACGGGCCACAACAGTGGAGGGAATGAAGTCTCGGATGGCCTTGCTGCACCGCTCGTCTGCACCGCTCGTCTGCAAACTTCAAAGATCTGACGTCCCGGAGTTTGAAGCGGTCCTTGAAGGTTTGAAGTTTGCCCCGGCTTGTCTTGTCTTGCCTGCTTCCTGACTTCTGCTTCGTGACTTCTGCCCCAATGCCCATAGTGTCTTTTGCAGCTTATTGACTTTTCCATTCATGACAGTTTTTGAAGAGGTATTCGAATTCCCGGGGCTGCGTTTTGTACCGCCGTACATACCGGCACGTGCCGCAACCTGCGGAGGGCATTGGGGCGCTTCTGAGTGCATTGGAGGTGCTGACTGGCTGGTGAGGCTGTGTCCTGTGTTCAGTTGGTAGAATGAAGAATCTCGAGGCCAGGCCCCGCTTGGCCTTTGGGGGCCCATCTCAGGATTTACTGCAGTGGCCAGATTTACGGCTGTCACACCGATACTTCTTGTGATTGGCGTTGCTGTCCTGTCCGCCCATGTCTTCGCTTCCTTCCACTTAGCTTCCGAGATGACACGCTCAGGCAGATAGGCAAGCGATATACGGGGGTACAGTGGCGGAGGTCGGGTGCCATACTGTTGCAGATAGTAGCGGATCTCTTCCACTCCGCGAGCCGTACATAGGGTTGTCGGCTGCCAGTTTAGCCCATTCGTCCCATCCGCCTTGTAGCTCCCAGGGAAATCTTTATGAATTTTGTGCTGGGCACCATCTGATCTCAATTCTCAGTGATGATTTCAGGTTCCCTTTGGCCGCTGGCGGAGAGTGGCGATGTGCTTCCGTGCCTGGAGGCTGTACTACTGGCCATGGAGGGCCAGGTGCATCGTGAGCCATCATTCTCTCAATAGTGGCTTGTGCGTCGGTGTTGTTGTAGGTGTAAATGGTACTCGAGGTGACTGAAGATGGTTCGATTCCAACCTCGGGCTAGAGGCCGCGTGACAGTTGATGTTTAGCCGTGTCCACTGTTGGAATGGGTGAACAGGTATTGTAATTATTGTTGTGTTTTGTGAGTCCGAAGCCTCGAGAGAATACATAAAAGACGGGTGATCGGCGACCAGTGCTCCCCGTCGGACGTCATGACCGCGTAAACAACCAAACAACGAGTGAGAGAGAGAGATCTTCCTGTTTTGTTTCGCATGCATCCTATCTAGACTGTGGCGAACGCCGAAGAAACAACGAGTGAGATATTACAACATCTGAGACGAGAGGAGGAGCAGTGTGCTGAGGCTGAGGAGCCGGTTCCTTCATGGCATCCCTTTTAGAAGAGGCAGGAAGTGGTGACGACTAGGGACCTGCGATGAGGCAGAGACGAGTCGAGGGAGTGAAATTTGGTTTCTCCTAGTGTCATCTCCTTGGTGCGGTCGTACATCGCTGGTACAGGCCACGGCGGGGGGGCAGGGAAAGCCACATCGGGACACACGATGGAAGTCGGGTCGGACGGTGGCAGGGTTCCGGGGTGTGTACATATATTGCCATGATTTAATTAGGTCACAAGCAATTACTGATTAAACACAAATCCCACGGCACCAGAACTTCCCTGGAGCGATCGGACGTCTACACCTGACAGTATCTGTTCATCATGAGTTGATTTGGTCAGAAGATTAGAATGTAGAGAATCCCATAGGTTGCAAGACTTCACTGCCGGCTTCCCGTTAGGGCAGGAATGCGCAATACAAGCTTACCATCAAAAGGATGAGGAGCTGGGATCGTCACAGTACCGCACGGGAAAAGCGCGAGAATCAATGGATGGGACTGAAGGGGTCAGTTTCGGAAGGTCGAGTGATAGATTAAATATCCGTGTAGGAGCAACGTTATATTTCATGATCCAGTATTACCTCGCACCCGAAGTTTTGATAGCTGACCCAGGACAATTGGCCACTTCCGCTTCTCTCACAGAGGAACAAAGTCCGTTGTTCTACCCATCGGATATTTCTTCCTGTTGTAAGGCTCAGGCTGTTTCGCGCATTTGAAAGAGATCCCGCAAGCCATTACTTGTGGTCAAAACAACAACATTCTGTGCCTAGTCGAGATATCAACGACTACAAATCCAACCTTGGGTCCGATTTGGTTGCGGATTGGAAGGCACACCTGCGAATACATATCTCGCACACGCGCCAATCACGTGGGTGGCTTAATTGGCGCTAGGGTGCAGATCTCAGGTGGTGACAAGGCAGTGAAACTGGTGATATCCGAAGCCTTAAAGTTGCACCCTAGGGCTACGGGAGACGTGTATATAATCTTCGGCCGGGTAGAATTGGTCACGTGTATCAGCTACCACGTGACCGCCACGACTGAAGAAAACCAAGGGAAATTCCGCCCTTCCGCTGCCTGTCTCTTCCGCCTATCTTACATCCTCCCCAGTGCCAAAATGTCCCTTCCTTTTCGTGTACACATTGTACCCAGTTAACGACACACCTTGTGTCCAGCGATATATTTCGCAGGTGAGCCCACCATTCTGCGACGTTATCGCACGAAGACAGCTTCTCAAAGCCCGATGTTGCGAGAATAACATGGCTGGCATCAGAAGAAAATTTCCGATACAACGCGACTGGAAGGAAAAAGGCTGATAGGTAGAGACCACAGTATCGACGTTGAACAACGTCGGATCCATTCCGGCACGGACTCTCGGTCGCATCCGACTTGAATCTGGTAAGCATTCAGTTTATCACGCTTATGACTTGCGCTCATACTGACTCGTACTAGATTCGGATGTGTCGGCTGGCATCAGTTTCCGGGATGTTGCCCGGTGGCCAAGAATGGCCAGCGATGACACAGTCCGCGCCAGTTTCTGACGCTGGCCCTGCGGGGCCTGGACATGTGCGGCAATCTGCTGCACGGGGGTTGTCTATTCTGCGGCTATTGCCGCATCACCTCCTCCTTGCTGAGTATCGGCATCCGTGGCATCCACAGCTCATAGGTAATCACTCGCTTCCGATGGTCGACTTTTACTCACTCAATTAAGTAGAGCTGTTGGTGAATACGCCATCACTCCAAATCACTTGGAGAGAAAATGTAAGCCGTCACTTCACCTCACTCAGAGAAAAAACTGACCACGTGATGGAACCCTAGCGGGAAAACAGCGAAGCTTCGATATGAAGAAACCCGCGCTATCCCCATCTGACGTACTCCTTCCCCAAAACCCTCCACTCCTACTCCTTCTCCCTCCACTGTTCACTCCTACCATTCTTACTGTCACTACCACGCTCTGACCCCCACCACGCTCATCCCCACCACGCTCTGATCCCCACCATTAACCACTTCCACCAGATTCGTGTGAGCCGCTTCGGAGGAAGCGTCAGTGCAGAGGAGCCGAGAAAAGAACGGACGAGGGAAGAACAGTAAGTACACCCAGCACAGAGCAGAGCTGTATCAGCACCGGTCTTGTGGTCAAAAAAATCTAATACTACCAGCGAGAACGCGGTTTCGAGATGTTCAACGCCCGCCGCGCCTCCTACATCGCCGAGCAGCCCGCGCACATGCCGCCAAACGCCGCAGAGTATGCCAGCGCTCTGGCATACACTCCTCCGCGGACCGGTCGTCGTCGTCCACAAGCCGCCCAGCAGGTGCGTAGCACTGCGGGATCGGTTTTCGGCCCCTCGGGTACACGTGAGCAGTCACGGCACCTGAACCCTCCCAGTCGTGACCCACCAGCACAAACACCAGCCGGCACCGAGATTCCAACTAGTGGTTTACGGTTTGCTCGGCAGGTGTTCGCCGCTGCAGGCAGATTGGGAAAGGGAAAGGGGAAGGAAGTGGCGACGTCGGATGAGCCAGAGAGCTCTGTTCGCGGCTCAGCGGCACAGAGCTTTGCGAGTTCTTCGGGGGATGTGAGTGGCGGCTCGGGTGCTTCCGGTGCCCATGCCAAGAAGGCGGGACTTGCATCGAGGTTGTTCCACGGGCGACTCGGCAAGAAATCCGAGCCTGAGCAGCAGAACTCCATGGTTGCTCATGAGTCACCTTCTCCCAGCGCAACCGGGGCGGAAGGGACGGCGGTGATGAAGAGCGATCGTCTGCCTGCGGCGGTGGTCGAGAAGGTCTCGCGACCTTTCACGACTGCCACCACGTCTTACCACCCGGGAGCGAACCTCGGAGGACGCCGTAACGCTGCGCAGGCTCGCCTCTCGATCCTCACCGGCCACCGTGACTACGAGGCGCGGGAGAAGTGGGCTCTCTCCCTGCAGGAGGTCCTCGTAGTCACCGGTCATTATGAGCGTATCCACGGATCGCTCATGATGATCGAGCTGTTGCTGAACGGCGGTGAGTCGCACAGCAGCAGCGGGTTGCTGGTGTTGAGAGAGGAGGTAAAGAGGATTCTCACCCAGATGGTGCGCTTGGGGGATCGTTGCGTTGCGGCTTTCGCCGTTGCGAACTCGCTTCGCGACGATTACCTCAAAGATGCCTACCCCCGAGCAGTGATGATGGTCCACAAGAAGAACACAGTCGTTCCACTGTTGTTGACACTACACCGGAGAATCCAGAATGGGATTCGGGATGATGGGGAAACCACATCCAAGAAGGTGGTAGATGGGACCGAGAACTCTGAGCTCGGAGACGGGGGAGATGAAGCGGAGGTAGAGAGGAGAAGAGCTATCGTGCGCAAGCTACGCGAAGAAGCGGTTGAGCAGCATGGATACGTTCCAGCGGCGGGTGAAGACCTTGATGCGGATTTCGAGTTTCTGGACGAGGATCCGATGAGTCTAGTGGACGAAGAGCCACAGCGCGACGAGTCAGAGACCGACGAGCCTGACCGCGACGAGCCTCAGTACGACGAGCCTGACAACGACGAACCAGATATCTACGAGCCAGTACGCGACCAGCCAGACCGTGAATCGTGGGATCCGGTAGCGTTTCTGTCATACTACGAGAAAGCCGAGAGTGATAAGTCCGACGAGACCGTGAAGGCCACCAACGCTCATGAATCGCATCATGAATACGGACATACGGTAGAAGAAGACGAGGTTTCCCCAAACGCCACTTCCTCGGTATATTTCGCAGCTAGACGTCAGCCAGATTCAGGTGGATCATCGATCAAGAAGGATTCTAGCAGCTCTGCCGAACCTCGCCAAACGATACGCATGTTAACACCGGAATACGAGATTGGTCGCAGTTACATCGAGAGGGATATCAGCTTTCCGGGTGAATGGCCACCTGATTCGCCTCTGAGTTTCACGAGATCGCCTGCGAACAGTAGCTCAAGCTCTAGCGTATACATGGATGCCGAAGATGGAATGGATATTTCATCGACGTTGGAAGCGCTCGCTCTAGAGATTGATGCCGATTCTGGAGTTTCTTTACAGTCTGACATACTTTCGAACCCACCCAAGGAGTCTACGGACGTCCGCAATGAAGAGTCAAAACAGACCATGGCCATGACTCGTTGGTCTCCACCTATCTTTAGTCAGATGCAGTCTACCAATCAAGTCTTGTCGGAAGAGGAACCAGCCCCACCGCCTTCTTCCACAGACATTATGCTTCGCTCCAGGAATCAGAGGCTTGAACGCGAGAAATCGATGTCATACGTTTTCCCACATCCCGACTTGAAAGCAAAAGGAAAGGAGATCGATTACACAGGCTACAATGAACCGACGGCTACTACCACCGCATTCGCACATCCCGACTCGAAAGGAAAAGGCAAGGCGATTGATACCACAGGTTTCAACGAAAAGAGTGCCGCGCCTACTGATCGCCTGATGCCATTTGAGCTCCTTGACCGAACAGGTAGTCCGTCGGCTTACCGCACCCCTCCACAGGTGTTCCGCCATCGTCCCGGGCGCTCGAGAGCTTCCCTTCCATCTGAGTTCCGGATGAGCAATTCGCCCGAAGCTGGCCTCCCGCGAGCCATTACCTCGATGCAGCCTAATGACATCGTTCCGAATCGACGTCGTCATTCAAGTGCGCTTACTCCAACTCCCACGCCACCGAAGTCAATCCTCAAATCGCCCTCGAGGAGCCAGAATAGTGACACCACCCAGGAGAGTCCGGCAACTCCAGAGTCCGCTAAGAAGAGAGTTAGCTTCAACAGTGATCTCTCGGATATCGATTCTGTGAGGAGGAGCAGTACTTTTTTCGACGAGCGCACAAGTACGAGTCGCGGTGGAGCCGTTACCCGTTCCATTGATCCCGCTAGATTTAATTCTACTACAGATCTAGGCTACTACCCCGAGTCCAGCACGACAACCTCCGACACCGTTGGTTCTAGCAGGAGCAGTACCTTTTTCACCGAGCGCCCGAGGATCAGTCGCCATGCACACGTTGCTCGTTCCATTGATCCCAGTAGATTCAATTCTACTACAGATCTAGAGCACTACCCAGAGTCCATCACGACGCCCTCCGACACCGTTAGTTCTAGCAGTACGGATCCCGTTACTGGCGAGCAGGAGGCTACGGCTTCCGCGGTTATACCTACAACCTCCAAGTATAACGTCTTCAATCGTCTACGCTGTGGTTCGATTGTCACCGCTACCGAAGAAGTCCCGAGGGAGAGGAACGAGCTGAGGAGGAGGGCTTTCAGTTGTCCCTGTTTCATACAAACTGACGATAACACCAGCAACGCCGGACAGCCAGTTACAAGTGCCGGAACTGCAAATGCCAGTGTCTCTGCGACCGAAGACGAGGGAGCCAAGGAGGGATATTTCCGCCGCCCTCGCCGAAGTTTCAGCCGCAAGGCTTCCAACATTCGCGACTGGATCCTGAAGAAATAGGTCCCTTGAAACACCCGGGCTACTCTACATCATGATCTACAGTTTACATTACATTTTTTCGCCACATTTCCTTCTCATTCACAAAAAGCCGAAATTTTACCGGAGGCTGCCACTAATGTTGAATACCAGTTTTACGGCAATAGGTGGGGAGGATTCGTTACTGCTTGTTTGTTTGTTTGTTTGTTTGTTCTTTTTCTGGAATTCCTGAGCTCAGTCACGTTACAAAAGAGGGCTCGTTGGCTGTTGTTTTGTCTGTCGGTAATGCTGGAGGTGGTATCTGGCTAAATCCATAGATACAAGCAATAGAAAACTGGAATTCTGTTCATTCAAGTAGTGTTTTCTTCATTGTGACCATGATTCCCGTAACTCACTCACACATCCAAAGCAGATCTTTGTAATAGCCTAAACATTTTACTATCCACTTAAGCCGACGGAGCGGCCGAGATCTCGAGTGTAGACATCCAGAAGACTGATACGACGTAGCTGGAGTAGGATGCAGCACTCGTCATCCCCGAGCCGTGCCGTTCCTCGAACTCGATGGATATAAGGTTGTCTACGTGAGAGCGGAGTCGGCTCTTGGAGCGTCTGCGTGCCTGTATCGGGACGGTGTTACGTAGCAAGAGCAACACCGTCGCTCCCCTCGGGTGGCTCTACTAGCTTTACAATCCCCGGCCCAACCATACCTTTCCGCCTCAATCAGAAGGCGCACTGCACAAAAGTAGATGAACTGATGTTCTAAGGCCGCCAGCAAAGTTTCCGCTTCGAGTGACAAACGATGCGCAGAAATGATACCGAACTAAAGGCGTCCGGTTGGGCGTACAGGCTTGCACACATATCCTGACGGGTGCGAAATACGGGGGAGCATCATAGTTGCATACTCGCTCTCGATGTCGCTCCAACCTCTTTCACGTGCGCTGGAGTTGTTAAATCTCGCTTAGCACAAGCGGTGGCGGTGCAGCGGTTTTAGGCAGGTACGACTCATGTGGGCTTACTCGAAAGCCACAACTAGATGGGTGTCAAGAAAAGTGGTATTCTGAAGTAGTGTGCAGCGTATCAGACACAGCAGAAAGAAAGCCATATATAGCAGAAGGCACGGGGGTGCCTCGGATAGAGGCCGCTTGCCACCTCCGTGAGATCGGATAACGGAAATCAGAGTGATCTCGCATGACGCGATAATCACACGGAAGTCGGAGTGATCTCGCATGACGCGGTACACGAAAGTTCGTGATTTGTGACAATGGGGCTGCATTGCGATGAGTGGATCATTATCAGCACTACTTCACCCACTTCTAGAGAAACATCACCGCAAGACTATATCCCATTTCACTCGGCACTCCATCCAACCCATGCTCTGCTCCCGGCACCTCGACGAACTCCACGTCCACTCCGGCGTGCCGCAACGCCTGCACAAACTTTCTCGAATCCGTCGGTGGAATCATCGTGTCCGCACTCCCATGAATCACCCAAGTGGGCGGCATCATGTCTGCCAGCTTCAACGGCAGAATGTCGGCTTTCCTCTCCACGGCCACCGCTTCCACACCCATCGCGCGCTGACGTTCATGCCTCTTCAGCAGGAAATCCAGCAGCAACCCCTCCTCCAACGCCCAGAGAAAGAACCTGAAACTGCCAGCTTCTTCAGCAGATGACACGTCCTGCGTCAGCACCCTCTCATTCCGCGGGATACCCGAAAACTCCGCCGCATGAATCCCCGCTGTCTCGATCCCCATAACCACGGCGGTGTATCCTTCCTCCTCATGTACCATTCCCCACGCAGATCGACCATGCCATAGACGTCCAGCAGAGCCTTGGGCCTGAGGATGCGCCAGTGCGCGGCCGCGAGCGCCGCCACGAGCACGCCGGCGCTGGATCCGGCGAGCGCAATGTTCTCCGTGTCGATGTGCAGACACGCGGCGTGCGTCAAGAGCCAGGTTTCGAGTGCGGCGATGTAGCGAAGAAGGAGGTGCTGCTCGCTTGCGGGAGTGAAGAGTAGTACGGGGAAATGAATAGCCAGCCTCGGTGGTGCGTTGTGGAGGCGACGCCGGAGGGGAGGAAGGCGTCGCGCTGGGCCGTAATGAGACCACCGCCGTGGAAGCGGATTAAGGTCTTAAGCGGTGCGGAGCTGCTGCTGCGTGGTTTGGAGGGTTGACAAATGTTGAGCTGCGCCAAAGGCATGGTCTGGTAGGTGTGGGTTTCCGGTTTGATGCTGGTTTGGTGGGACATGCTTTCGCGTGTGGGATGCGACTGGACGGTGGTGCACTGGGTATTGGATCTGGGCGTTCTGCCGACGGGGATTGGGATTTATATACAGATAGATGGCCGAGCACGGGGTAAGCCGTGAGCCTGAGGACCAGAACTTTGGCATACGCACCACCTTCGCATCTGTGCGGGGTCGCGGATCTGTGTGGTATTTGCCGTTGGTATAAGTGCCCAGGTACGTAGTACGTAGCAACATTTATTCAGGCACCTATCATCTATGCAACTCGGAACGAGTATTCCGGAGATCTGCCCGGTGACCCGGTCAACGGCTGGTGAACGGTGATGGTGAAAAATCTAGGCTCACGCCCCTCAGCATTGATCGAGTAGGATACGTGGGATAGACCTGGCGTTGTAGAGCAAGAGAGCCGGCGATCTCGTTTCCAACGACGACAGTATTGGCACGTTGCGTGCAATCACCAAAGAACCTCTATTAAAACCAGCAGCGACATCTGAAGGATACGCATCGTAAGAAACATACAGAAAACCGACATCTTTGAAGTACACCCAGTATCAAGAAGAAATGCTTGAAATGCTTGAAAAGAACGGAAGGGAAGACAAGGAAAAAAGAGAAGAAACGAAAGAAAAAAATGATCACGTCGAGATGACCCCATTATCCCCAGTAACTCCATCAATCGGATCGCGAATCCCAGACTGTACGATCGCTCGCCGAGACTGTGCTATGAACGATATGTTTGTAATAAACCTCTGAGACTTCGCTCTCACACTCCGATTATAATTTCCGGGGGAGTCAGTCAATAGTCCTCATCATCAGAGGTCAACTCCAACCTTTCGAATGAATCTTTGATCATACGCACCAAGTCCTCGAGGATGCGTTGTTGAATTCGTCGAGATTCCCCGCTGCGAGCAGGTTGTCGACGGTTGAACGGCCTCCTTCAGGCGCCACACCCTCGTCAGGCCCTTCCATCACGCAGTATATGCGTGCACCATCTGACCGCGCCTCTGCGACGACAGCGGAGGCATCAACCTTGGATTTGGTTACGAACATGCTCGCAATCCGATCAAGACATATAACCTCTTGGTTCCTGCCGGCAGAGATTGAACGCTCTCCAGGCTCTGACCTTCCATCTCGTATAATCCACAGAAGCGACGACGCCGAGCGAATCAGCATGTCATTAGTAACCATTGCATACGGCTGCTCCCAGGTTCGGGTTCTCGTTCTGGTTTGGAAATCGATTAGTAAAAGACAATCGACGTGAATTTAGGAAGTATAATACACCGACTTCTCATCGATGGTTACCTCCAACGAGACTTTCATCCTCGCTTCTCCTTCCCCTATGCTAACAAATGCGTGGCGACCGACACGCTGATATTGCTCGAAGTCCATAGGATCGCCATTCAACACAACCAGCGCCTTCCCACTTCCCCGATAGACGAAGAGCTAAACAGGCAGTTAGTACGGTGATACCCTGTGCTTCTGATCTTTTAGACCTACATGATAGTTGAGGAGAATGAATTCAGCATGTACCGCTTGTGTCCCAAGGATGGAGTTGTCGCCGTCCCGGAGGGTGATGGTCCTGATAGTGTCTCCCGCTGCCGCATTCTCCGGTATTATCTTGACGGCCGCCATAAGTATATCGAGTGCTGGTGGGTGGCGGTGGCTGTTCCTAGAGCCGGAGGAGAACACGTGTGGGGGTTTGGAATTGGTGTGCAGCTGTGCGGCTCCATTTCGCAGTGTCTCTCACGGTATAGAACTTTCACACCTTCCCCGTTCCTACCTCTAGCAGTGTCTATCCCCTGAGGTCGTTTGTTTGACGACGTTGAAAATTCTGCTCGAGGCCGAAAATTCTGTTGGTAGTCACCGCGCTATATTCTACTTCGCAAACTAGTTGTCAGCATAGCACGCTAGTGCTATCAGGTACCTATAGGTACCTGGTGGGTATTCGGGCATTTCATCCTCCGGACGGAATGGATCAGTCCTCTGGAAAGCCTGCCCGGGAGATGGACGGTTGAGAGCCCTGATTTTGGCCCTGTTCCAATTTATGCATCGGCCAAATGTATGCATCGGCCAAAAGTATGCATCGGCCAAATTTCGCACCTAGCCCGCGGCCTACCCTACCTACAAACTTATGTAAGCCCTCCTTTGAATCCACCTGCTCCGCTACCTTCATCCCTTCCTATACCCATCACCGCTTCTTCACCGCCCTCCTCCATCAATATCACGCATCTGGTGCCGTGTATCCGCAAATCCGATCACTCATTCAAATCCTCAAACCCTCATCCTTTCCGACTCAATCTTCTTAGCATGATGCGGCTTGCTCCCTTCCTCCTTTCCCTGTTGGTTGGCATTCCATCCATCACCGTGGCCGTTCCGATCGTCGACACCAACCCCGCCGTTGAGGCCCTCGAGATGGCTGCTATGCCTTACTTCGAGCTTCTCCAGCTGCCTATGGACTTCGATATGAGCAACCCGGCGCTCAACATCACCTATCTGCTGGAGTTGAAGGCCAAGGACCCCAATGCCGAGCTTCCGCAGCTTCCTGCCGACCTCCCCATCATCTCGGTCCCGAACCGCCTGAAGGATGGCAACGACTTCGGCAGTGCCGTTGAGGACAAGATCGTCTGCGAAACCGACAAGCGCGCCTCCCCTTTCCACGAGTACGTCTGGAAGAATGCCAAGGCCCTCAAGGACATCGGTAACAGCTGGTGCTGCCAGTCATCGCTAACCGCTCCCTGCACCAAGATGACCAGCTTCGCCAATGCTGCCACTGACATCTGTGGCGCGAGGGGCTCTTGCGTTCGCTGCAACTGGGCGGGCAATGCCAACTACCTGATTGCATTCGGCTGTCTCGGCGGTGGTCCCCCGGCGATCAACAACATCTGGTGTGGTGGATATGTTCGGTATTCTTACTTCTTTTCTCTACTCCCAGCTTCATGAATCATGACGATGAGCTAATTCCTCCTATTCATGCTACAGTAAAACCATCTCGACCTTCAATCCTTACACTGTTGATGTCAACGTTTATACTTTGAAGAACAAGAAGTAAGTAGGTCAGGACGGTGATGGACGGGAAATGCGGGCCAGGATTTGATTAATTGTTTCTTTGTTGAATCACCTCGCGCTTCATCATGATGTTTTCTACGATCTTTGCTCTTTATCTTTTGTCCATCGAGGGAGAGGGATGAGTGGGATACGATTGTATTTGAGAGAGGAATGGAAAGTGCTATCCAAAGTTGAGGCCTAACAACCTCACGTATCATCGCTGTGGTAGTGAGCTCCACGACCAGCGCCAACCGGTCTTCCCCAATCGTGACATACAAGAATGCCTGACCAAATCCTGCCGATGTCAGAGTCCATTCCCAAGTGCCAGGCAAGCTGTCCTCTCGCAATTCATCATGATACGAGCCCATAGCATACTCTCTATCTATTTAGATAGGATGATTGGTAGGAAGATAACTGTTTTGTTGCTTGCTCCTTCTTCTTCTCCGGACCAGTGCCCTTCCATATATACAGAATATGTCTGGCATTGGCAGACAGGCCCGCCAGCGAGACTAGACAGCAGACCAGACAGCATAACGCATCTCTTCCTCCGGATACAGTTCGCATGACCGAGGCCTAGACTCCTTTAGAACTGAGAACAGTGCTCCCTGAAGCTTCACCATCGCCTTACAACGGACATGAGGAGAGATCTTTCATGTGCTCATGACGGGAGATCTTTCATGTGATCCAGACGCCGTAACGATTAACCACGTAGTAGGATATAAATCGGGTAGGTTGTAGTAGCCTGCTCCAGTCCAAAGCTGATAACGACAGCAGGGGCTCAGGAGAGTCTCTTTTGGTTGCCGAACAGCTTATTCTGGAATCTTCATGTCAGGGTTAGACGCCCGAAAGGTTTAAGATGACTCGCGATCCTTGAGGCACCACCGTACGACGTGTCCGGAAATGCACCAACGGCCCCGACGGACCGTGCACTTCTCAGAAGCCAAAGGATCTGAGTATAATTCTCCTACGTCAGAGTATTCTGTCAGGGACTGGACTAGCGTGTCTCTAGAGACTCTATCCGGCCGGACGGGAAGCAAGAGAATCAGCAGAATTATCCATCGCGGTATCTCTCTATCTTCCAATTTTCTTGTCACTTTACGAGTGGACGTTACCGAAATTCCCCCTTTCCCTCAAATAACCCATCTAGATCTCTTGCACTGACACAAAGTACCTTTTTTTTCTCGAATGAACGAACTACGGAATCCTACCGTTGATTTCGCCAACGGTGGATCCCGGCGATCCCGGCACACCCACCCCTGTGCCTGACTTTGACTTTGACTTGCGCCAGCGCAACAGGGTTCCCCGCGACTCGGAACTCGGCTAAAAGCTTGAGCTCACAGCACCTCACGACCACCGTCATCCCGTTGTGACATTCCCCGCGCATTGACACACACAGCATTTCACGAGCAGCGTCAAAGCGACCTCGAACCTCCAACATGCAAATCAGCCTCCCGCCTCTCGCGCAGGAGACCGCAATGCGCTTCCTCACCTGGAACCTCCGCTACGACTCGCTTGCCGACACCATTCCGCTCACCGACAGTGTCTCCTCGCTTCCCGCTTCGCTTCCCGCAGACGAGAGCGTAAGCTTTTACAGCTCGCCACACGAAGTGCCCTGGTCGACGCGTCGCATCGACGTCGCCCGCGAGGTACTGTTCCACGCGGCGGTTATCGTCGGTTTTCAGGAAGCGCTGGTACGGCAGGTGGGGGATCTCGCTCAGCTACTGGGTAACGGCTTCAGCTGGATTGGCTCAGGACGCGAGGATGGCGGAACAACCGGAGAGTATGAGGCGATTTTTTACCGGAATGATCTCGTGCAGTTGGACTCGTGGGATACGGTGTGTACAGCAGTTGCCTCCTGGATAGATATGTGTATTCGTCGATGCTGATTGTCAGAAACAAAGATGTGGCTATCCGAAACACCATTCACACCGAGCAAGTTCCCCGGGGCGGGGAGTACACGCACCGCCACGTACGCGAGGATGAGGATGAAGGATAGCGGTAGTTCGTTTACGGTCGTGTGTACGCACTGGGACGAGCAATCGGATCCGCAACGGCAGCTTTCCGCGTCGCTTCTCGTCCGTCTGGGCGCATCGAGTCTCCCGTACGGCCCGGTCTTCGTTCTCGGCGACTTCAACTCCCCTTCCACCGGCTCCGACTGCACTGGCTACAGGATCATGACCGGCTTGCTTCCACCCGTCGCTGTTCCTTCGTCCTTCGCCGATCGGTTTCCCGTCCGTGACACTGACGCGGAATTCGTCTTCACCGACGTCGCGCAGGTAACTCCGCCGTTGGGAAGGAGTGGACATCATGGTACGTTCACGGGGTTCGAAGAGCATGCCCAGATGGACCTCAAAAGGATCGACTTTGTTATGGCGGGAGGCAAGGGGTGGGAGCCGCTGAGATACCGTGTGGGGGAGAATTGGCATGATAATTCAGCGGTGGCGAGCGATCACAGGCCCGTTTTTGTGGATGTTATATTGAGCAGCGCCAATTGAAGGTGTCTGGCGATGGGGCGAGGGCGAGCTGCGCTGGAGCAGGCAGCTTGAGAATGAGAACTGGCTTTCCTTTCACTGCGCGGAAAAATACTACGGATATGATCCGGTCCTCAAATTCTCTCACCTGTAGACGGAGGCGCTTTACAATGTCGCGTGCTTTAGTAGGCGTTTCTCTTCCGAACAACACAATCGAATAAGTAGTCGGTAAACCCGTAATTGCACACACCACCTCTAGGTATCTGCTTATCGTGAACTTCGATTGTCATGGTTACTTGAGGGGGACCTACTGCGGTGCGATTCATTTCCTGCTGACGATATGGTATTGCTCTATTGCATTTTCAGCCAGTCTCCCATCTCTACCAGTGCAGCCGTTCGAAATATCGACTGCGTACGTCTCTACACCCTCACAGCTTAAGCGTGCAGAATTGCGATTCACTGAGGCTTGACTCACTTTTTGTCTTGTATCACGCATTCGTACGGGTACTCACAAAGCTCGTCTATACAACCATCTACTTCGATACCTCGGCGCAAAACCTGGGAAACACCCTCATCTTTGACCAGTAGGTCCTCCATACGCGCATTTATGGCTACCGAAAGGATAGAATGTACGCACAGCTCTCCGGTTTTGTTTCGGCACTGTGCGGCTGGTAATCGCAGTCGAATAAAACCGATTACTCGTATCCTCCGTAGTAAGCCAGTAATTTTGATGACGCGATTCAGGAAGCATGGTAGTCAATCTCTAGCAGCAGCCGCGGCCAGCAGTGAGTCGAACGAATTGGAAGGATGGCGGGCCAGCCCGACTCGGGATATCGCTATTCGCTCGATTATCGTGCAGGAGTGCAGGAGGAGTGCAGGCGTGTAGGAGTATTGCTGATGGCATGGTATTGTAGATTCTGCAAGATGGTTGATACTGATCGCGGTTCCTACAAGGTAAAGCGCCCGTTCCTCACGTAGATAGACATGTAACTACGAAATTAACTGCTATCTGCTATGGCTCTCAAAACTTGGAGAACACGTGGACACAAAAGATTTCGCCGATATGACGCGAGTGAGTGATGATGCAAAATGTAGGGTGTCGCCACTAGTGATGTCTGGCTTATTGTCTGTAATCGCGATGATCTATGGAAGAGCACAGTACGGTGAGCCAAGCACAGATCATCGCGATAGCGAATAGATAAGAAAGTACAAACAAACCAAGTAGAACCACTCCTTCGACCACCCACCTCCCTCCCCTACACATCCTACGCTTCTCCCCACCTCCTCTACACAACTTCCACAACCTTTACCCAGCGACCACACGACAACCAATTTCCCCTACACAACCACACACATCCTCCAATGTTCATCTTCAAAATGAAGAAGCTCACCTTCCACTCCTTGATGCTATATGTCTTTCTCCAGATGTCCCTGGCTTTCTTCTTCATCATCGAGGGAGTTTATGGCATCTTTGTCGCCAGGAACTGGCTCTGCCACCCGACCGAGCACTACGAACTCGCTATGGATGGCACCTCCAGCGGCTTCCACACCGTTGTTGAAGACTCCGTCTGCCAGAGCGCCCGGCTCGCCTCCAAGGTCCTACTCGGATGTTTTTTGATCGGCATGCTTGGTCTCTCGTGCTCCATTTGGATGTTGCACAGCTACATTCAGATGATCTGTCGCAACAACAACAACATCGTCCCCGTCGAGCTTCAGTCCGTCGAGGTCATCGACGCTCAGCACGTTCCGGGTACCGACGACGACCACGCGAAGCAGGCCGTTTCTGCCAAGGAGAGGACCTTCAACCGAGACTCTATGGATACTGTCGTCCTTTCTTAAGGGTATGTTCCGAGCTCTCATTCATTCTTGATACTGACTATGGAAAACAGGCAGGTCATCTGGAGAATTTGTCTGTCATCAATAAGCTTCTTTTTCTTTTCATGTGTTTCAAGGTTCCACGAAATATATGATTGACGGCTAAACTTGTCTTCTCTTCGCTGTGACTTCTCCCGTGATATCATTCAACCCCGCTTCGCTACTTCCCATCTGCCTGTAGACACCCAAAAGTAATGTCTGCAGCTTTCAATGGCTTCACTACTCCCCACTATCCGATCTGTAAGATACCCAGTGTTCTACATAGACCAGTCCCGACCAAATTTGGGTATGGTCGCGGTCGAGATATATCCCGACCAAAAAAAAACTCTCGTCTGGTCGGTCGGAATATATCCCGACAAAAAAAACTCGGTCTGGTCGGTCGGGATATATCCCCAGCATAAATTTTCATGTCGGGTCGGGATAGGTCGGGCTAAGAAACAACATTTGAAGCCGGAAATGCTCTAAAAACCGTTATAAACAAAGGAATTTTTTGCGGCTGATAGAATTAGCATTTAACCCGACGTCGGCCGACCAGTCTGGTCTATGTAGAACACTGAAGATACCTGTAGATGAAGAGATCGCCGAATCTGAGAGACATACCTCTAAGCGTATACTGAGAGCGGGATCAGAAGAATAGTACAGTCCCTCAGACTCATACTTACAGTTACAACAAGTAAGACTTTACCGTGTCGTTCGATTATCATCACCGAAGCAGAAAATGAGGCAGGTTGAGATCACCTATCGAAGGCCCCCTCATCCCCAGAGCTCCAGAAATCCCGTTCGAATCTACGACTATGTCACGACCGTCACCTACCTCACGTTCCTCAACCCTCCCGAACGCACCTACCGCAGGTGCGGCGTCAACAGCCTGTTGAAGAAGCGTGTTTGATCGCTTTCCGACTCTATCGACATAGGGTCAGCATAGTCTGCGGAGGGTATCTGGCAAATTAGTGATTCCCCTACGCTTCCAGCCTGCTATACGGCTCCGTCATCCGCCGTAGTTACTGCAAAATCATCTTCACACCCAATCCAAAAATCCCGCTCGACATCCGACACCATCCACATCCAGAATCACTCGCTTCTTCGACCCACTTCTAGCGCAATTGGATGCTCCCCCCTCGGTAGATGGTGTATCGACCCGGATCATGCGTTTTCCTCCTCATCTTCCTCCTGATCCCCCTTCTCCTGGCCCATGCGGCCATACTGACAGCAAGTACCGCCGCGGGCTGCATGGTGCGGGCTTCCTTTTCTTGCCTTCAACTCGATACTGACTTCTACGTCACCTCTGGTTCACTCGTTCACGGTTCACAAGATATCTCGCGAAGCACCATCCTTCCCCGCTGGCGACCTTGCAGTAGCTCTGGCCTTGAGAGTTTGTCGGTCCGAATCCCTGAAGGCAGCTTGGGGAGGGGTATCAAGGGAAGCACAGCGGCTCTGCTCTCCACTAGGCTCTTCCTTGCCGTTTCCTTTTGACCGATCCGAATGAGACGTTATGTTTGGCGCTAGTGAATGCAACGTTATCCAACTCCTCCCTCCCCGACTCCGACTCGACCTTCGCTCCTCACCCTTTCACCTCTCAATTTCCCCTTAATACTACCATCCGAATCCACAATCCACGCTCAGACTCATCCACCACCCTGATATCTTCGAACAACTACCCCACTCCCTCGAAGGGACTTGCTGTTACCACAAGCTGGATCTTCGCAACATTCACAACCCCATCGCCCGGTATGATGACCCTCGATACTTTCTTCCACGCTCGCAATTCACTAACATCGACAGCCACACTGGGCTTAACAGTGCCTGTCAGGGGGCACAACAGTGCGTCTATGCGCACAACAGTGCCTGTCGGGGCCCTCCTTTGCTAGGTATGATCATCGTCATTTTCTTCTAAACTGGGAATCTGCTGACGTCGATAGTCACTCTAGGCAACACGGTGCCTTCAATTGGGTACTACTTTCGATGGGGGCTCAATATTTTCAACCAGCCGCATTTTCGGCGTTCGCAACCAGGGCTGTCAACCGTCCGTCCCGTCCGTCTTTGAGGTTTCCCGGCCCGGGATGGAATCAGTCGGGCTGAAGAGACCAAGGACTACAGTCTTCCGGGCTAGAGAAATGAGGACGGATACCCTACAGGACCCGGAATTGACTGGAACAGTAGGACAATGCAAGCAGCGTGGCGCCAGACAGTGGCGCAGGTGTGCGGCTGTGCGGCTCCATTTCGCAGTGTCTCTCATGGTATAGAACTTTCACACCATCCCCGTTCCTACTTCCAGCAGTGTCTATCCCCTGAGCTCGATTGTTTGACGACGCTGAAAATTCTGCTCAAGGCTGAAAATTCTGTTGGTAGCCATCACGCTATGTATTACTCCGCAAACCAGCAGTCAGCATAGCACGCTGGTGCTATCATGTACCTATAGGTACCTGGCGGGTATCCGGGCATTTTATCCTCCGGACGGAATGGATCAGTCCTCTGGAAAGCCTGCCCGGGACGGGACGGAACGGGACGGAACGGGACGGAACGGTTGACAGCCCTGTTCGCAACATCCACCACTCCTTCGCCGGACATATAACCGTCGTCATATACTTCCGGGCTCGCAATCCACTGAGATGCATAGCCGTTCTGGGCACAACAGTGCCTTCCTAGAACAACAGTGCAATGGATCTGGAGTCGATTCAGATTTGCGTGAGTCGCCCGTGGTTCCGCAAAACGTGCTTTTCTGCGGGGTGTGTATCGATTCCTAAGTCCTACGAGAAAAAACCCCTGATGAAAACATAGGAAATTCTTTCGACTACCTGAGAGGATTACACACCGGCGGATCTCGTGTACGATGCTCTTCGGTCGGATTGTGACAGGCTGCACCTTGTCAGGACTTCTGAACTCTGCTACTTCACGGATCGACACCACATTGCGTGTCCTCCTGTCAGTAAAGAGGGCCTCAATGCGTACGGAGAGGTTTGGGATGAGCGCTCAAAATTTTACAACCAATGGTCGAAGCCACTAGGCTACAACAACAGCTCCCAAGCGGAGATTTTTTATAATCCATCATTGCTGTCGTCCGGCGTCCGGACAAGTATAATATGGTTCGATCGATACGATCGTGCAAGAGGTGCATGCCGCGGTGTCCTTCGCTGGGTGAGAAGCAGTGAGGGGTAGCATTGTTGCCACCTGAAAGAATTTGGTATGATGAACCAAAGGAGACAGGCAAGCGTCCTGAAGAAGGGTCGCCAGATTCCGGTGGAGAAGAGTTCTGGCAGGTAAGGCGATAGCACAGCAATTAGAAAAGGTCCCAGGGTTTTGAACAGCCGTCGAATCGGCGGATGATCCCCCTATAGTTGTCCTCGGAACCCGTTCATTGGGGATTCCCCAGCGGCCCAATGGGTTTGAAAGGCGGAGCCAAAAAAGCACCTACAAAAGTTTTCTCCAATATTCCACTCTTACTACGCCTTTTACTGATCACACGCCCGATGGATAAAACAAAAACTGCACGATTTGGCGCCTATTTCCGCCCACACCCGACTAACAATTTACTCGACTATGAATCCGAGTCACGCTCGGCAGCCGATACCACTACCCGCTACTTGCACGGCTGAGACTTGCGAGGACACTACACGCTAGTGCGAGACAACCGCTGCCACGAACGCAAGTAAGATCCATTCTTCTCCTGATTTGCTCCCCACAGGAACCTAATATCCTTTGTGTACAGGTCCTTCCAATCAAGCGCGCCTCACCATACCTGAGTGCCTTGCAGCACCCGTGTGCCTTCGTCCTGTCGCATCATTCCACCACCGCTACTCCGGAACGAACGAATACAGTTTGGTGAAGTTACTCGGTCGACGTGCGATATGAAACGAATGCACATCGTGATGCTTAAGAACCACCGCCCCTTTGAGCACGGTCACCACTTCGTCTAAGGCGAATGAAGGAGGCAATGAATTGCAACGCCAGTCCAAGCCGAAGACTTTCATTTGGATGTTTTTTTTGGGTGCTGCAGCCAATGAATCTGCTGGGGCTGGTTGCTCCAAGGTGTGGTACAGATGGCTTCTGGCCTGCGGGCCTGCGGGCGTGGCTGAGATGCTTGCCCCGCCGCAGGGAGTAAATCTCCCAGAGGGCCAGTGAGTCTCTTCCATCCCATTCACTCGTGTAGGCGATGTTTAAATGCAAGCAATCTTTGCTAACTGAAGACAGAATCGGCCATCGATGCCCGGTACAGATCCTGATCTTTCTGGCTTGCGGGCCTGCAGGGGTGGCCGAGATGCCTGCCCCGCCAGGGAGTCAATCTTCCAGCAGATGGTTAGTGAATCTCTCCCATCCTATTCAGTGTATGTGTCTCTACCAAAGCTCCAAGGAATATTGCTGATCGATGTGGACCTTCAATGCCCAGTGCGAAGATCAAGACAAGGCTGTGTGTGCAGCTGTTTCGGATGAGGGCCTGAACGGAACTAGCAAGGAGAAGTATGGTGACATACTAACCGGAATATATGCCATGGCCAACATCGCCTCCGCTGCGATACAGGAGAAACTGCGTGTAGGTTTTTTATGGTTATTTTCCTTTTTCTGACAAGCACTAATGAGAAATGTTTTTATGCAGACTAAAGCAGGCAATGCGATCCGAACTAGAATGGGTGTCGAGAAGATGGTCGCCATGTGTGACCCACCCCCGGGGCCCGCAGGCCAAAATGGTGAGGACCCGTATCGGACATCGATGGCCGATTCTGTCTTCAGTTAGCAAAGATTGCTTGCACTTGAACATGGGCTGCATTTGTGAATAGGATGGAAGAGATTCACTAACCCTCCGGGAGATTTACTCCCTGCGGCGGGGCAGGCATCGCAGCCACCCCCGCGGGCCCGCAGGCCAGATGTCATCTTTACCAGCCCGCTGCCCAAAATAGAGCAGAAGCTGATGTAATTCAATGACTAAGATGAAGAATTGCTACATGTCCAGAGTATCCAACCATGCCGGCTGATATACAACAGTAAATGTTTCCATCTCAAAGGTAAACCATTATCTACCACTGACTAGGTATCATTTGCCATGTCATTCTCACCACTTTTGGACGCCTGACTAGACTGGGCATCATCGTCCTCGTTGTCAGATTGACCCGTGTGAGGATCGAAGCTCAAGCCAAGAGCAAGGAGAGCCTCAGCGCCCCCCTCGCGGGCTCCGAGAGCCTTGATCAGACCCATGATTCTGGTAGCCACGACAGCAGGCTGAGATGCCTGCCCCGGCACAGGGACACCGGAGTGAATACCGACACCAGCGAGGAACCAATCACACTGATAAGGCTCGAAGCCGATACTGCCAAGGAATCCGCTTGGTCGTCTCAATCACCATGTGCTGCCTCTCGCGACAATCCGCGCCTATGTCCGCAATAGCGCCAGCGAGGAGGCTCTCCTGAGAACCCGGAGGCAACACAAGCGGGCACTCGAGGCGGGACGTCCGCATCCCGGTCGCCTTCGCTGCCGATCCGCAGTCGACGCTGGTACTCGACCCGCTGCCATCGTTGCAGAACCCTTTCATGACGCCCCCGTCCTTCCTGTCACTCGGTTGCAGAATCCGTCGGAAACGACGAGAACGGCAATTCAGCAACCTCCAAGAAGTAGAGTGAATACACTTACCACACAGCACTAGCCACATCAACAAGCTAGGATTCATGGTCGATCGCTTGGAGGACGCAAAACATGCAGTCGTGCGCGCTGGCGGTGTTCAACCTGAATCGCGACGGAAATGCACGGACGAAGTGCCTGTGGAAAGATATATAGTTGCTCATTTCCGTAAGGGAAAAGCATTCCCGTCTGATACATATTGCGTTCATGTTGGTGCAGGAGGCTATCTATAGAAGAATGATTCGGGTAGTAGTGTGACAAAACCCGCTCTTAAAACAAACCCTCCCACTTCTTTCCTTCCTCTTCATTTCACCTCCCTCGTGCTTTCACCTCCCTCCGAGTCAGTTACCTCTCCACAATACTCTCTGAATACTCATCTCCAGTTCTCTCATCCACCTACATCGAAATCCGCAACCTCTGCAGAATACTCGTGAATATGTCCGAGCGTACCATCATTTCGATGCTCGTGGGCGGCTTTGATGACTACGAAATGCGCTCGTTCGACGAATCTCGTTCGAACTCGCGACATGGCACTGTTGTCAGCGGACCTAATGATGTCACAGCCGCGCACTCGAGGCGGGATGTCCGCATCCCGGTCACCCTCGGGGCCGATCCTCTGTCGACGCCGGCACTGGACCCGCTGCCAGCATTGCAGAACCCGTTTGTGACCCCCCCTCCTTCCTGTCGCTCAGTGACAGAATCCGTGGGAAACGACGTCAGCGAAAATCCTTTCTCCACCCCACCGCCGAACATTGCTCCGTCTACAACCGCCGCCTCCCTCCATTCCAGTAACGACATCCCTTCCAACAACGACATCTCCGTCGACATCAACAACGAAATCTGCGACAACAACGAAATCCTCCACTCTTCCGACAACGACATCGCGCCTCCCACCAGCAACGACATCGCCCGTCAACATCATCTCGTCGCCATGCTCACTCACACACGCATGCACGCCTCTCCCCGCCCCCGCTCCGACAGCGCGCTTCCGCCTGCCGCGCGCTTCCCGCCCGCCTGGGAACGCCAAGAACTTCCCGTTGCCGTCGCTGCGCCGACACACCGTCCGCCCCCGACAAACCGTCCGCCCCCGGATGATACCGAGGTCGACAAGGACAACACGGAGCTGTACACAATGCACGATAACGTCGTCGAGCGCGCGCTCCGCTGGATCTTCGACCGTCCGCCAATGGCGTGGATCGTTTGGCTCTGCGTCGAGGGATACTGGCTCCCGATCTTTCTCCTCATTGTTGGCAGCTTGACTGCGGCTGGAGCGGTCTACGCCTATCGGTGAGCTTTTTTTTCCCCTTCCCCTCTCCGAGCGAAACATGCTGACAATAAGTAGCCAGGACTACCCGCGCCAGATCGAGGAGAAGATTGCCCGGCTGTCCCCGGAGGCCGGCTTGATGCGCTGGGATCCGGACGTGCACGGACCATGGGTGCCGTACCGTCCCGACGGGAACGGCGGTGACGAGGGTCATGGGGACGGTGGAGCCGGCCACCTGTACGAGCGAGGAATGATGTTCTAAGCGTCGAAGGTTTGCAACACACACATACCTACGGGTATGTGTGTGGGCCTCGACCCGAGGGATGTCTACAGATAGGGGACGGTAATGGAAGCGCGGGGAGGGGTGGTGGATACTAGTACAATTTTACTGCGTTTTTTCTGTTTTTTCTGTGTTTTCTTTGGGGCTGGTGCTGGATATCTTTAGCCAGTAGACGGTAATGGAAGCGATTGAGAGATGGAGAGGAGGATACCAGTACAATTTTGAATGCGATTTTCCTGTTTGCTGTTTTTCTTGGGGATAGGTAGGGTGCTCAACAAGAGATGGACAGTGAGGGGTTGATTCGATGAGGAGGACCATTGGCCTCCTATGCTTACCACGCCTCCGTGGAGAGTTTTTCAACACTGTAATAGATAGAAGACAATCAATTCGGTACAGAAACACCATGAGCAGCGAGATCTCTCAACCTATATACTTACAAGCTTCACGAACCAGGGTATCTAGGCATTGATCCCCTCGGAAGGTACATGGATCCTTGGAGTTATCTCCGGCGCTCGAAAACCTCGTGTGGCTCTCGTCATCTCTGGACGTCAAATATTCTGACAGGGAATATACCCGGCTAGCATCACTATGCCGCAACAACTATGAAGTTACGGCTGAGCACATGATATCACTCGCTCCCGCTTGACTTGCGCAATAGATGTCAAAGATTCGACAGCGTAGTATCGACGCAGTAGCTATCCAGCGAGATGAAGCTGTGATTTCGGAAATGAGGACGGGGTAAGTATCACGCCTGTGAAAAATGGGAGTATTTGCGATGAGGAAACACCTAATTCGTTTTCGCTTAACTGTGAAGTACTTCGGTCCTCTAACTATATACCCAGCCACCATCACCCTGCCGCAACCAGGAAGGCACATGCTATCACTCGCTACGACGTGACTTGCGCAATAGATGTCAACGATTTGACAGTACCATCGACGTGAAAGCTGTTTAGCGAAAGGATGTGCCCAGCCCCCGGAGTTCGGACGGGGAAAGCTTCACGCCCTCCACCGAGACCTGGCCACCGAGCGCCCCACCACACCACACCAGCACTACACCATGCAACTGAGTAACTATCTCGAGTTTCGACCACCGACGGGTTTCAACTTCCAAACCGGCAACGGATACGGCCAGGCAGTCACACAGAGGTATGGTCAGAGACGCTATGTGTATACGCCCTATTCCGAGCTTTACCGACACATCCACACCCACCAGACAACCGGCCAGACCACCGGCCAGACCACCGCGAACGCCGCCAGACCACCGCCAACGGCCTGCAGGCTGCAGAACAAGGACGTATAATGTACTCCCTCCGATTATCCGATTTTCCGAGCAGCGCATAGCGCGAGGTTACTACACATCGATCGTGTTGCGGAGGCAGGGCGGCGTGGAGGAAGCAAGGTGTTCGGGGAGGCGAGGGCGAGCGTACGAATGTGGCCTTAGGGGTTGTCATGGGCATTCCCCAAGACGGAGGATCCGGTCCGTCGCGGCCGCAGAAGGACAATGTGCATTGTTCAAATACCTCGAACCCTCTGCAGGCTGCGGTAAATGTGAGTCTCTGATACTCGGTCCTTGGATTGGGTCCCCGGTGGAGCCCGCGGTAGTGGCTGCGGTGGTAGACTGGTAGTCGCCGATCGTGTGCACTCCCATACGACGTTGCTGCGCAGGCTGGATGCTGGCTCTCGAAATCTAGGCCTTTGCGGCAGCGGATTTCCTGTTGAAAGGATTCGACAGTCGCGCCTTCCCGGCGTTCGTTTCCTGCGCCTCCGCATGTGGCGGTCGCGACGCAGGAGTTGAAACTGTAGCCTACCTAGTATAATGCATCAGCTCTTAGAGTCTTGGTAGCGCACGGATACCTAGGTATATATATGGTGGCGCGATTCCGGAGAGGTTATAGGTAGCGCGGGACTCACGATGCACTGCGCAGCGCATCTGACCACTCATTCCTTTTTCCGTGTGCTCGTCGGCAGTGCGTATCGCCGTAGCCGACAAGGCATGGCGGCATTGGCAGCCGGAATTCTTTGCCGCCCAAAGCCACCGGACGGAGCACCCAGCCAACAAAGACATCTGTGGTAGTGGATGGCGCTGGAGCCGTCGAATCAGAGCAGAAGCGATGCCTACTAGTAGTGAAGCTGCAGAGTGCATATCGCCACTCTCACTCCGCACTTTGCCGCGGATATGCGCGAACGAATGAGAGCACGATTAAAAGCCGAAAGGAGTACCGTAGACAATAGATACCTATGCGGATTCGTTTCTATTAGCGAGGAAGATACAGGTATCAACGTACCGAAGCATGGGGATGAATCAAGATTCTGCACTCTCTACTACTAGTGCCTACATCCCCCACGCATGAAACGATGTACCCCCGCCCGCATCCCCCACACACATCCTTTTGGTGTGAAATGTAGATACGGGACTCCGCACGCCCGCATCCGCGGTGCGATCCTAGGCTAAGGCGGACCTTAATAGAATTTAGGTTTCACCAAGGCGTTGGGCGTTGGGCGGGCCGCAGTACATTAGCTAAAGTGCGGAATCCAGAGACCACTGCGCAGTGCGCAAGCAAGTTTTGTCTCCCGCGTGCAGATTCTTTAGCACTTGCAAGTAATGATTGCCAATAGCCGCCGTTAACCAAGTTACGGCTTCTGCGAGTCGTCTCGAATTGTTCCCTCACGGAAGAGCGAAGGCTGCGGAGAGGCACCTTGGATCTCGGTGTATCATGAATGCCGTGCAAGGCTTCTGGGTATCATATCTTGGCGCCGAATAAGCAATTAAAGACCTGGATACCATTAGCGCATGAAGCATAAAAGCCGTCCCACCACACATCCTTCATACCAGTATCGGGTACTTACTCTACGTATGTGGTACCTACTCTACGTATGTGGGGAAAGGCGGGAGGCGAGGCGATAGATTGTACTGTACATACCGGTACATGAGGAACGCAGCTGCGGAGATATTGAAACGTCTATGTAGGAAGACCGAGGTATGAATACTAGTACTCCGCTCTCCGCTAAAAAAAGTAAGTGATATGTGCCTTCGTGATGCCGGAAACGCCGGTACGAGTCTAGCAGCAGTGGGCGGGCGCCCGAGACGCAGCTCGATCGGTCGAGCCGATATCAACAGCATAATTATTCCCCACCAGCTGACGTGCTGAAGCTGACCCCGCTTTGATGGCGGCCAATAAGCGGATACCTGTGTGATGAATTTAATCAGTGTAGCAGCCACGATAGGCATCCGCGCCTTCCAGACGCAGTCTGTCCGTGTCACCAGCTGATCGCGTGTAGGTATTCAACTTCTGTCGGGATATGGGTGTGTGGGTGTGTGGCCAGTGAGATGTATTGGTGGCATCGCGTTCCATCCTATGCACGAGTAAATCTGCACAAGACAGTCGCTTGGAGTCAATGTGTAGAGGACACAAAGAGGAGTATCCAACAGTTCGTATCGTATGTAGGGCGTTCGTGGGTAGCCGCGTATGTCGATGCCGGTACCTTCCTGTATGCCGTCCGGGATTGTGCGGGGCGCTCCTCTGCATTGATTCAGATTTCACACACACACACACAACTGCCCTAGCTCAACCACATGTATCAGCAATCAGACTAGCCGCGCTGTGCGCACCAGAAGCATATATAACTGACGATTCCCATCCATCCAGCACCCAGCACCCAGCAGCGAGCACCCAGCACCCAGCAGCGAGCACTCAGCCGTCCTCCTTCGCACATACCACACACACTTACACCCCACCAACCCAAAGCCGAAGCGTCTTCTCATCCCATCACACATACCCCACACAATGGCTCCCGTCGAAGTCCCCACCGAGAAGCCGGTCACCTCCGTCACGCACGTCGTGATCTTCAAGCTCTCGGACCACTTCACCACTGAGGAGGAGAACAGGGTTCGTCGCCGTCCCATCGCTGCGCAACTATTCTCCCCCCACGCTGATCAATCCACAATAGCTCATCACCAACTTCCACTCCGCCAAGGACGTCTGCCGCAAGCCGGATGGCTCTCAGTACATCCTCGAAGTCCAGGGCGGTCGCGACGTCAGCCCCGTCAAGGTTCCCGTATGTCACCGCTTCCGCTTTCCCCGTATCTCATCCAGTACTGACAGGTGTCGCTCGTGTAGCACCACCAAGGCTTCACGCACGGATTCGTGCTCAAGTTCGCGAGTCTCGAAGACCGCGACTACTACTACGAGCAGGACCCAGCCCACAAGAAGATGAAGAGCGGCGCTCGCGCGTGGTTCCCCGAGGAGGACATGGTCGTGATCGAGGTTCTGAATAGGGATTGATCATTGATTCGGAGGCGGGATCTGTATGTTTTTTAGTGTTTGCTTTACATACGAAAAACAAAAGATTCTAATCCAGCACACCTCGTCTTTCCACGTTCATGAAGAAAAATCGTGCATAGTAATGGGGCGGTCAAACCTCCGACATCGCCCTGCTATGTCCGTCTTTGACACGTAGACGTAGCTATCCTTGTCCCCTCCACGAACTCCACGGTCGCCGCGTTAACCAGTAGACTCGCCGGTACGGAGAGCTTCCATCGCGCCCTCAGCTCCTGCAGCAGCACCGCAACAGCACCGCAGTCTCTCGCTCAAATCTCCTGTTTCGGTCGCGCTCAAAAGTCGAAACCATGTCTAGTATGTAGTAGTAAGCTTCTTGACCAACGTAGCTCTCGACACACGTGCAGTTTCCCACGAGGAGCACCTACCTCCTTCAGACTCCATACGAAATGATACTATATTCCGCCGGCGGTGTCTGAAGTACGTCGTAGCTCTGGAAGGGAAACGGCGAAGATGATAGATGATGGAGAAGTAGAGGTTGTATTCAACTTCGAAGAGCCATCTCATAAGTACTCTACGGTATAGCTCTCCTCCGCTGCCTACAACGTTCGGTGTCACCCGATTCGCTCAGTCCGGCTATGTATCATCACTATTCGGATTCACCGATCCGACCAGCCGGTCCTCATATCTTATTAGATCCTCCGTCTATCCTACATGTTCTCCACTCATGGTAGTAACAGACAACATTCAGGTAATACCATCAGATTTGTTCCGCTCTGTGACTTGCGCAAGCGGTTGCTTTCTGTTTCTCGTCCATCATGTAGATGGCCCTTTTCGCTCGGGTGCTCATTATGTACAAAGGTCTTCGGTACAGTTGTGAGATAAGGGTGAACATTTAGTGAACGTTACTTCACTTACTGAACCTGGTTGAGAAATTGATATCATCGGGCACGATGTTGCAGTTAAGTAAGCCTCGAGATTTCACAGCACGGAGATGTAGCCCAAGCATTTGGGGTATACTTATTGAATCTCGCGCGCTGCAATCTAAAGTCGGTGTAGTATAGTGGTAAGTACAGCTCGTTGTGGCCGAGCAGACCCATGTTCGATTCATGGTACCGACACATTCTTTTGGTTGTTTGCTTTTTTTCTTCTATGCCCAAGTCGCAAGGTCCAACACTTTTACTGTATAGAAAGTCCTAGACGTTTTTGCGTAAAGCTACCTCGCAGGAGTACAGAACAGAGAGTAAGGGTTTCTGCTGTGACTGACGGCGGGATGACCGGAGCTATGCAGTGTACAATACATACAGCATCTATTGCCATGTTCAATTGAGGTCCATTACGATACACACAGATGGAGCAACTGGAAGTTTTGTGTGGCTGGAGGACAATCGATGGCGCAAAAGTAGCGGGACCCTCTCCGTTGGAGTTGCTACTCCCAACCACAGTGACAGTCTGGACGGGCGAAAAATCGGTATAAGTTATGACGCAACGCACGTAAGATAATTGATTAGATTAGGACAAGAAATCGCAGTTTGTTTCCCGCATAAGAACAGATAAGAATGAAGTCCACGCAATTGTCAGTGCTCACCCGCCTACCGCCGCGACAGAACCTACATACCAGCTTCAGGCTCCACTAGCAAGGCCATAGTACCGCAAATCGTGCCTCCACAGCAGGACATTACGCCGCCTCCTTGCGTCCGCCAACGCCTCCCTCGTCGGCTTATCCAGGGTGCGATCGACCAGATATCCGAAGCGGTCCCAGAGGAAGGCCGACTGCCGCGCTCGCTCTACTGGTGCAGCCGCAGGGACGGGGCGGCTGCGGGTAGCGTTCCCCGCGCACCTTGCTGGCCCATATCGCGCAGCACACTCTCGAGATCCAGTGCCCACAGGGAATCATGATTTCGCCGGCGTCCGGGTACGAGGAGTCGCCTCTGCGCCGCCGGACGGCGCCGCACCGGTGGTTAACGTATTTGCACCTGCAGGTCAGGATTATCATGGTGGCGAGCGAGTGCGTGGTGTGTATTGAAAGCGGAAACGGAAGCGGAGGATCGGACGCGAGGTGATATACCGAATTCGGCGTGATCAGGTTGTACATGCGGTTGGTCTACACCGTTCGGAACACGTATTGCGCGGTTCAGCATGAGAGTCCCATCCTGGGCCTAGGATGACGGACAGCGTTCGTTCAGCGGACAGACGAGACGGACAGCGCAAGACGGCCGTCGACGGTCCTCCGCCAACCCTTAGGTAAAAACCTGATTTCGGGCGTGGACCTTGGGTGGCCGAGTGAGGAATTGTGCATACAGCGCTGTGAAAGCGGCCGGGCGCTGCACCTTAGTCGTCTCAGTCGGAATACTGCTAGTTCTCACAGCTTGTGGAGCGGTGAGGGATTAACTGACGCGGTGGAGCGTAGGATATCGGTGCTAAGAAATTTTCAACCAGCCAAATCATATTCACGTGACTTGGACGGTCGTCCTCCACCGTTGGATGAGGACCGACCCGTCCGTCCCAGGCTTGGACCGTCCGGCATTTTGACCATCTGGACCGGACGATGGAGAACACTAGTTGTTGGCCTTTTAGGTCACAAATGGCACATCCATACATAAGATTGTTGATTAGATTACGACAGGCAATTACAGTTTGTAACTCGCACAAAGATACATAAATCGCAGTGCAGTTCCACCATGAGAATAAATTATGTAAGAATAACGCTCACACAATTCTCCCCCACCTACCGCCGCGACAGAACCTAGGCCCCAGGCCCTAGTGCCGCGAAGCGTACTCCCATATCTTGACATTCCGCTGCCGGATCAAGTTGCACCCCTCCGGCTTGGTCACGCATACCTGGGCTCGCGTGTCCTTCTCTTGGGTTGCGTCTCTCGATGATAATTACTGACACATCCTTCCCACTGCACACGAACCACGTCAGAAGGGTAAATCACTAGGTATCTCAGCCCGTGGCGTTTACTTTCGCGCATGCGGCCTGTTTTCGGAAGTACGGTATTTCCGCCGTCGCCACTATCAGGAACGCCCCAGTGTAGACTGTTACCTATCCACTACTACTAAGCGGCGCGAAGGGAGAGGCAGCTTGCAGGCATCGGTGAGCAGCAGAGAGAGGAGACCTTGTTGGGACCTTGTATTCAGGAGGAGCGACCTTGTTGGGACCTGGTGGGACTTATGTGTTATGGAGGGCAGACCCGATGCCGTCGTTGAACGTTGACAAATTTTTCTATTGTTGCTTTTCTTTTCGTCTGGTCCCTTCGTCTGCTATTAAACATAACCGACCTCATCATCATCATAGACCTCTCCTTCAATTGATAAAGTTTTATTTGACCACACCCGTTCTTGGGTATCTCGCCACGGAACCGATGCGCACTACCATCACCGAGTCCACTTCACTTCTCGTCTTCAACTCGTTTCAGCTTCGTTTCAATTATCCCTCATTCCCACTTCGGTTTTGTCTGGTTAAGAGCATTGCAACCAAACCCCTACTGATTGGACTGCGCTGGGAAACCGCACTGCACTACGTCCGGGCTCCGCAATTTACGGCACGGTGGTGATGTGTGGTCGGTGCAGTGCTTGACATCACGTGAACGAAGCTAGTCTATGCGGTCTATCCGGTGCGGAGCTCGGTTTCGGTTCGGACCTGTGCTTCGTTAAAGAAACACAGCCGTTCTGTCTTAGGGAAGAAGGCGTGGTGGAAACACCCGTGCACGGAATTGCGAGAGAATTACGGGACGGGTTTCCCGTGGTGAGGTTATCCGCCATCGGGTAAAACGACTGGCCACTCACGCGACACTTGAGTCGGAGGTGGTGCGAGAGAAGTGGGCTGTTTGTGAGTATGATCAGTCTTTCTAAAACCGCTAACCCTTCGAATTGATCACAATCTGTAGATATCCCGATCCCGTAATTAGGGCTAGCGTTTCGGAATTCACTTCAAAACCCACCCCTCTCTTCTGTTATCCCTCCTTTCCCACAAACAACTTTGGAGGTCGAGATTGATCGATTCGACCCACTACCGCCCCTCCCTTCCGCCCTCCATCCAAGATGGGCACCTCCATCAGGATGGCCGATTCCGAGCCGGACCGTGATGGCGAGTTCGAACGCTTTGTCGCTACGGTTTGAGCTCTGTTACTGATTCTCAGTTCCTTTGTTTTCCTGACACGGGTGATAGTTTCAAAACCTATCTTCTTCCCTCACGTCACCAGAAACAGGCCACTCTGTCTCGAAAACTACAGCCACGCCGAGTCCATCCACCTATGACCCAGACTACGAATTCGATGGTTTTGCAGCCACGGTGAGGGAAATTTCGACCCTCCCCGATCCCTACCGTCATTGCTGATTTGCGGAATAGCTTCAAAACTATACCCAGGATGTTGTTGCTCTTCCACCTCAACAGAAACCAATGCATCAACAGAAACCAATGCATCATCAGAAACCAATGCATCATCAGAAACCAATGCATCAACAGCGACGAATGCGGAATATCTCGGTTAATCTGCAGCTCGTTTCCGATCGTCCCGTTCAAGCCAAACAGGCGGCAGTGGAGGTGCCTCCGAAGGTATGTTTCACCTATCCTACCTAGGTAAACGTTCGATTGTTGATGTGGGCCCGAAGGATGCTGCCGACAAGCAGGTTGCTACGAAGATAGTAGAGCCTTTAGCATTTACCGTCCCTCAACAAAAGTTCCCAGTTCTTGCCGCTGCCACTGATTTCGACGGGCCTACCTTCGCTGCAGCCGCCGGTGTCGATGGGCCTTCCTTCAGTGCTGCCTTCGGTGCTGCCACCGGTGTCATCGGGCCTTCCTTCGCTGCTTCCACCGCTGTCATTGGGCCTTCCTTCGGTGCTGCCTTCGGTGCTGCCACCGGTGTCGACGGGCCTTCCTTCGGATCTATTCAAGGCCCTAGTCTCTCACCGACTAAGGGACCTGCACTTTCGCTGTCTACTGCTTCTAAAGGACCTGCATTTGTGCCGCCCGCCGGTCCCAGTATCGAAGGTTTAGCCACGCAGAACGGTCGCTTTCGGTTCAAGATTTCCCCTGTCGTGGGTACCGGCCTCAAAGCGAAGCCAGCCAATCATGCAGCCAAGAAGGTCATCGACAAGGGCAAGGTCTTTAGCTTAGAGCCTACAGATGATGAAGTGAGTGCTGTTTCCTCGCTTTCTGCTGCTAACAACAGTTTTGTGGGTGTCGCTCCCAGTTCTGAAATGGGAGCTGAGCATGAAAATCACTCGAAAATTTCTGCGGCCACTAACAGCTCTAAGCAGATTGCCGAAATCAATCCTATCATCAATTTTGCGCAACTAGCCATGTCGGCCGGACATCCGTCTTCCTCCAACCTGCGGATTCCTGCTGGGGATCTCAAGACGGCCAGGCCAGATACCGAAGAGACAGAGCCTGCTGTCCAGCCAGAGCCAGCCCGCGATGAGATTGAGATGTCGGCCTCAAGAACCCCCTCCTATCCGCCCATCTCCAACTTGGTTGGCCCAGCCGAAGATCTATTCAAGAAATCCGCAATGTTTGATCCTCAACTTCACGGCGCGTATTCGCTCCGTCCAGAAAATGAAGCCTACGATGAATCGGCCGACATCAGCGATGACCCTGGAGCTACGTCGGATGATGGTCTTCACTCCAACCAGACGCCCGCTCTCACAGATGGTTACTATGAGAATCTCCAGGACTGGATTGACCCGAGTACCTATGATGTTCCTCCCACCGAGATGATTTACCACCCCCAGCTCAACATCATGGCTTGGTCGGTCAACGACTGGAACAACGACATCCCGTGGCTGGTAAGTTCCCTCTCTCTTGCACCGGTATTCGCTCACATCCCCGCCAGATCGAACGTCACGGCCGTGCCAAGAAGACCCTCGCCGAGCTGCGGTTCGCCCACGCGCGCAGAATCAGCGAAGAGCGTACGAACTACAGCTACCTCGACCCGACCGCCATCTTCGCCAAGGAGAGGGAGATCCACATCCAGATAACGGAATTCAATAGTTGGGATGCTGGATTGGCCATCGGCTGGGGCTGGATCCTGCAGAGGCTTGAGCAGCAGCAGCAGGCCCGGTTGGCCTTGGCCGACGGCAACATGGACGACGGTGATTACATCGAAGACCACGAGAACTAATCAATCTTCTCTCTCTGTTGTGTTTCTGGCACCGACGGCGAACAAGACATAGTTAAAAAAAGTAGTCGGGTGTGATCATAATTCTATGCTGTTTGTTCACCTTGCGAATCTGATCGAGTGAGGTCTTGGGGATGTTTTGCCATGGCAAACCAGCCTCTTCGGGAGTGTGACCTAAACGAGTGGTGATATGACACTGCTTGGGCGCGTGGTACTGCTTCTTAATGAGTAAATTGATTGCAGTCCGGGATCGAAATCGGATGTGAACGGGGAGCCTGGTTCGGGAGTGTCGCAGGATGCCGGGGCGCTCAGCCCGTCATGGCGAAGCACACCAAGCCGGACGGTATATTACTGGATCGCAGCATGGCGTAGACGACGGAGCGGAAACGTCACGATGCCAGGCGCTCCGAGGACTCCGGGGGAGGGAGGGGGGATAGTTGGCAGTCGTAGTATGATTGTATAAGAGCGTGCTAGCACTGGATTGTAGATGCGTGAGCTATTTATGAGCAGCGCGGTCTGGAATCCGGAGTCGAGGTAGGTATATGAGTACCAGGTTGGCGGGTTATAGCACAAACACAAGCTTTGAATGGGTCTACACCGATGGAAGACCGAAGTGCAACTTTCAAACGCCTTGATGCCCCGCATCCCTCCAGTCAAATGATGTAAAAAGCCCCCCAGATCATGCTCCACCAAGTTCAAACAACAGAAAATGAGAAGAAAAAACAATCGTGAAGAAAGAGAAAAATGCACTCCACAACGCCCGTCCGTCCATGTTCTTTTTATTCGAGCACGAAAAGAAAAAGAAAAGGTATCGCAGTCGAAAACAACTCGAGCATTGGCGTATCGAAATTCCAGCTGTTAAGGCTAGGCGTAGACTTCGAATTGAATACCCAACTCCTCCTTCATGACCGAGGCGAGCGTCTTACCGGAGCCGCGGATGTCAACCCAGGCATTGATACCGCGGTCGTAACGGAACTGTAGTGGGCCGGAGACGGGCGACGAGAGCCAGATCTGCCTGTTAGGCGGCTGCTTGTTGATGACGAAGACGCCCTTGGGCGAGCTGAAGGACATCACGCCGGCCTGGTTGTGGGCAAAGCGATCAGTAACATGAAGTAAGCACGAGGAACTAGACCAGGGATGGCCGCACTAGGTAGTAAAAAGAAGGACAATTAGGAAAGGAAGGGATACAATGGTGGAGAAGTGGGAAATGCGACAAAAGGATGAGATGGGCACGAAGGAAAGATTAGTGGAGGAAGGGAAGTGGACTCACGGAATACTCAAGATCGTATCCCTCCTGCGCCTCGGCGAGACCATCGAGCGCTTCGCTCAAGCTCTCGAGTGTCGACCTGGCGATGCGATCGTATTCGAGCGCCGACTCCTTCACCTCTTCGCAGAAAACCGAGGCGGCTGAAAACCGGCGGATCGGCTCCTGGTGGTGAGGGAAGTTGTAGACACCGCGCAGAGCGACGGCCTTGAGGATTGTTCCGCCGGTGGTGCCGCCGATCAAGCGGCCATTGCCGCTGGTAATGCCGGCGAGGCGAGTCTTGCTAGCTGCGAAGCCGCGGCAAATGGTCGAGAGCACGGACATCTAAGCAGCGGGAGGAGGTGAGTTGGAGGGGTGGTGGGAGGGAATTGAGTGTTTTTTTGTCGCAGGGAGAATCGTCGGAGTCGCGAAGTCTGATGTGGGGTTGAGTGACAGGCACAGGGAAGACGCGACAAGGTAGAAAACGATGGGACATGAGGAAAGCCGATGGCAGAGCCGCATGGCGTCATATGTGAGTACACTAGGCTGTGAGTAGAGCGTGCTTCGTTGAAGATAAGATGATCGAGATAGGATTTGCGAGCTCCCCGCCTGTGACCTCAGAACCACATCCGAATTTTGAAGGTTGATAAATTCCTATTTGGGGTGTGCCCCTTCCACCAACAGAGAGAGTAGATACTTAACAGAAAATTATCCTCCCCTTTGCATCGTTCACGCAGCCCTACCCTCGGGAGTTGGGAGAAACTCGCATAGCCACCCCCGGGACACTCATGAAGCATTGGTACATTACGATCTATAGTATGTGCATCGCTCCCCATCTATCGTCGGCACCTTCACTCCATAAGATCCTCCTATGCTACGATAAAGCCTATTGGCTTACAATGGTGCTACGCCTATTGATACCAGCGTGCACATATAGGCGACATATTAAGTCTCCTTGAACAATTTTCTGGTCGAAATTTCCCCGCAGCAATGATATAGAACTCTGATCGGAGAGTGGGATACGCGGTATGAGGACATGATCAATTCTACTGAAAGGATTGGCAGAGGCCCTAATAGAACGCAGGACTATGGAATTCATATGCTATCTCTACGCCGCCGCCTCGATGATTATCACTCGCACTCAGTCAGTCAGTCGCATAGCAAGTTGAACCTGAACTTTTTAATTGCTACCAAGGTGAATGCTATTGTAAATCTCTGATGTAGCTATGGCTATATCTTCTGTCTGATGTGACCACCGCTGCTGCTGCAAAACAACAACCTCTTCCGTCCAAAATCATACTCGACTCGCATGCCTAGCATACATAGCTTTCTGAAAATCTTCCTTTGCTTTTACCATACCTCGGTATCTACACCCACATCTCCGACCACTGCGACCAGTGGCACCCGAAACAAAAACATGGACACGAATGGAACCGCCCCCAAACCCGCAACACCCGTGTACAGATGGAAATGTCCATCCTGCGGGACGACCAACCCGAAGATGACGAGAACTTGCATAAACCCCCACTGCTTAAAGGTTTGCATATGGAGGGACTTGAAGCGCCAATCATGGAGCTACTAACTGGCAGAAACGCGGCGAGACGAGAATGACTACTGACCAGACGGCGTCGGGAATACTGGTAGTGTGGCGCGGGTTGGAAAGCGGCGGGAATGCGAGAGAACAGCTGCACTGGTTGAGCTGAGCGTTGTCTGGAAGCGATACTCTAGTTTCCGGCCCTTTCGGCCTGACCGATAATTGCACATTGATTACCTAGGTCCTATGCCTGTGCTTGTTTTTTTTCTAGCTACCTAGTCGGTCATGAACTCATGGTTTTTCAGCCCAGCATGAATGGTACAAGATCGTCACTGGTGACGAATATCATGTATCATAGGGTTTAAATGAAATCAATCCTGCAGATAATCTCTTGAAGAACACCAGACTGAATTTCTTCAGCGAAGTGAGTCACGTGCCTTCGCGGAGGTTCATTCGTACAGAAGTACTCCTAGAATCAATCCCGATATTCTCCGGGTAAGTACTTCGATCAGGTTGTCACCGAAGGATGAGGGCGAGATCCAAAGGTCTACTATCTAGCGATTATAGATAGGAATACTCACCTTGTGATGGGCCCAGCAATAGCATCTGAGACCGGAAGTTCATAATTCCGCAAAAGAACTTTCAGCCTCTCAAGGGCTCGATTCTCGACTCTCGAGTCAACGCCGCTTCTGGGAAGCAATAAATGAGATGAGGAAAGATGTTACTGATACATCCTGTGACAGGAAGTTGAATTGTGAGGGAGCAGAGTAGGATACATACCCGATAGACGCCAATCGCAAGCTTCCTCGTAAGTCGTTCAAAACCATCAAATAAACCTTTTCTACTCTACCCCGATCGGCACCGAACTTGCTCCTAAGTCAACCCCCCCCCCCCCCCCCCCCCCCCCCCCCCCCCCCCCCACACACACACACACACATCCCCTGGTCCCGACTTCTTCCCTCTGCCGACTCCTTCCCTCTCCCGACTCCTTCCCTCTCCCGACTCCTTCCCCCCTCACTATCCGCGTCCACGCAACAACAGAGAATACACACTGCACGTACTCTACATAACAGCACTCCCACCGCCGCCGCCGCCGCGTCCGCGTCCACGCTCAAGAGACGTGCGCACCCCCAGCTGAGCTCAGCTCACGTCGCACGACCGCCAGACAGCAAGCGAGCCCAAGTCTAGGCACGAGCGGAAGCTAGTGAAGAACCAGGTGTCTCTCCGTTCGCTAGGCGATCAATATCCAAGCGCTCGTGAGTCGTCCGTCCGGTGCTAACCAAAGTCTGATCGCGAGACAGGTGCAGAATTGAGTCGGGAATTGTTCCGCATACTTGAATACGGTGCCGCTTTAAGGGATTGTCTGAACCAGTTCGTGACGATCGGGAAGGGGTGGTTCTGAGTTACCGTCGAAGTTTCGGAGAATGGCAAGAGTTGAAGATCGATCATCGTCGAAGCCGTGGGGAGGCGTTAATTCCCCGTGCCGTGGAGGCTGCCAGCTGGGCACTCAAAATCTATACACATCGCCTAAGAAACGAGATGGGATTGTTGAATCGCATCAATTACCTCGACCTCCAGACTCCAGACTCCAGTCAGCAAAACGATCCAACATGCATGAGCGACAAGCATAGCGGAGACCTGAGGGGTGGGCACTGGGCTGCGTGAATGGCCTCGGGAACTATGGCTGAGCAGTCTATGGTGGCCAACTAAAGTAGCGCACGTCAAACCTAAAGCGCAGGCAACCAACGTAGTCCAACCCCGTGGCGCTTTGCATGTTTCCCCGGACGTTTCATTGGTGCCCCGCTTTGGTTGGGCGCAGCCGGTCCCGAGAGGCGGTCCGTCTGCTAGCAACCGTGCTCTTCTTCGCGAGCACCTCCGGTGCTAATAGACTTGCTCGGCTTTGACAGCTGGACAACCCATCCTGAACGCCCTCTATAGCCGGTGGGTGCGACCGACACCCTAGGAATCGCCCCTAGTACCGGCGCCCCGCGTTGCGGCTGCACTGCGTTTGCGCGGTTGAAGGTCCATCGCCGGCTCGGCACCGGAGCGACTAGTACACTCGGCGTGGCCGCTTCGGCGTCCCATTCCCATCTCGCGCAGCCTCCGAACGCCATGACCGAAGCCCCACGCACGCACGCACCTTTGTTATCGATACTCTGCTTTACTCTACGCCTACGGATTCGGCACGCGAGTGCAAAAAGCCACCCGCGTTTGACCTGTGATCCAGCGCGTCTGCTCACGTCGCACGGCGCCGAGCACACAAGCGAGAGGAGGCTTGGGGAAAACGCGGAAGCTAGTCAAGAACCATGTGTCTCTCCGCAAAATTGTAGTTAGCCTCCGTTGCTCCAGTTAGGCGACTCAATATCCGAGTGATCGTCCGACGCTAAATCTTCATCGCGAGACAGGTGCGCGGGGGATGTGGAGATCTCCGTGCGCACCGGACGTGAGCTGGTCGGAGATTGTTCCAAGTCCTGCACCGGTCGACGGCTTTGTCCGAGGTTTTTTTGCGCGGATGATTCCCTCGGCGAAGAAGAAGGGTGCGGAAGAAGAAGAAGGAGAGGCTGCTGCTGAGACGGTGTTTTATTCACCACCGTATGCAGATAACCGGTGATACGATTGGGTATTGACTGGCAGGCAAGATTCAAACTTCTATCGTCAAAAAAAAAGGCGACGGAAGCAAGTTCCGGATAAGCAGGAAGGGGAGACAAGCGTGCACAAAAGCTGCCGTATGAACACCAGACATCCCACACACATACACTTGTTACAATTCGGTATGGTCGAGGAGGTCAAAGATCCCATTACCAAGGACAGACGTAGCTAGCAGGAGCCGTAACTGCAGTTAGTGCTCCAGTTCAAGCAATGTTCCGCACGTAACTCTGTATGTCCGGGACAAGCGTGAGCTGCGAAACACGGACGCTCAAGAGGCAGTATGATGCACATATAAATCTCGCCCATTTCCCTTTCCCCAGACTACTTTACAGATCACAGCAGCAGCACTCGAACATCACTCAGCAACTCCAACCTCCAACCGACTCGAACCCAAGCTCCAATTACCATCCAGCGTCCAGAACAACTCAACTTTGCAACAATGGCCATCATCCACATCATCTTCTTCCGAGTCCCGTCCTCCATCACCCCAGCCGAGGAAAAAGCAGTAAGTTTCATTCTCGATATGGATTCTCCGAGCCCTCACTAACATAATATCCCGCAGCTCTGCGACGGCGTCCTCTCACTGAAATCCGCCTGCCGCCTTCCGTCGGGGGAGTCGTACATCCTCAGCATCACCGGCGGCCGAGACCGGAGCAACGCGAAGTTCCCCGTTCGTTTGCCCTATCATTCTCCCCTTTTCCGCACACGAGCTAATCCGGTAAGCAGTACCAAAAAGGCTTCACACACGCGTTCGTGTTCAAGTTCAAGTCCGTCGCCGATCGGGACTATTACATGGAGGCCGACAGAACGCACATGGAGTTCTTGAAGGCGGGCGAGAAGTGGATCAAGGACGAGGATGTGGCGGTGATGGACTTTGAGGAGGAGTTAAGTTACTGAGTGTGTGTAGGGGTCACTGGGGTGGGAGTGAGGAGGTGAGGGTGAAAGGGGGGGATATGGAGTTTTTTGGAATTTTTGTCTGCTTCGGTCTACGGGGTGGCGTGGGGGATGTTTGAAGTCTTTGCTGTTTGTTTATCGTTGTCGCAGTGCTCTGGGGAATTTATATCGCTTTTGACATCATCTGGGAAAAAAGTGGGGCTGGACAAGTGAGATCTGGTGATGGAATTCCGTCTCGGTTCACTCGCGGCGATCTCTTCCAGCCTCCACCGATGCCAGAATCTGCGGTGACCAAGGCTGCCATGTGCAAATGAGTGTTTGCAATCCTCCCTCGCATCAGGGTACACTCTACTTCGATCCCACCCCCTGGCGGAGCGAGAGATGCTGTCGGCGAGAGGAGGAAGTGAAGGAGGACTCCTGTCGGCGAGAGAAACTGAATGTGGTTAGTAGTGGGCATCAACGTTGGCGGGCATGGTAGGGTCTTCTGCTTCTTCATCCTCTTTTTTCATGATCATCGTCTACCGAATAGACGGTTAACCCCCCCCCCCCATCTCCTCTCTCTCATCTGTGTGCGCTTCCTTTATACTCAGGCCTGAAGAGGCATTGGCAAGGAGCCGTCTGCCAAATCGGTACACTCCATTCCGATCCCACGGTCCACCTGGTCGCAACGAACCAACCTCGCTCGGCCCGTGCAAGGAGCCGTATGTACTGGAGGACCGAGGTGAGGAATCGATTACCACGCTCTTACCACACCTCTGGTGTTTACGTCCGACTAACTAGTATTACGGCGGCTGCCCGTATCCGCACGACCTCACGACCTCGCGACGCCAGCTCCCGCTCCCGCGGTGTCGAAACGTCCGTCCATCACGCCTATAGACTACAAGTTTCATACTGCCATGCCCCGTCCCCCACAAAAGCCGGGGTAACGGCATCCTCGCACGCATGGACGGCACGACACCCACGAGCCACGGCTCGGGTCATATCCGGAGACGGACGGACACGATGTGGGCCCGGCTCCCGACTCCGGACTCGCAGCACCGGGCGATGCCGATACGGCCCCCCCAGCAGTCCGGGATCCTCCGAACCTCAAGTTCCCAACCCCACGGCCTAGTAAGCCCGGGAGATCATCCGGACTCGTTGCGGGCAAGTGCGCACCCCCCCCCCCCCCCCAACACACACACACACAGACAGACATCGCAAGCGTAAACGCCGCCCCCAAACATTTAAGGTTTGGTGTGTGGTATGTGCCGCATGTTTTGGATTGTTCTTCCAGAGTCCCAGCCAGTGCTGATTGGCACTCTAGTTAACACTACTGCTGCTGCTGCCGAGGCATGGGTGTCTACCGCACTATACGCGCGACTCGATCGTGCACCCGGTGGGTTTGATGGCAGTTTTACCCAGACCCTGTGCTGTCCTCGCCTATCCCGCTCCGCAGAGTGGCTGCGGAACATCGGTATCTGTGTTTGCGCATTCGTTCCGCACATACGATTACGCGGGCGGTGCAGATGTCATATGCACTCACTTCCCGGAAACGTGGGAGTGTTTTGGGGGGGGGTTCGCGCGAGGCTGGCAGCTCGATCATCGGTTTGGGTGCTAACTACTATACTAGTAACGAATCTAATGATCTCTTCGTGGTTGGAACTACTATGGTAGACTATGGATTCGCGATGGAAGCGAGTAACTACTAACTATAGGGAGTATAGGACCTTCCGTACTGGACGGACGAACGCGGTTGCATTCGGACCGGCGGGATTCATCATTCGCCGGAACCGGACGACAGTCGACTCGATGGCTTCGCTCACTTGGGAAGTTAGGATCGATGATCATCGATCGTTGCTCAGCTCAGCTCTGCCAAAAACAAGATGAGTACTTGATGTTCGTTCTGCACCGTCGAGAATCTGCGTCGCTACGTATACGAGTGGAGAAGAGCAGGGCATATCTAACCGGTAGTTGTCAGCGCGGGCCCACATACATCAAGGCTGTTATAGCGAACCCCCACAGTGGCACAGCCCAAAGTTCAAACGAAGGATCGTACCGGGCTCACATGGCCAGCCGTATGTACTAGGTATACCTATCGTGTCAGCACTACCACCACCGTCGAGCAGAAGCAAGCAAGGTGCAAACATGTGCAATTCAAAGTTGTGGGCGAGTGGGCGAGGGAGCGCAAACCTCTCCTCTCCACCAAGACTCCCGTGTTTCCCATGGTTCCCCAGCCGACGATGATTTCTTCAACCAAGACGCCAACCAACAGCCCCGACCCGCCACGGCGTCACCGCGTCTCAACTCTCATCTATCCGTGACTGTGACTGATAGCCGTATGCTGCATAATCTACAAGCATGCGGAGCATCACTGCATCAGCATCATCGGGTGCCCATGTAGCAGGTCGTTTTCGCTCTGCTTTGGGGCGATCGGGTCGGACTCGACTCGATTGGGGAGCTCGTTCGACCTTTCTGGGGATGGATGCCCGATCCGGCACTTGTGTTATCGATATGTCTCCACTGGTGCGGGGTGCGGGGTGCGGGGAATGAGGAATTCGGGAAGAGGGACACAACTACAAGTTACAACACGGCAGTTTGACGTTTGACGTCGTTTGGCGGTTGGCACTTGGCGATGGGTGATGCAAACAGCTGCATATGTCTGTCGATGTGGTTTTCTTTCTTCCGAGGTACCTATACCGCGTAATAGATTCGGAGGTGGATGTTGGCTTGCTTCAGCCTGCACCCAGGCGGCGCGTGTGTCTGCCGGTTGGGTTGGATTGGTTCTGATGAACTGCCGCGAGAGGGAGAGGAAGGTAGAGAGGGCAACGGAGCATCGATCCGATCACTCGCTTTGACGTCTGATGCAGCTGCCGGTCGCTGGAACTCTCCGGTCGCGATCACCGTTACGTTTTAAATACTCCGACTTTCCGACAGCGACGATCTATTCGCGGTGTGTTTCTTCAGCCCGAAAAAGAGCGTATCCGGATCCTTCTGAGACATATCCACAAAGTCTACCGTCATGATGGGATCGTTTGGATGACACATCCAGCAGCCAGCTCTCTTGGGCGTCGCTCTTGTCGTGCGGGCACAACGGAAAACGGCAGTTCGCTATTCCTAATAGCAACTACTATGATACAGTGAGTTCCATATTGGGAACATATGGGATTCTGGGGTATTTGGGAGCCTGGGCATTCGCCCCTGAAGTGGAAGGAAGGCACGATTGACACTAGACGCTAACTTAACGTTGACGTTGTGCAGTGCCGCAGCCACAGCCACTAGCTGGCATCTCGAAACGTCGCAGCTTCTCTTCGCATAAAACAAACCACTCTACACTTCTGGATTACCTATCGCGACTCGCACATGCTCGCCACCACCGCGCCGAGTCGGGTCCACTTCTCTCGTTGCGTTTTTGGAAGGAAAAGGGAAAAGGGAAAAGAAAAAGGGAAGGAAGAAGGGAAGATCCATCTGGATTCGGAGTGAACACCTGAAAACTCTTTTCCTGGGCATCATCAGCAGCCAGCGACGAGCGCAGTGCTTGTTTCAGCAACCGGAGAGGCGGTGGGGCAGGCGGAGATATGTTTGTTTTCGCTCACGCCGCCGCCCGCAACCATCCGGAGAAAAACTTGTGCATAGGGGTGGCCCGGCATGTCGTGCGACTCTTCAAACATCACATCAAATCTCATCTGCTTGGCAGCGTGGATTCACATTCACATTCACCGTCGAGATCCGATCCATCGCGGAACCGTCACCACCGCCTACCGCCTCTCAGGTACCGCCTTGAGTTAGAGCTGATGCATTCTTCTCCGGCACGATGTCCCTCACTCAATTAATTAACGCGCTTTTCTTGCGACAAAAACCAGTGATCCTATGATATGCGCCAATCGTTCTCGCGATGTTATTAGATGCTGTTTCATGAAGATGATGGAGATGCATCGGCTACTTCCCCGCCCCGGTGCTGGCACAGTGCTTCATGTCACTATGGATGATGCATTGGTGCCCGTCCGTCCGTGCGGGTCCGAGAACTGGGAACCGGGCTCGAAGAGCGCTCAACTTGCCACACCGTCTCATATCGGAAGGCTATCTACCTTATTTCCACATGTACCGGTATCACCGTATCAGCCGTCCTAAATTGCAGGCGCTATTTCGCATGGCAAGGCGTGGGGGGAAGCAGCAAGCTGTATCTGCCAGATGAATAATGGAAGTCAATTATTATTGCGCGCGGCTGGCAGATGGTTGGTTCAATCTTTGGTGGGGCGCATCGCTGGACGAGGCGGGATTACGGAATTGGTGAGACCTTCGGGGAGATGGGAGAGACATACAACAGCGGGCATGGCGAGCGATAATACTTTGGCTGAATAATGTGGAGTAGTTACCTCGTTCTAGAATACTGGTACTCTAGTCCGTACCGCGGATCTCTTTCACTATGGAAGGTTCACCGTTCCATTCTGTCTTTGCTGGCCGTTTTTAGATCTTTTCCGTCTCGTGAGTCCTGGCTGGCGAATGGATTTCCCACTCTTCCCACTGTTTCCACTCCTCCGCCCCTCAAAAAAGAGGGGTACACGAGATAGATGCGATGCGGCCAGGGGATGCGCCGTCGCAAAGAATCTGTCGGACCAAGCGAGGCCGTATGCAGCTAGACGCCCTTCTCTGTCACTTTCGGTGTTCCACGTTCCAACAGGGCTGGCTGTGTGATCGCCGCCAGGGATGATCGAGCTGCCCTCGTTGCGAGATCAACTGTAACTAGAGTTTGTACCGCCGCCGCCATCACCAATGTTGGAGGGGTGCATATATCAACGCCGTCTGCATGATTTGCCCTCCCTTTTCTTCTTCTTCTCCTGATCCCTTTTTATATACCAGCCGCTGGATCGACTCGTGCTCGTTCCGTTAACTCCTCAGTTCCGTTTACATTCGTTTCTTCTTATTCTGCTGCTGTGCGGTCTTTTCAATCTCTTTCAACATACCATCTTATCCACCATGTCGCCCTACATGGTATCGCCTTCTTCGTCGGCTTCGTCGGCTTCGTCGTGCCCACAGCTCGAGTCTGCACATTCGTTGGTCCCCCCAGTGAACGAGGAACGTCCATTGGCTGACATCAATCGTGAAGCCGAGATCAAATCCTCCAAGAAATCGCAACCCGTCGGGGAATCATCCGGGAAATGTACGTTTCCATCCTCGATGACCTCCGGTGGACGGACAATGCTTACCCATCGTAGAGAAACGGAATACATAGCCTGGTCTCTTCCCAAGTCTCCGATAGCCTCGTCTAAAGGTCCCTCCTTGGAGCCACGTGCAAAAGCTCGCAGGGTCCGCGTGAACCTGATAGCGCTCTGTTCTCCGGGCTCGCCGATATTCTCCGGAAAGCACTCGCACTTCACCGCCACCGTCGAAACTCGCTGCGTACGGGACATCAAACGCCCACATTCGTGGAAGATCTACGGTGTCGAGTGCGGACAGGGCGTGACGGCGCACTACGTGCGGATACAACTTGCGGACGATTGTATGACTATAACCACCGCCCTTTGGGTGAAGTTCCGCGCTGACGCCCCCCGTAGCCCAGGACAGTCAATTCCGCACACTCGTCATCCTTCTCGACTCGATCTCCGCGAAGCGTCACGTAGCGCTATCCAACATCCACCCGTTCGGCCTCGGCGTCGACTTCGGCGTGCCTTCGCCGCACTCTAGCAACCGCATCTACCTCATCACGCACTGCGCCAAGACCACGCCGTACCTGCGCAAGGTCACCGTCGACTTCGAGATCTTCCTCGACCAGGAGTGGAAGCGCATCGACCTCAAGGTCGACCGCGTCGGCTTCGCTGTGTACAAGTCCGCGTCGCGCACCAACATCCTGCTGGCCAACGGCCCCGAGGAGATCCACTTCGCCCACGACCCGTATGTGCGCTTCGCGCGCATGACGCTGAGGTTCGGCGAGCGCCCTGAGCGCACGTATATCGACATCGAGGACGATGGGAGGATGAAGGAGAAGCCCTGCCATGTCACGCGCACGAGGAAGGGCAGCATTGTGCACCTCCCAAAAGTCCGCGTGCGGACCTGCGACGGCGAAGGCACAACCAGACAGCCCATCAGCACGATGACGCGGCTGATCTTCAGCGAGAAGGATGGGATGCCGTGGGCGCGGTCGGGGGTGGCGGCCGCGGCCGAGGCGGAGAAGATGGCGAGTCTTATACGGAAAACGGCACGGCTGGCCGCGAAGAATCCGATCGGCGTCAAGGCCGCAGTGCAGGACGGCCACATCTTCTCCATGAGCATGAAGGGCGTCATCGCCGACAAGGGCTACACCGTCCGTAACGTCGACGACGGGTTCTCATTCCAGGCGGACATCCGGGACAAGTTCCGGGGCTGCGTCGTCTACGCCGTGCCCAGTCTCCGCGCGGGCACGAACGGGATCGTGCTCATCTCGCACTCCCTCGACGGCGAGGCCGTCCTGCGCCAGCACATCGACAACCCCGTGCATCTCATTAGCAGCATCACCGAGAGCGGCTTCATGGTGCCGTGCAACAGCACGCTCATCCGCGCGCGCGACAACAGCCGCAGCATGGGCAAGGGCAACATCCGCTACTTCTTCAACTACGGCGGCGCCGACGCCGGCGTCCTGGTCGAAAAGCTGGTCAAGCTCGTCACCGCCCTCGACGCCACAAAGCTGCCGGAGCTCACTACGCACCTCGCACAGGAACTCGAGCGGCGGGAACAACACGCCTCCTCGCGCCGCTCCCCTCCTCCCCCGTCGCCGTACGGCCACGCAAGAACCCCATCCAACGTTTCCACCTCTTCCACCTCGTCCACCTCGTCAGCATACTCCAACCTCTCGAACACGTCATCAGCCAGCAACGTCAGTTGTTCTTCCACCTCGTCCTCGCTCTCCACCACCTCCTCCGCGGCACGGGAACCCAGCGACTGGGACATCTGCGAAGACGCCGTCTTCGACGACGCAGAGCCGGCGCGTAGCCTTCGGATCTCGGTCGCGCCGGAGGGGATCAAGGCCCCGCGCAAGAGGAATCAGATGGCGCGCGCAAAGACGGCATATACCGCCAGGCTCACTAGGGAGGTTGCCATAGAGGTCGGAGATCGCGTTGTGGTCCTGTTTAGGAATAAGAATTGGAGCTTCGTGAGGAGGCTCGATGGCGAGAATGAGGAGTGGGAGGAGGGTGAGGAGCGGGAGAGAGAGGGGTGGGTGCCGACGGGTTTTTTGGAAATGCTTTGAGCTGTGAGGTCCTGGGGAACGGAGGAACGGACGGCGGATGGGTTGCACACGCACACACAACCTTTTTCCTTTGGTTTTTCATTTGTTTTTTCATATAAGGTCTACATATGGTGGTGATGACGGCTATGGAGGTGGCGCGCGGGGTTTTCTGGGGTTTTACTGCAATTGGGTTGTTTTTGAGCTTCGCTGGCGATCGTGGTGTTTTGAAATATGCTTCTACCTTTTTCCTTGGGTCGGCCTCTCCACATACTGGTTCTCATACTTTTTTCTTTGTCTTTCGCTTCTTCCATTTGTGTACTTATGTATGTACATACAATTTGTGTCCAGGCTGTGCCTGTGTTTCCCCCCACTATCACGATTCACTATCACCATGATTATCACTATCTCTATCTCTATTATACGGTAAATACGGTATATGCAGACCACGGTGTATAAAGAGCGGACTGGCTGGCTCCTGTTTTCTTTGCATGATACTCCATTTATAAACCAGCCATATTGGCTCACCCATGGGCCATATTGGTTCCCGTCTTTGTCCACCCATGGGCCATATTGGTTCCCGTCTTTGTCCACCTCGTCGCCTCGACGTAGAGTACGGTGGAGTATAGTACGGTAGGTACCTTGGAAGTTGATCGCGAAGAAATCCCACGTGCGGAGTTACCAATCCGGGACCAATCCGGGTATTCAGACCCATCCATGATCCATCCATCCATCCATCCATCCCCACCACACCTGGCACATCATACCAAATCCCAACCTCAGGACTGAAGTCTGAGAGAAGCAACCGTCTTGGCACAAACCCCCAAACCGGCAGCTCAACCAAACCGGCATCTCCTCCCTCGCCGCCAACTGGGGGGAAAAACTTTGAAGGTGAAGTCTGAAGATGAGACAGTGTCATGGTGGGGATGCACGAAACTGTATGAGAGTGTGCATCATGTGCATCATGTGCATCATCTGCATCATGTGTATGCATGAGACTGCATCAGACTGTGTGAGAGTGCCCGAGACTAAACATGAAACCGTGGTGGCAGCGTGGGGGTGTGTAACACTGGGCAGACGGCGGTGGGCGCTGGGTGCGGGGTGCTGAGGACATTCCGGAGGTCGCTGGGGCTTCGGGAGCGCAGTGACTCGCGAGGGGCGAGGGGCGAGTGGCGGAAGCCGGGGATCTGCGGAATCCGAGCGGCGGACGGCGGAGGCCGGAGGGTGTCTTCGCGTGGAGGGGGCATGAAGCCGAGTTATCGCGTGTGCTCGACACACGGAATACGAGAGCTAACACGGCGGCCGGAGGGGGGACGGCGGGCTCGGGCTCGTACATACGGCGGCACTGGGGCAGTGGCAGGCAGCGGTTGGCCCTGCTAGGCTGCTACATAGGAACTGTCGTTCGTGAGAAAGGTGCGATCGATTAAGCGCTACAGAACTATCATATATACCCGCATTTCCCGAAATTGATGGATAGCACGGTGGAGTCCTGTCTCCACAGCTCTGTATATGTATTAAATATGTACAAGTGACAAGAGGAAAAGCACAGCGGGGGCTTTGCCGGAAACTTCAAACAAGGAAACAAGGTATCAACTCTCAGCCCAATGCTCATGCCCATTAACGAGACAGATAAGTCATAAGCGCTTTCTTGACATGGATCTTCCTCCTATCATTCTCCGCCTCGGCCATCTGCAACCGCAGCCTGGCCAAGCTATCCCGTGCCCTGTTTTCCTCGACACGCAAAGCCTCTTGGTGTCTGTGCTCCTCCATTTGTATGCGGTACGCCAGCTCCTCCGCTACACGCGCCTTTTCCCATTCAAATCTCTCCTTCTCCAGCGCAAGACTCTGCCGTCTCGCCTCGGTTGACGCCAGGGCGCGGTAGGTTGGTGAAGTCTTCGCCTGCGCGGTTGATACAGTAGCTCGATCAGCTGGACCGCCCGCAGATACCTCCGCCTGCGCGCTTCGCGCATTATCTTGATCGACTGGAGGAGCCCTCGCTTGCTCAACTCGAGGAACGCTCGCGTGCCCGATTCGAGCCATGACTTGAGCCATGGCTTGATCAGCTGGAGGAGCTCTAGCCTGTCTAATTGGCCTGAATCCTCCTCCGCCGCTCGTCTCCTCCCACTATGTATTCCAATAAAACGCTAAATTCCACACCGGTAGTCACGTTAACAAACCTTTCAACCGACAGGGCGTTGCTATTCGCCAACTTTTCTTCCTTCGTGGACGGTGGACTCAAAACCCGAGAGCCCTGGTGATGGACGGACAGTCCGGTGACCCAGATACATACATACCAACAGTTGTCAGTTATGTACACTTCGTTGGATCACGCATCTTCCTCGCCCAAGGCCACCCACAAAACCTCTCACCGCCCTCCTCTGTCGACCAAGACGCCAAACTCCTTGCTTCCGGCAGGCTGCAGCATCTGTCGACGAGTCACGAGACTAGATCACCAATTTCGACGCGACTTGCACAGTGAGGTTGCACTACAGGAAGGACTGAACTCCGCAGTTGAGGAATCCACGTGATTGTGTGGACAATGGTGTATGGTTACTAGTGTTCGAGACGAGCGGTACGCCGTGATCGCCTCTCGGTCTGTCGCTTCGCATTCCCGCGGCGCATTGTGGTCTCGGCATTGGACTGACAGGGAACGGGAAACGGGTGACAGAAATTCGAATTCGAAGTTGAAACTGGTACCCGTCACCCGAACCACACGCTTTAACGAATCATGAATGATGGATAAATCTAAATTCCAGGGCAAGGAAGGAAGAGGGCGAAGAGGAGGATAGTCTCAAGGGCCTAAAGCCTAAAGGTGCTAATGCTCGCCAGTCGCGACTACGCTCGGCCAAATAATAAGCCGGAGGGGCATTGTTCGTGGCAAAAAAGGTCCGTTCTCGGTTTGGGGAGAAGGAGTCGGCACGGGAGGAGCAAGTTCCACAACCGCGAGACTCGGGAGGATGTCCTTTTCGCAGAACCGCAGCCTACGACCATCCCGCCAGTTGCCAGAACCGACGCCGAACCGGCACAGCGGCGCACTCGTACACAATAGCCACTCGGGGATCCCACTGCTGGAGAAGCCGACTAGAGATCAGACCATATACGGGCAGACTACCGGTATGTACCCTCTCTTGTCTACGGTATCCTTGGCTCATCCCTAACTCAATGGCTCATCCTTGAACTCGGTCGTGTGAACCCCGAGGCTGGAGCGAAATATCTGGTTACCTAGGTAGTTGAGGAGTTAGGACACTGCTCCATAGACCATTCCCGACCCATGGTCGTGCAGGATCTCAAATCTCGATCCTTGGTCCTTGGTCAAGTAAACTGGCTGATCGCAGAGCAGATCTTTCGAACAAATGAAACTGGTTACTGGCCATCTAATCGACTCCCCGGGTCTGAATACCACCGAGTAGTTATGGGATGATTCCAAGGTACCGGACCCCGGTAGAGCAGACCCAGAGTCCCAGAACCAGGCCCCGAGTACTGGGTACACTAGCTATTTACATACCACGTATGAGTCCGGATTCCAGAATGGTCGGGTAGAGATTACAAGTGTTAAAGGGATACTTTTGGAGGAGGAGGAGGAGTGGAGTGGAAACCAGCCGTTGTCGAGTCATCGTCGAGTCGTGATAGCTTCCAGCGTCGAGTTGAGCAGGTTCTTCGGAATGCTGCATGCGGGAAACAATAATATATGTGATGGTTAAAACGTAGAATGCACTTTTCGTACATACCGTACACTTGTATGTAGTTGGCCCAGGCGCTTCGCTGCTCTTATCCTAAGTAAAGTACTATCCTTATCCGACAATCAATTGTCTCACGAGAAAATCACTGACGAATCGCGAATCTCGAATCTCGAATCTCGCGATCAATGGGATCACTTTCACCGTTTCCCACCTCAGCCTCCAGGTCCCCAGTACATACAACGGGTATTCCCGTTCACATAGCGCGCGCTTTTGAGTGTTGAAACTCGGCAGTCTGACCTGCGTCTGCAGTGGCCAGAACAGTGAGTATCAGAGTATCAGAGCATGTAGGTGGGTATATATAATCCTCAAAGAACGTTCTCCTTGACGCCAGACCCTCTGCCACTGCAGTGCCGCCGCTATGCGGCGTCTGCTGTCTGCTGTCTTGTGTTTGCTGTTCCTGCGAGGCTGAGGTATTGCTAAGGGCACCTTACAGCTCATGCATGAAAGTTGAAAGTTGAACCCGTTATGCATCCCCCTTCAGCCACCAGTTCAGAATCCAGCCCCTACCTGAGGCTACGGCGCGAAATTCTGCAAGTCTAAAAAGAGAGTTATTTTTGGCGACTACTTACAGCATGTCAAAAATGAACGTCACATGTGGAATCTGGATTCTGGATTGCCGGACAATGCCGACGGCAAGTATTCTGTACGGTATATGTATCACGCGGCTATGTGAGGAGCGACTTGCGAAAGAGAGAGCGGAAATCCGCCACCGCCCGCCGGGACCCCGCTTTGTCTTTAGTGGCTGGGGGGACTCGGGAAGACGGCCTCGGGATTGATCACACGGAGTGCAACGGCTCAACGCCTCAGCGATGAGGAGGATGGACAGACGACACGGTGACGGACAGACGGCACGGTGACGGACAGACGGCACGGTGGCTTACGAGTAGCGTAGCTACCGCTCTCGACGCGAGACTCGAGAGTGCGTGGTAATATGTTATATAGGCGTAGATGTCAATATTCATGCCCGAGTCAATTATTCCTATCCTGTCCTGCCTCCAAAGTCAGCTCTATCTGTGTCCTCCACTGCTTGCGCTTCCGTTCCAATTCCCTAACCCAAATTCCAATCCCGTTACCAAATTCCAATCCCGTTACCAAATTCCAATCCGTTCCCAAATTCCAATCCCGTTACCGAATTCCAATCCCGTTCCCAAATTCCAATTCCGTTCCCAATCCCGTTCCCTCTCCGGCCGCCCATGTTCTAATTCACCAAGACAAAGACAAAGACACCTCGAATCAATACCAGACAAGAACAATCCGTTCAATCAACCCAATCAAAATTCCAATTCGTCATTAAGCCGTAAGCCCCTCCATGCGATCGCCGACAACCAAAGACTCCCGTAACGTTCGCTCGCTCGGACAAAAAGAAAAACAGTCGCTAGAGTAGAAGAAAGGAAATGTGGTTGCAGTAGGTATGTAGAGTAGAGTAAAGGGATGCCGTAACGCCAAAACAGACCGAAGAAGCCATTATCATCCGCTATGTGTCGTTGTTGGTAGGTAGTGGTAGTGGTAGTGGTAGTAAAGTAGTAGACAGGAGGAGTCGCGATTTTTGCCCGCCAGGGGATCTGCACCGGGAAGAGGAAAGTAAAGTAGAGTAGCGTAAAGTGGTAGTGTAGGGTAGTATAGTGTCGTGCGCGTTCAACTAGCAGCACCCGGGTGCTGGGTGCTGGATCTTTCCGCCTTCACCGACGGCGGCGGTCCTGTCCTAGGTACAGCAGTCACCAGTGCAACAGTTCCCACAGCACTCTCCGCAGCAATGGCAGCAGCTAGTGCAGCAGCCCGTGAACGCGTTGAACATCTCTCCGAGGCCCATGAGGATGCCGGCAAAACACACGTTGATCGCGTTGACGCAGTCGCCGCCGTTGGCCGTGTTGCCGCCGGCGCAGCACGCGAGACAGCTCCAGCTCTGGCAGTCCCAGTTCCCGTGCTGCTGGCTGCGCTGCTTCTGCTCGTCGCGCAGCTGCTCGTCGCCGCCGCCGCCCTTGACGTCGAATGAGTTGGTCACGCACATTTGCGGCTCCGCCGTGTACGAGACGTCGCCGGGGGTGGTCATGGTGTGTGGTTGGGGGCAGTCGACGGAACGGCTCGGCAGTGTGGTTGTTGGTGTGTCTGCTTGTATACCGGGGGTTGTGGGTGAGGGAGAATGGAAGTTCGATGGGTTCGCGGAGAAGGGCTTGGTGGTGGTTGTGGTAGAGCTGGCGGCTGGTGAAGATGGAGATTGCGACGGCTTGGGGGGTAGGGGGATGTAGGGTAGTTGGCGGGACGAGTAACGGTAAAAGTGTTGGCGGATGAGTAAGGGTAAATCGATGTCTCCCCCTCCTCCTCCAGCTGCTGCAACTCTACTCCTCCACCACCCCTTCGACGTTCAAACTTCGGAGTGCCCTCCATTTCCATGCATTCGCAAGCGAATCGAGCGTGTGCCGGAATCAGCCAAGCAATTGGTTAAAAGACTAGCGCTGACCGATGCAGGTGCACAGCCCCACCGACTTTTTTTTTGCTTTCTCGGGAGCGAAACAACCTTCTTCACGGCATCGAATCGAACCATCGGCCACTCACTCACTACTTTCTAACATCCCCACCAGCAAACCCACCCCACCCAATACAAAACCCCCATCTGCATCCGTTCACCGTCACCCCCGTTCACCCCCTCCACACGCCTTACACATCCGCGTCGGGCCTGCCTGCCACCTGCCACCTGCCACCTGCCACCTGCCACCTGCCACCCTCCCCATACGCACAAATGTCCTCCTCCCTCGACCTCGACGAGGAGCTCTCCATCTACGACCAGATTGAAATCGAAGACATGAGCTTCGACGCGACCCTGCAGCTGTACACGTACCCGTGCCCGTGTGGCGACCGCTTCGAGATCCTCCTCGACGACCTTCGCGACGGCCAGCAAATCGCCGTCTGCCCCTCCTGCAGCCTCATGATCCAGGTCATCTTCGAACCTGTGCGTCCCCCTTCCTTACCCTCCGCCACCCCCTCCACCCTTCTCTTTTCCGCGCATAGGTAGAGTAGTACCTGCCGGAGGAGCACAAAGCCTGACGGAGAGGTGTGAATTTGCAGGAGGACCTTCCCGCCGCGCCCACCAACACAGGCACAAACACCACGGCTGTCACTGTCTAGGTCTGCTGCCGCTGGAGCACATCTGGGTGTTCGATGATGATGATGATGACGGGGATAAATAAGGTACATAGGACGGGTAGGGCTCTGAGGTTTGCTTTGGCTTTTTTTTGCAGGGAGGCGTTCGCGGAGTTATTTTTGGGTTCGGTCGGCGGGCGGCGGTTGGTATGTACCGGTATGAAGCCTTGAAGGCATGAGCTAGTACCGGTAGTGCTTTGTAGTCGGTCGGTCGACTGTGAAAAAAAAGCGATGGGGTGTTTGATCTTGGGGAAAGTTGGGGTATCTACTGTAGATAAGGTATCTTCGCCTGAGGGTTTTGGGTATTGCCATGGTACCGGTAGGCAGTACATAAGGAGGGTACTTCTTACTACTTACCGTCCCGAGGCTGACACACAATGTCGTCAGCTACATACCGGCAGCCTACAGGTACCTACACACGAGCACATACGAAGTAAGTACTCTACTCCTACTACTCCATCGTCATGCACCACCATTCCCACCTCTATCGGATATCGCATCCACGCGGAGACTCTGCCGGAGACTCTACCGGAGACTCTGCCACTCAGAACTCTGGACAGTGAACTCACTGTTTGCACGTGGCAATGTTTGGTTCGACAGTCTTACCATCCGGCCAGTGCGTCTGGCCAGCACATGCGGGAAGATCGAGGCCTCAACTAGTGATCTATCCCATGGCCCCATTGGATGGCCATTTTTGGGACTTCCACGATTCTGCTGTGCTCATCTCATTGTGCGGGATGGGAGTGGAAGTTGGGGCTGGAGTGGAGCTGGAGTCTGGAGGTTGGAAAGCCAGTGGTCCAGTGGGCCAGTGGCGGATATCGTGACGGATATCGTGGCGCCGTGACGTTAAACGGCAGTTTTGCGGGGCTGTACTGGAGTCACTGGACGGGCTGGACTGGCGGGGGAAACAGCTCTGGACTGTGGAGGCTGGATGGCACATGAAAAGCGAAGTGAAAGCGAAACGGAGCAGTATGTCATCCGCTATCCGACGTTTCCGTCGCTTTGAGCGTCTCTCTTTGGACTCTTCGGCGCTGCAGACCTGCGGACCTGCAGTGATCTCGGGGAGTCGGGGGCGGAGCAAGTTGCGACGAAGTGCTGGTGTCCAATGAATGCCGTACCTACTCTACTCGTAGATAGAGTGTGTTGCGCGTGTGACGATGCTGAGCAGTGAGGTGTGGAGTGCGGTAACGAGTTACGGGGGAGTGCGTTCCTATCGTCAAGTGAGTGTCTACATAAGCTTTATGTGTACTATGGTAGCATTGGTAGGTAGAGTGGTTATCCCTGTCGTGATCGTCCCAGCAACCAACCATCCTTCTTTCCTTCAGGCCTCAGGCTTCAGCTTTCCGGGCTTGGGAAGTTGTAGAGTGGGATCATCACCTAGTGAATACGACGAACGGCACGTGCTCGCCACTTTCCCATCCCGAACATGGTCATGAACGAACCCCGCAGTTCACAGCCCTACGCCAGTAACGCCACCGCCCCCAACATCTCAGCTTTTGTCCGAGTTGACAACTTGGCATTTCAAGTTTCAAGTTTCGACGCTACTCTACAGGCGCTGAATGAAGGCATGGCAGCGGGATCGGCGATCTTTTGGATCGACAATCGTCTTGTACCTACCCCGCGACATAACCCCGGGCGACACAATCCCGCGCCTCCGGAGCCTGCGGAAGCCGCTCACCAATCCTCCATGCCGCCGGCCGTTGCCATAGCCACTCACGCTTCTCAGGCTCTCAGCACGCCGGCGCTGGCAGTTGTGGTATGTAACGGTAGTTAGCTCAGCCTGGTGTGCGGTATGCGGTATGCGGTATGCAATCGTATGATGGTACCTACAGGATTGACGCACGCGGCGGCGCACACGCGCGATATGCCTATTTTAGATTTTAGAAACCTCGGTGCACCTCCGATACGGCGCTGGGGAAGGAGCTTCACGTCACGACTCACTGGTGGTTCCAGTCGATACTCTACAGGGGCTGACACGATGATGCGCGAATGTGCTTCTAGAAGCTTAGGACATACTGGCTGGGGACCTGGGGTAGGTACGCCGGAGATATACTCAAATCTAGTCTTAGGGCGAAGCTCGCTCACTCGCGGCTTCCACTCAATGTGCGAAGAGATCTGGTGGTTATTGTTGGACGCCCCGGTGCCAGTGGAGGTCTAGACTTCGAAGTTTGCGGATGGCAACACCTCTTCCTTCCTTCCTTCTGTGTGTCCGAATCTGAAATGTACCTGTATACCTGCAGGCTGTAGCCATGCGAGTACTGGTCAGTGGTGCCAACATGGCCCCCAAAAACGATCTACCTAGAGCACACTCCATCCATCCATGGTAGGTCCTTCATGTAACCTCACTCGCTCACTAACTTACTATTCGCTCAGATCGTGAATCGCACAGCCTGGAAACAAGCACCCACGACAGTCAACCGGCTGCCGGGCCCGGGTCAGAGTCACCATCTACCTACACGTATGCGCAAGCGGCCCCAGCCGGAAGTACGCAAACCAGGCACGTAAGCACATCGCCGCCCTCGCCGGAGATTGCCATGGAGATCAGATGGTGCCCGGCACAGGGCAAAGGCGTCCCCGACTTCCCCGGAAAAGAGAAGGCTGGCGGACGGGCCAAGCTGGCTGCCAATAATCCCACCGAGAGCGGAGTCTGAGTGGCAGGCCCTGCTACCTGAAGGCTGAAGCGCGGTGGCTGAGTGGAAAGAGGTCAAGGCATGCACCGACAGCAAAGTCACCAGCAAGAAGTACCGGCACAGCCTCACCTCTAGCACTTCCAGCACCTCCAGTGGACGAAGATCCACCCTGAAGCACGCCGCGCGGTGCGGATGTTGCCGTTACAGGACCCAGACCCAGACCCAGACCCGGGAGCAACTCTTCAAATGCTGCCCTGAATGGGAGAGCCAGCTGAAGATTTCGTGGGCGGAGGACGTAAGGCTCGGAAGGAGACGGGGAGGCAATGATCGCTTCGAGATCTGAGACTTCTCCGGCGTTCGCAGACGGACGGTGCAGACAGGTCATCTTGGGCTTTGTCGCCACCACTGGATCACTGGTGTGGGCAGGTGGAGATGAGGCGAGCGAAAGAGGAGGACGCTGAGCTTGAGGTGCCGGGGTGCCGAGGTCACTCCCGCTGTTCCTCCCCGCAACTTCTTTCATGGCATCTTGTGACGAAGAAGCAGAGGGCGTCGAGGCGGCGAGACGGAGTGGAAAGCGGAGCTTGCGGAAACGGTGTGCGGGTGTGTATATATCGCCATGATCTAGATAGGTCTGTAGGTTGCATGAAATCAATGATTAAACCAAAAAAAACCTAGACACGAGCATCAACACTGCCCCAAGCCACAGACGGAGAGATCTGGTGATTCACTTCTGGGCAAATCACCAAACAAGGCTTCAACCGGGGTATCAGCCTCCCCTCACCTCATCGCTTAGAATAGTCATTAGTCAATTCAGCATGCTCCCCAAATTTTGTCGCGCACCGTAGACTGAGGTCTGATGATGCAGCTGACTACCGACGCCAGCTTGTCGGTTATTTTCGGTGGGAGGCGAGCGATGTGCGGTGGAGTAGCGGGAGCGGGACGGTAGCGGGATTCTATGGCCCACGTTGACGGTTGCGGAAACCAAAGGAGCCGGGAGCAGGCGGGAAGCTGCGCTGTGAGACATAGCCGAGTATGTATGTTCTGTATCTAGGCGGCAGAGCTATCGACCCGGACTGAAGCGCGCTCGGATTTATTCCGCCTGGACCCACGCGAACGAGTCATTTTCTGTGGAGCGCTGCCGGATCTTCCGACAACAGAGACCAGAGCACCCCCGACTCTGAGTGATTTGACCTGTAGTTACCTCATATCATAGGCGGCGAAATTATGCGGCTCCCACCAAGGCCTTCGCGCTAGTTCTACTCATAGATCGATAAGGGCATACCCTCTACTAACTGAGGAAAACGGTAGCGCGGATCGACGTGGATACCCATCTTTAAGACCCACTCGCTCGTCTCCTCTTTCTCTTCTTCTCTATCCTCTACTTTTCTACTCCCTTCTCTTCTCCTCCACAATTTCTCGCATCCATCTCACACACATTCCCCTGATCGTAAGTCGTCCTTGCTTGCTTACATGATATATTCCCTTCCCCCCCCCAACCAGCTCAATGATGACCTGTTTACATTTCCGATGTCTACGAGACTTTGTCGATACACTTCTTCTCCGATGAGACTGAAAAATATTGCTTGGATGCTTCCTACTTTGATCGGTCAAGCGAACTTTACTGACGCAGTCTGCAGCTTACTAGGACGACATCGGATGAGGGAACTCAGGCATGGCCAACGAGGGAGATTGTGTAAGTTGTCCTTGCTTACCTACATGATATATTCCCTTCCCTCCCCCAATCAACTCAGGATGAGAACTTTTGTAGTACGGAAGTCCTTCGGGACTCTGACGACTCAAACTGTAGTCTAATGAGACTGACAAACATTGCCTGGATGCTTCCTGCTTTGACCTGTCGAGCGAACTTTAATGACGCAGTCTGCAGCTTACTAGGACGAATACCGGATGGGGGACTCAAGCATGGAAAACGAGGGAGATTATGTAAGTTATTCATGTTGCTTGTTTGATTTATTCCCTTCCCTTCCCCAATCAACTCAGGATGAGAAATGTATAGTACGCCAGTCCTCCGGGACTCTGACGACTCGAACTGTAGTCTGATAATGTTGATCGATATACGCTGGTGTTTGCTTTGTTTAATCGGTTGAAAGGATTTTACTAACACACGGTACTGCTCATCGCCAGATAATTTCTCGCTCGCCTGGACAGGTCGTTCCTGTATTATGAGTATTACTCGATATGTTTACATTATTCCCATCCTCTGCCATCTACCTCATGGATGATCAACCGATCTAGGTACGCGGTCCTGGCGACAAATCTGCGATTCCGGCAAGACTGGTAAACATACCTCGATCACTCCTGGTGCACCATGGCGAGAAATCTAAAGATATGAAACTC